CTATACCCCCAACCCCCCATTCTAACTACTACATGTCATTTTGGGGAATCGGCTTGCACATGTTCAGAGGCATCAAGATGGAACATGAAGGCCGGACCCTCCGAAATACCAACAAATCGACATCTTATCTTGTATGCTTCGAGATGTAGCCTAAACCCTAAAACCTAAATCCTGAACTCATCTTATCTTGTGGAACTTCAGCTGTAGCGTTGAGCTTGGAGGGCTTTCTGGGTTTAGGTATTCAGCTTGCCAGTTCGGAGTTTGAGGTCTAGGCTGGGTGCTGCCCCCACTCCGCAACAATTAGGACATATTTATAACATAGAATGTATACAGCCCTTTAATATGACCCCATAATATGGACTCTTACTACCCAAGGCTGAGGGCTCGGAGTTTTCGGGTTGCAATGTAGGGGACGTCATAGTTACCTATATTGTTTTTAGGGGTTGCTTATTAGAACTATCCAAAACTATAAGGACCCCAAAGTAAGGTACCCCTGATTTTCGAAAACTCCCATATGCATTCGAACGAAGCCCTTCGAGCCCTGGCATGTTTCTCACAGGTCCCTGGGACACGCCCAGGGACCCACTTTCGGAAGCAGCAGAGGGGGACCAAAGAGCTCCACCCAAGGAACTACCATGGTGACTGTAGGTACGTTTCAGGGTTCAGGAGAAAAGAGTTTCGGTTAGTTTGTGCAATGCTTATCATGAGAAGCCTCCAGGAATATTGAATAGCGTTGTGGTAGTTCTTCAAACTTCGACAATAGAGATACTGTGACGATAACAGCTTTGCAGACTTTCAATAGTTTCGGACAGAATATCTGTTTTGTCATGACCGAAGCCGTCGCAAAAGCATGACTCTTGCCCAAACAAAACTACCCGTGTTTTGAGAACCCCCCCTAAATCCTACAGACCCAATACTGGACAAGTAAGTCCCCTAAGCCCTAATAATTGAGAAACCCCAATTGAAGCCGCTGTACAACCCCTAGATCATAAACCCGAATTCAGAAAAAAACCACTTATCATGAATCCCCTAAACTCGCTGCTTAAATCCTGAGTCAGAAACCCCAAGGAAACGATACCAACCTAAACCCTAAACCCTAAAGGACCTAAACCAGAGTAACTGCAAGAGCTCCTGGTCACGGTTCCCCCCCGGCTCCCTGAGTGGGGCACCTCTCGATGCCCGAGCCCAGGACCCCACCCTCAAAGTAACTTAGGGTTTAAGGTTTGGGGCTTTAGGGGTTTTGGGATTGGACTTTTAGGGGTTTTAAGGTTTTAGGGCTTAGCGTTTTGGGTTTGGGGATTTTGGGTTTAGGGTTTGCGGGTTTAGGGTTTTGGGTTTAGGGTTTTGGGGTTCGGGGCTATTTTGTTTAGGGTTTTAGGTTGTATACAGTAATTCCTGAAGCCCTAAACCAAGATTCTAAACCCTTAGTGCTCATATGACTGATAAAGATGGAGTCGTGAGGGCTGGGTGAAGAACGCTCCTCAATCACTGCCCCGCGCGCTCCGCAGGAGCTTGTCCGGAGACCTTGGCTGAGTCTGAGTAAACCGAATGTTCGGGGTCTAGGGTTTAGGGTATTTAAGGGTTTAAGGTTCAGGGTATGTTAAGGCTTTAGGGGCCAATGGGTCAAGGGTTAATGCTACGGGAACAACACTGTAAGGTCTAAGGCTATGGGTTTTGATTGGAGGGTTGGTATTCCCTCAACCAAGAACCCTAAACTACAGCCAACGGAAACATGTAAAGAAGACCATGGCGCAACTACACTAAATGCTGCATAAATAAATAAACGGTTAAACTTTTCAGATTACTACTGGTAGTTCATAAGAATGCAAACAACTTTAAGTTTGGGTACTGGGGAAGTAAGTTATACGACAATGTTAGGAAGCATGTGCAGACACACGGCAATGTTCAGGCTCCAGAGTACCTCGTATTTAGGTATAGTCTGGCCATAGGATTAGGACACCGTACCACATTTCTGCTGATCTTATTTTTTTCACGCGGGTATGGCTGCAGAGTGGGGCTAGCATGTATGGTTGTTGTCAGGACACCAAATCCTCGAATGTGGAGTCTTCCGACACTTTGGGTCCTACTTGGAATCCTGGAAAGAGCAAAGTCTCGCTCTTCCTACAAGAGAAAACTCTGCAGATTTTTTGAAGCTCCAACCCGAGCTCAGAGCAAACCTCCATCCTCAGCAACAAAACCCCCCCCACTTTCTTATATCCCTTAACCTAGGTAAGGAATAATCCGCATATTAAAGCAGGGGCCCTTAAATGATTTGAGCAAAACAATTTGTTCCTGAATTGAGAAACGTCGGAATGTCCGGGAAGCAAGAACGCCAAGCCCTGAACCCTAGAAGTTCGGACCCGCAATCTTTATCCACAAAGCCTTGGAAACCTAAGCCGCAAGCCCTACGAGCTAACCACCCCTATCCACATGCCCAAAACATTGAAACCTTAGCCTCTGAGCCTCAAAATGTATATGACTTTAGGTCTGAAGCCTCGAAACCTGAGCATTGGAATTGTACGCAAGGCTTGTCGGGCGTAGGGGTTAGTGCTTACAGGGTTGGGGATTTAGGGTTCTCTGAAAGCCAGAGCAGCAACACCCGCCCCCGGGTGCGAATGATCGAGGGCTTGGGCAGATGGGCATCTGTATCTTAATAAAAAGTGTCTCAATATTTAGCAGAAATTTCTTTCTGTAGTACAGTAGAAGTATATTCAGGAACCATGGAACCACAAGGAACAGTTTTGGTAATGTCTCATGACATTTCATGCGTAGACATTAGCATATATGTGCACCTCACTGCCAAGCATTAACACTACATCAACTGGCTCGTTTCCCTGTACTTAGCCCGGTTCGGGTAGAAGCAACCGACTGATGATGCTGCAGGTATCACTTAGGTCGTTCTTCTTGCACTGTAGGGCTTCTGCTGAGACGAAGACTGGGGTTTGGGATCGCTTTCGTAAACTCAAACCACGCAGATCACACTTCCTTGGTCCCGCGCGAGACGCGCCCCGCACGCTGCACGTGGCCGGGTAGCGAGCCGTTAACAGACCGAGTGCAGACACGTCTAGGGCTGTGTTTATCAGGTTTGGGGTTTGAGGGTTGAGAGCTCACCAACTGCACTTCGCGAAAAGAAAGCACCCAAGCCATCAACAACAACGATGCTCTACTTCCTTAAACCTCTAGCCCCCCAGCCTTACCAAACAACCCTCAAACCCCACACCCCCTTTCTCAAAACCCAAAACAGAACCATCAAATTACCTGACAAAGTATAGGTTACTAACCGTATACCCCAGAAACCCATTATTTAGGTAAACGGAGCCTAAACTGAAATCAGACGAAAGACAGTTTAGGGTCTTGTACCCTGAAAACCCCACAATTAAGGACCATAAGGGCTCCATTGAAGGGCGTGCTGGCAGGGTTTAGGGTTTAGTAGTTTGTCGTCTTATCGGTTCAGTAGTGCAGCACTCGGTTCGGAGGACCTCCTTGAGTGAGGTGAAATCACAGCAAGACATCCTCAGGGGCCCAAAGGGAAGGATTAGTAGTAACTGGGCTTTGGAGTAACCGAAGAGAAAAAAGTATCAACTTCTATTTCATACCCTAAACCCTAAACCCTGATGGTTGCTTTAAGGAACCCGTTCCCAAAAAATGAATTCCCGAAGGGGGCCCAGGGCTGCAGGGTCTGGGGGCCAAGGCAAAGGGCTTACGGGTTTAGGGCTCAGGGAGTAAAAGCTCAGGACTCTAGGATAAACTAAGAACGTGTGATCTCTGCATGGCTGCGGCGCATCTTTTTGTGTTGAGTGTGACAGAGAGAGAGCGAGAGAGAGAGAGAGAGAGAGAGAGAGAGAGAGAGAGAGAGAGAAGAAGAGAAGAGAATCAGCTGCTTTGTTGGATTTCAGAATTAGAAGCTAGGATTATGGTTTAGGGTTTATAAGGGGGCTTTAAGGGTTCAAGGGGTATGGGGTTGCAGGTTTTGGGCCCCGATTAAAGGAGAATTCCTCTGACAGGACACGATTCACGCTGCCCGGCGCACGCGAAACCCAAGCGCGCGTCGAAGGGGCACTTACACTCTTGTCTGGCCCGAAATCAGCTGGGAACCAACCCTAGAACACCTAAACCGCCACGAAACTACACCCCAACCTCCCTCTGTAGACTTTCGAATCTGTCAGCTCGTACTTTATGGTCAATGAAAGGCTGGAATAGGTTTTGGTATGCACTATGTGCGGATTATCACAAGGAATTAGTTCGTCTAGACTGCCTGGGTTATGGCATCGTCTGGCAACAGCATTCAGTCCTTATGCCCTAGTCATGATTGCTGTCTACATCGTTTTTATTGTTGACATGATTTTGCAGCTTGCAGTTGATCTGACTAACACAAACATTTGCGTTTTGGCGTGCATACGATTTTCAACATCAGTTTCAACATTGGTTTGAACGCATTTTGTGTTTCTGTTGTTTTACGAGCAATGTACTATGCTACCCTATATCATACTATACTTTGCAATCTTCAAAAAATGGTTTACTATACCATACTATATATACTGTACTGTTCTGTACTAGACTATACTACACTTTACAATAGTAAAAGACTGTACTATACCATACTATACTGTCGCCAAGAGTGTGTCTCTGCTCTGCCGACTCCTCCCGAATCGAACCCTTAACAAGAGTCCTTACCGTTGCTGTTGCAGTTACCCTATGTATGCCTCCAGGGACCTTATTATGGGGTCCTTGAGGGGTTTAGGGCCCTAAGTATGAGGTCCTTGGAGGGATAGGGCTAATATACGGGCCTGAATAAATCCAGGATACGAGGCCCAAAAACCCTGTTCTAATTGTTAAGGCACCCTATACCTATACTGAACTTAGAACCCGAGCAAAAATTGTAATCTTAGCTGTTTCTTAGGGATTATAAAAACCAAATATGAAAATCATTTCTAAGTACCCCTAAGATGCTAAGAAGGTGTCACTGCCGAGGCAACTCTCCAAAGATGTCACGCCAGAGCTTACCCCTCGCGTGGCTTCTCAGGTGCCAGGGCCTCCAAGTAGACAGCCTGCAGCGAGAGCTTAAGGGGTTTAGGGCTTAGGGGTTTAGTGGTTTAGGGTTAAGGGTTTAGGGGTTTAGGGGTTTAGGAGTTTAAAACTTTTGTAGGGTTCTTGAGGGTTGTAAGAGCTTTCCATAGAGAGCTTAACACTTTTGTGTAGGGTTCTTGAGGGTTGTAGGTTGGGTACGGCCCCCACTCAGTAATAGTTGAATAATACTAACATAGATATATTAGGATCTTAATAGTAGCCCTATTAAAGATTCTTACTGTATGGGGGCAGTACCTAAGTTGTAAGTGAGGTTCTATGGCGATTTTATGGACGAGTGTTCTTAGCCCTTCAAAAAGGAAAGGGGCTTCGTACCGTGATCTGCAGTATATCCTGTAGTTGTGGGGTATTGGGCTCTCTGGATGCAACGAGACTGCTTTACAAGGGTCTTGGTTGCAAGAAAGTGCGTATAAAGGCCCTGTGGAGTTGGTAGGTTTTAAGTGTGTAACAGGTGTGTAGGGTTTGGGTTGAGGGGGTTCAGGGCTGCCGGGTTAGGCTGCTTTTGGGTGGGTAGAGGTTTGGGTTCAGGGATGCAGAGGCCCTAAACTGGCCCCAAAACCCTAAACCGCTAAACACTGAACCGCTAGAGGATTTGTGATCTTGTAGGTAGTAAGTAGACTTTGCTGTACCCCAAAAGGGACCCTAATTGGGGTTATGGTACTTGTAAGTCCCTAAAATAACCAGTTACTAAGTCCCCCGACCCTCCAAGTAACGGGTTACGTCAGCGCCAGGGCTTATAGGCCCAAGCGAAGCAGTGAGCTCTGGCTTGAGACATCGGGTGCGGCGATTGCAGACTTTACTAACTATATATACATATATATATATATACATACATATACATCGCATGCAGTCATCACTTACATCCGTGCAAGCATGCAAAAAATATGCACAAGCCGCATATGTGTCAACACTTGTCCTCATGCATGCATTGAGCTACCTCACTGGCCAGCGAATTAGACCGTAACTGCGCTTTGGACAGGATCAACTCTACACTCTAAACCGTAATCCTTGCATCCTAACCCCACGTCATGGTCCCACCGAACCCTGCAAGGGTCCGTGCACTCACAGAGTAGATCCTTTAGTCCTAAAGTACCCCCTCTATAGGTACTTTATGGCAGAATTATATATATATATATATACTACATGGGTGGTTGTCAAAATTAGGGTCCCTTTTTGGGTCCCTATGAAAGTACGGCACCAAATATTTAGGGCACCCCCAAAGGGACAACTACCCACATGAGTTCCGCTACTGTTGGGGAAAGGCAGCACCTGCTGTTCCCGGAGCGTCGCGTACCCGAGGGTGTTGTCCTCGCAGGTGCTGACATACTCGAGCTAGAGATTAGTCTGTATTATGAAATACTATAGTATACTATATATAGTCTACTACAACGAGTAAGATTATACTGTGTTGGGTCTGAAGGGTAAGGCGAAGGATGTAGAGTATTTATAGTGTTTGGATTTAGGGCTTGAGGGCTTTGGGGTTTAGGGTGTTGGGGAGAGGTTTTAATACTATACGTAGTATGGAGGACATGACATCAATCTCTTACATAGCTCCCCATCTCGTCGACTATGGTAGAATCTGCATTCTCTGCAAAACCTGAATGGAAATTCCCAGTGCAAAGCCAGGCCACCATGTCGCAAACACAGACAGCTGTCGGGAAATTGCAGAAAACATGCGGGTCGCAAAGCCGAAGCCTTACAGCAAAAGCCCTATAGCCCAAAGCCTTGTTTACCGCTATCCCCTAAACCCGAAGCACGAGTGTCGCGGCAACCTTCGTACTTAAGAAGCAACAAGAAACCCACTCGGAATCAGGGGAGTCTCCAAAACCTGAAGGTAGCAACGGCTGGATGCTTTAGGCTCTGGCTTTTCAGTGCTTTACGTTTGTGCTTTCTTCGTTCATGGACCCAAGCTTAGAGATCAAGAAAACCGAGACCCGAAAATCCCAAGTGTAGAACCCTTGTAGCACCCTTCAATGAACTCTGTGCGAATGCCCTAGACCCTAAACCCCCTTCAATCCTAAACCCTGGTCCTAAACCCTAAACCCTAAACGGCGTATAGGGATCTTGCTCTGTGTGTCCTTCTCCACCCGGATCCTGACTCTCACGACGCCTGCGGAAGATGCGGCGACAGTTGTGGGCCGTTGTGGGCTTGGGCCCCTTTGTCTAGGGTTTAGGGTTTCGGGTGTATCCTTCGGACTTCAAGTAGCCCAAAGTAGGTCCTACAGACTTCCTTCACTCAGCTCAACAGATAATGATCAGAAAGCGATTTTTTGGAGGGCCACTGCAAAGAAAAACAAACCATAAGCCAAAACAAAACAAACTGAAAAGCCTCCAAGAGCGATAAGGCTTCAGATCCCCAAGTGTTTGCTTGTTGATGTTGGCTGTATACTTGCAGGCTTGGAGTATGTCTGAGATTGCGGCTACCACAGCTGTGGTGATTATCACGTCACTGCTCATGCTCGGTGCTTTGCTGTCAACATACACCCAAAGCCCTAAACCTAATTTGAGCCCGAAGGCCTAAACTGCAAAACCCCTAAAACCCCTAAACCCCGGACTCCAAAACCCCTAAAACCCCGAACTTCATAACCCCTTAAACCCCGAACTCCAAAACCCCTAAAAACCCTTAAAAACCACCGAAACCCCTAACAAACACCCCACCGAAACTTCGAAGAGTCCGGGGGGGCCTTGCGCGTCGTCGAACTGAGGGAGCTCCAAGGCCTCGACGAGCTCGCCCGACTGAAGCTTACCTCGGTCTTTTTGGGCTTTTTTGGGTTTAGGGTTTAGGGTTTAGGGTTAAGGGTTTAGGGTTTAGGGTTTAGGGTTAAGGGTTTAGGGTTAAGGGTTTAGGGTTAAGGGTTTAGCCTCGGTAATTTTGGGCTTCCTTCGGTTGATGATCCTAAGGGTTCCTTTAAAGGGATCTATAAGGGTACCTTTAAGGGGATCTATAAGGGTTCCTTTAAAGGGATCTATAAGGGTACCTGTAAGGGGATCTATAAGAGTTCCTTTAAAGGGATCTATAAGGGTACCTGTTTTTTGGGGGCTTTTTTGGGTTTAGGGTTTTAGGTTTAGGGCTTCCTTCGGTTGATGATCTAAATGGTAAGGGTTCCTTTAAAGGGATCTATAAGGGTACCTTTAAGGGGATCTATAAGGTGTAGGGTTTAGGGTTTAGGGTGATGATATAAATCCTGCAGTGCCTTAAGGAACCTAAAGTATGGGAATTATGGTATATTCCTTATTATGGGTAACGCAGGATTTATATCGTCAACCGGTTTAAAAGGATTACGGTTTCAGGGCTTCTGTCCCTTTAAAGGTTAAAAGGGGGTAGTATAAGCCTGAGATTTGCGGGTTTAGGGCTTCGGGTTGATTATAAGGAACCCTCAAACCCTATTCCGATAAGGCCCCTACAGCACTCCCCTTACAAGCAGCACTTCAGGGTTTGGTGTTGAGGGTAATACGTTTCTTGGAGGTCCTTAATTAAGAAGGAACAAGCTAAACAACAAAGGCCGTATTATGGATTAAGAGTAACGGGGTATGCACAGCTGGTGGTTCACAATTGGGGGTTGATGGGGTCCGATCTGGTATGAAGTAGGGGGGCAGATTGAGGCTCTCTTGAGTGAGCATAGGGCTCATTCGGAATGTGCGTTTGCACCTGGAGATGTGGGAGATAAACTTCTTGCATCATACTAACCCTAAACCATAAACTCATCATACCCGCTGTTCTAGACACAGATGTGGGTTTAGGGCTCAAGGTGAAGGGCTTCAGACTGTCCGAACAAAGGACCCGCAAGCCGGATATCCCGAAAGGCTCTGCGTCCCTTCAACCGAAAAGCCCTGAACTGTGCCGCCCTGAACTCCCAAAATAGTTATGTTCAGGCCCCGGCAACCCACCTTCAACTCCGTAAGCACCAGAAAGCCTTGTAGGACGCTTTAACCGCACCATTAAGTCAACCCCTCAGCGACCCCATACAAATTCTGAAAATACAGTACCATTTCCGAACATGTGTAGAAACCCCGAACTGTTAATCTTTAATGCCGAACACTCATAGAAACCCTGAACTTTGAACCGTTATATTCATTCCCTATCTGAAGCTTCATTCATGCAGCCAAAACCCGAAACCCAAAAGCCCTAAACCCCATACGTCCCAAAACCCTCAAGCCCTCAAGCTCTGCACAGCCCTACCACCCCCAAATCCCCTAAAACACCACCTAAGCCCAAAATCACTGAAAACCCTCCAGCCCGATACTGAAGTCCGAAAGCTTTAGGGTTTAGGGTTTAGGTTTAGGGTTTAGGGTTAAAGCCCCCAAATCCCCCAAAAATCCACGGACACCTCCTCAAATCTAAACTCAAAAGGAGCTCTGGGCCTCACAACTACCCACGACGAGTCTCCAAGGTTAAGAAGGACCCCTAGGTATATAACTTAGAAGCTGCCCCCACCCTGTAATAGTGACTATAAGGATTATATAAGGGCCATATTATATTCCTACTGTACCACTATTACAGGGTGGGGGCAGCTTCTAATATATACCCTTAATATAGCTATTATATACCCACTATATAGCCCATTATAGGGTAGGGGTCCCCATTAAGGGTCTCTCCTTTTCCCCTTGGACCCTGAATACCCATGATTAAGGGCTATAAGGGCACACTCATGCCCCTAAACCCACAACCCTTCAACCCTCGAAACCTTAACCCGAAGTCCTCAAACCCTTAAACCCCTAAGCCCTTGACCCTTAAAACCCTGAAAACCCTTAACAGCCTTAAACCCTTAACCCCTAAACCCTAAACCCTTAAACCCTTGAAGCCCTCATTATAGGGGCACTTGGGGGGGTCCTGGCTGAGGCCCGAAGCCTCCAAAACCCCTTAATTAAGGAATAGACCTTAAATCATATAAGGGATCCTATAATATAATTTAAGGAATATACCTTAAATTATAGTAGGATCCCTTATATGATTTAAGGAATATACCTTAAGTTATATTGGGATCCCTTATATGATTTAAGGTCTATTCCTTAATTAAGGGGTTTTGGAGGCTCTGCTTGGAAGGGCAGGGGACTTAGGAAGTAGGTTATAAGTACCCTAAATGGAGTTACCCCAATTATAAGCCTACTTATAACCTACTTACTAAGCCCCCTGCCCTTCCAAGTGGGCCAGCTGAGGCCCCCGCTCACTACGGCCGAGTCGGCTCCGAGTCCCTCTGTGAGGTCGATACTGCGAAGAGGGGCCAAGGATTCATAGGGGGTTACGGTTGAAATGTGGGTATTTAAGGTTTATTTAGGGTATTTAGGGTTTAGGGTATTTAGGGTTTCGGGTATTTAGGGTTTCGGGGTTAGGGTTTAGGGTTGAAATGATACTGAGAAGAGGGGCCAAGGATTCATAGGGTTCTGGGTTTAGGTTTATAGGGTTTAGGGTTCAGGGTTTAGGGTTCAGGGTTTAGGTTTATAGGGGCAAATGATACTGCGAAGACGGGCCAAGGCTTGATAGGGTTCTGGGTTTCGGGTTGAAATGTGGGTATTTAGGTCGATACTGCAAAGACGGACAAGGATTTATAGGACAGGGTTTAGGGTTTAGGATTTATAGGGTTCAGGGGTTAGGGTTGAAATGATGCTGCGAAGAGGGGCCAAGGATTCATAGGCTTCAGGGTTTAGGGTTTCGTGGTTAGGGTTTAGGGTTGAAATGATACTGCGAAGAGGGGCCACGGCTTTATAGGGCTCAGGGTTTAGCGTGGAAATGTGGGTATTTAGGGTTTAGGGCATTAGGTCGATACTGCGAAGAGGGGCCAAGGATTTATAGGGTTCTGGGTTTAGGGTTGAAATGTGGGTATTTAGGGGTTTAGGGTTTAGGGTGTTTTTAGGGTTTAGGGTTTATAGGGGGTTAGGGTTGAAATGTGGGTATTTAGGGTTTAGGGTATTAGGTCGATACTGCGAAGACGGGCCACGGCTTGATAGGGCTCAGGGTTTAGGCATCCTTGGGCCTTTGCCCCGAGGTGCAGACCGATGGAGCCCCAGCCGACGGTGAGTGAACGTACTGTTCCCCGGCTCCCTTCCTCGGAGACCTCCATGGCCACTGCAGCATGCAGTGGCAGCGACAGCGCTCCTCGCAGGCGATGCCAGGAGATGGAGAAGCCGACCTCTCTCCCCGAAAAGGGAAACAAGGTGTTGGTCGCCTCCTCCTCCGGCTGCGAAGAGCTCGGTGGCGACGAGCAAGGGCTTCCCGAGCGTCTGTGGGATCCTGTGCACCCTCTACCCAAAACCTTCAACATCTTTTAAATATATCCTAAGCCCTAAACCCTAAACCCATCCACCACTGAACCCTATACCCCTAAACCCTAAACTCCTAGACCCCTAAAACCCCGAACCCCTAAACCTCTATTTATAGGGTTTAGGGGCTTAGGGTTTAGGGTTCAGGGTTTAGGGTTTAGGTTTAGGGTTCAGGGGTTTAGGGTTGAAATGTGGGTATTTAGGGTTTAGGGTATTTAGGGTTCAGGGTTTAGGTTTATAAGGTAGAAATGTGGGGGTTTTAGGGCTTTTGGGGTTTCTGGTTTTAGGTTTGGAGTTTAGGGTTGAAGGTTGAAGGTTTAGGGTGCTCGATTTTGGGTTTACGGCGCTCGGTTCGGGGCGTACAGGGCTTTAGTATAGGGTGATGTATAAATGGGACTGCCGGCTTATAAATGAATAATCTCGTTATTGCCGATGGCTGCTTGAAGCTGCTATAACCCTAAGGGTCCATGTATCCAAATAGTATCTACTTTGGCCTCAAAGTACTCCCTATATAGGCACATTGGGCCCAAAGTATGTATTATATATTTGGGTATATGGACCCTCAGGGTAACGTTGTCATCAGGCTTCATTGGGCAGCTTGTTTCCCAGACCCCCGGGAGGATCCAAAAAGTAGATCCCTTAATGGGTGTTCCCTTAAAGTACCCTTAGCAGTATAGGGCCCCGAATTAGGGGATCTACTTTCTAGATCCTCCCGGGTCCAGGTTCTGATTTGGGCTTGTTGGGGCAGGTGGACGCGGAAGTCCGTCCTCGATACCGGAAAAAGACTTTGTCGCACTATGCTGGTCTAGGCGTTCCTTTGAAAGGGTTTAGGCTTTAGGACTTAGGGTTTAAGGCTTAGGGTTTAAGGATTCTAAAAGGGGTTTCAGGGCTTCTTTAACGGAACCCCGAACCGCAAAAGGAACCCCTAAAGGGTTGTTTCGTCTGGGTGCCCCAGTAGCCCCTAAAGAATGCGGGTACACTGTTTCCTACTCTTCGGTTTTTTATAAGCGAACCCAACAAGAAAAAGGGCACAAGGGTACTACTGGGGAAGCTATATAGACTGGGTTGTAGTTTTGGGGCTCTGAAAAGTATTTATGAATAGGTACCTCTATAGCAACCATAAGGGAAATTAAGAAGTTTCCCAAATTGCCACCTAGTAGACCATGCCGGTCTGGGCGGATGATTGCAATAAACACAAACAGCTGGAAATGACTTTGGCTCGTGCAACCAGCTCTTTAGATGGCAATGCCGCAGTCCGCATAAAAACCTTGGAGGCTTCAACGCAGTAACACAGAGTCCTGAATAACTAGAACACTCCTTCGCTACTATGTTGCTCTAGACTTGTATAGAGGCACTTTGACTATGATAGGATGCCAGCATCATGAATCGGAACGGAAACCACGGCCTGCGGGTACATCGATATCTCGGCGACCAAGGGGTCAGGAACTTGGACAGTGTGAACCACCTCGGGCATCCAAATCGCCAACGGAGGTGCCTTATAGCAATCAGGAAACCCCAAGCCGTAAACCTCAGTATACCTCCGGTTTGACTTACTTGACCAGTATCCTGGGGAAGCTTAAACTGAGCCTTGGCTTTGGCCGGGTTGTGTAGGGATCGTGTACCCGAAAGAGCTTAAAGGCTGCGTGCTCTATTACTAGATTCTACTCTAACCTACTATTTGCTTAAGAAACCCCCAAAAAATAAAAAACAATAATCCCTATATTACCCCCATATAAGGAATATATTTTTTATTTTTTGGGGGGTTCTTAAGCAAATAGTAGTAACCCAACACACTATTCTAAAGACTCAGGGCCCCCGTAATGCCCTAACCTATGTAGCACAACACACTAGTTTAATACCCCCGGCACCCTAATACCCTCAGCCCCTGCATTACGATGCGTTTCGGAATTCGGCTTCAGGGCTTTCGAGGCTTATCAGCACTCTACCCTGATCCCGGAATCTTCCACAGTTTAGAGTTTATGTAATTCTGGACCTTGGCCCCGTGAACCTTATCTCCAGACACCAGCTTCTTAAAAAGATAGCTGCCTAAGCGCTAAGCCATGAAACCCTCAACCCTACTTGGAGGGGCAGGGGACTTAATAAGTAGGTTGTAAGTAGGGTGATAATTGGGGTAACTCCATTTAGGGTACTTATAACTCTACTTATAACCTACTTACTAAGTCCCCTGCCCTTCTAAGTAAGCCATGAAACCCTCAACCCTAAACCCAAAGGCTCACAAGTCACAACTCCGATACCTCGAACTCTGAATCTTGGGCCCTAGACCCTATGCAGTGGGCACTGGCCCCAGCCTGCACGAGTCTATATCAGGGGTCATAACAAGGGCTATCTATACATATATTGTATATATAAATATATCTATCTATATATATATATATATATCTAGGACTGTAAATATTATCCACCTGTTACTGAGTGGGGGGAGGCTGTTTGCCCAGAGAGCCCAATACCCAATTGTTCAATAGTTGAGGAAGAGGCCGTTTCGAAACCAAACACAAGTATAGTGAACCCCAGAAAGTTGGAACATGGATTTAGGATGATTAGTGTTGGGATTCGCTCTACTCTACCTGAAGGGCATGAGGATAATGATGTTCCAACTTTTTGACTTCTACCGTACAAGGCCTTTCAGGGTTGAAAGGATTCTGGAGTCTGGAGGGCTTTTACACGGTGTCGTGGCGTTTTCATTTCATGAATTCTTCGCAAACCCCAAAACCCTAAATCTCAACAACAAGCAAAACCCTAAAGTCAAAGGGGAAAAGGAGGGATCCTTAATGGGGAGCCCTACCCTATAATGGGCTATTCAATGCATATATATATATATATATATATATATTAGCTATATTAAGGGTATCTACCTAGGGGTCCTTCTTAAGGGTCCCTCTTTTTGCCCTTGGACAAAGTACTGCTCAATCCCAAAGAAACCCTCAAACTGCCTGGAGTCTCTAGTGCATGGTTCTTAGTCGGGAATTGGGGAATGGGTTATGGAGACCATTGTTGGGATTATCTGGGACTACTGTAGAGATCCATTCCCCCATTCCCTACTAAGAGCCAGACAGTCTAAGCCCGGGCAAGTCATAATTATCCCTTCAAGCCGCATTACCTTACGGACCCTCGACTATGGGAATTATAGTATATTCCTTATTATTTGTAATGCAGAATTTATATCATCAACCGTAATTATCCCTCTAAACAACCAATTACAGGAACTCGCTGGCCGGACGAGAGGCCCCTCTTGGTCGGCGAGGCGGCCGCGCATTCGCTGGTCTCCCTCCTGGAGTGTTTTCGGTGTCGCCATGTCGGAGTTTCCAAAATCCATTTTGAGGGTCCTTATAAAAATATGGCCTACTATTTAGGGCAATATACATATATATATATATATATATCTATATATAAATATTAGGGTCCCCTATTTTCGGAAACTCCCATGTCGGGCTCAGGTGTTCGTTTAACGATCGTTTCAAGGTTCAAGGGTTGATAGCGTGCAACTTCGTGGTGTGCCAGTTTAATGCAAGAAAGCTGTCAGGAAATGAAACTCCAAAGCACCTTTCCCAATGCCAAATTAACTATCTGAGCCAGTGCTGAAATGACAAGCCGTTCTTCATGCCACAAGTCACTCTCTCTCTCTCTCCCTCTCTCTCTCTATACATATAATAACAACTACGTAGGTGTGCATACATATGTATATGGATATATAATAACCATAAGGCTGTCTGTGCGTATATAGGTATATATATATACACACATATATGTCTGTTAATTTGTGCATGATCATCGGATCCAGGCCTCCAGGCCACCATGGCCCGTTTGCTGTCAGGCAGGCAGAGTGCATACGGAGGAAGCGAAGTGGGTTTGCTGAGGCTTGCTGTCGCCATCATACTCACACCCATCAATGATGGATCCCATACCTTCCACAATCCCCAAGTTGAGGAATATACCTCTTAAACTAATTATGTTAGCGACCCTACTACAATTTCAGGTATATCCGGTTCAGGGTTCAGGGTTTAGGGAGCCCCTGAAGTCTACAACACTAAATTGCCCGAAATGCTAAACGCCTTTGACATTGAACGAATGCCGCACGCCGAAACCCTGTTGCCTGAAGCGTAACAATTCGAATCCGACGCTGCGTCGAAGTCTACGTTCAGAATGCCACTTAAATTCCAGGACCCCAACCTCTCAAGTGCCCTAAACTCTAAATCCCTCAAACACCCCAGAACCCCGAAACCTTGAACCCTGTGGGAAAAACAGCAGAAAAAGCACCCAACCCCCGAAAGACAGGTCCTTCCATCCCCCAGGCCCTCAGCCCTAAACCCTAGTAGATAAACACTACTGTTCTCCTTCTTCTCCGTCTTGGGCGCCTCGAGCATCTCGAAGACTTCCTTCTCCTCGTCAAGTACCCAGAGAGCCAACTGCCCCTAAAAATGGAGGGGCCTTAGTAGTCAGAGTAAGGTTCCCTTAAAGGGATTCCTAGGGTCCCCTTACAGGGATTCCTAGGGTTCCTTCCGTTAAGGGTTAAGGGGTTAGGGCCCAAAATTACGGGCTCCAAGGCTCGAGAGTGTCCTTAAACGTCAAGAGTGCGGGGTCGGGGGCCACACGCCTCTCTGATCTCAGCAAAGTAGAATTTCCACCGGGACCTACCTAAAAACCCACTGTTTCAGTAAAGTCCCTATAAATTTCATAGCAAGGCTCCAGCCTTAGGATTTAGGGCTTCTTCAGCTCCAACTCCACGGCCAATCGCCCTTGTGGCATTTAGGGAGGATCTGCAGTGTCTCATTCGAGGCCTCACATAACGAGCCACAAACCCCGAAATCCCTGCCCCAGATTCCTAGTTCCTACTCGAACGCTGTAATCCAAAAACGCTGAACCTGACAACCTCCCCAACAGCCCGTGAAACCTGAACTGAAACCCCAAAGCCTGAACCCCAAGATTCTAGAAGCCTGCACCATAAAAGCCCTCATCTCTAAATCCCGGTTAAGTCAAAACATTCAGACCTTGAAGACTTAACCCTAAACACTAACCCTAATCCCAAACCATCTTCTAGCCTGAACAAGCCTCTAAGCCTCTAAGTCCTAAACCCCAAAGGGCTGGGGGGTTTAGGATTTAGGGTATAGGGGGTACCAGTAGGGGCCCCAAACCCGTAATCCCTGCCTCTAGTTGCCGAAGAACCGCGCTTCCACCTCAAAAGCTGCGGGATTTGACAAGCAATATTACCATCAGGTTTTGGGGAATATACTAAGGATTCTACATCCATATAGGTACCGCAAGCGCATCTTGTTCCTAATGATTCAGACCTCGATGATTAGTATTCCCGCGGAAGGCGTCCGGGGTTTAGAGCACAAGCCTTGAAAGAAGGTTTGGATGTTTAGGAAGCGAATCCAGAAGCAGCAGCAGTACTGTAGCAGTGGTGGTGGGTTAGTCGTAGCAGCAAACTAGCCAAACAGCAGTACCAGCAGCAGACTAAAAACAACGACGGCATATACAGGATGAGGAAACCTTCCCAAAGGGTCCAAGTATCATTATGGCATATTATGCTTAGAACCCCCAAATACCCTATAAGCAAATACCATAATGATACTTGGACCCTTTGGGCTTCAAGTAATGACACCGGACATGCCAATATCAAACAAGCAGTGGAAACACGTGCAACAACGCCACGATCTGCTGCATCCCCCCGACTGACCCGAAGCATATGGAACGATGCGTTGGTCAGTATAGAGGGCTCGTGGAAAACAAGAGAGCAACAAGCAAAAACCTCTGTACCTACGAGCCGTGGGAAGGCCGAACTCTTGGCTCTAAACTTCCCTAATCTTTTCTAGATGTACCGGCAAGAAGACCGACCAAGACAACTAGCGGACCCGACATACAACTCTGAAGTCCAGAAAAGAATGCAAACCAAACTCGTCCAAAGTGTAAAATTGGGCATGATGATTTCGAATTGGCTTTTATGGGCAAGGGGGGATGATAAACTGCGATAATCATGAGGAGGCATCAGGAATTGGTTGATAGATGCTTTCAACAAACCCCAGGGCCCTAAAACCCACGGCTCTAAAACCCCGCAGCAAAGCCATGAAGGCCCATCCTTACCCATCGCAGGGTCCATGGTTTGATGCTTAGGCGAAACGTGGACCCTGGAATGACGAATGCATTTGACGCAGAGCTCCTCCCAATAGCCAATCGCCGAATCCTGGTTGCAAAGTAGGACCTACCAGTACTTGACATCCCGATGCTATCCTAAGCGCAACATTCACAATGAACACCCATAGTAGCATTGTCCCTGACATTAACAGCAACATGACTAGCAATAGGCAAAAGTCTTTGCCCCAGCAGACAAGGTGGCAGTGCAGGGGCCTTCATAACTCGGCTAGGGTTTGGGTGCATGTACTAGTCCTATACTTGTGAAAAGGAGCCCGAAGTAACAGAAGTACAGAGAGGCGAGCCCAATGTCTCTCAAATATCCTAGTACATCCGGGATCATAGCCATCGGCCCCTTATACCATAAGGTCTATTCCTCAAAAAAAGGGCTTGGGGCTCTCTGGGCATTGGAGTCCTTGATACTTAGATTATGGATTCGGGTCACAGCGGACCCTCAAACAAGACATGTAGGAACCCTAAGAGGAACCCTTAAGGAGACCCCTAACGGCACCCATAGAGGAAACCTTACTTGGAAGGGCAGGGGACTTAGTAAGTAGGTTATAAGTAGAGTTATAAGTACCCTAAATGGAGTTACCCCAAGTATAACCCCACTTATAACCTACTTACTAAGTCCCCTAAAGCCCCTCCAAGTAGAGGAACCCAGCAGATGTTTAGGGGCTCCAGCTTCGGAAGGCGGTTTCCATCGGAAGGGTCTTCTTTACCTCAGCTTCAGAGCAGTTCTGAATGAAAAGAGCAGAGCTCCTAAGTGAGTAGGGTTTAGGGCTTAGGGTTTGGGGTTTAGGGTCTACAGGGTTTAGGGTTTTTGTTTTTTGTTGAGCTCCTTTTCTGCATCGCCCGAGAGGGTTTAGGCTCTAGGGTTTAGGGTTTGGGGTTTCGGGTTAGGGTTTTGGGTTTTCGGTTTAGGGTTTAGGGTCTAGGGGTTCGGGCTTGGGGCTTAGGGTTTGGGATGATTCGGGATTAGGATGGTTAAGAGTTTTCTACTTAGGATTACTTGGGGAAGTACGCTTTCAAGCTCGGGCTATTCTAGCTGGCAGGATTTAGGTATCGGGGAATCCAAAGAGTGCCGAGACCCTGGATTCCTAGATTTGCCGGCAGACGCGAAGCGAGAAATGATGCCAGCATGCTATGAGGGGATTTTTTCGTTGCAAGAAGGTTTCGGGATACACGGTACTGCGTTTCTTGAATGACCTCCAGGCCTCATATTTATTGTTAAACACAATCAGCCTGCTGAGTTAGATTGCCCTACAACCTGATGGAAATACACAAAACATCACCAAATGATTTGGGGGCCATGCTTTGCATTCACCCCGAAACGAACTTGTGTAGCCCTCAGCCCTATACTTAAATACCACCTTCCTGTGCTCACTCTCAACAACGCCACCAGCTCCTGGCCTAAACCCTGAGAACAACAACCCCCACTTACCTTTGGTTAGTAGGGAATGGAGAAATGGGGTACAATTATTTCTACTATTACTACCATTCTTCCATTCCCTACTAACTAAAGATAAGAAGAACAACCTACACTCTCGCTGTCGAACGACTGTGGGCTCTGCGACATCGTAACCAGGACAAAACGAGGCACAGAGGGCTCCCCAAAAAAGAGCCTGAACAACACACCCGTAGAACCAAGTCTACTGATCCATAAACCCTCCTTTTTAAGGTTAAGGTGAGTCCGGGACTATGTGATGCTGGTCGCTCTCCTCGACGTAGCACGTACCTCAGAGAAAGACGCACTGCTTTGGGGGCTTACCTCCGCCCTCGACTGTAGCCCTTAAGTTTATTTACTTTGGTTTCATATTATACGATCGCAAATGTCATGCTAAACCCTAAACCCTAGGACATCCATGAACTTGAGCTACATGTCATAGTTTTTGAATGCCCTGGAACCACGACCAAGGACGCTGAAGGCCTGTGGGCTGCAGGGTTTGTGGCTTGAGGCTTAGGCTTTGAGGGCTTGTAGGGTTTAGGGGACTCGGGTTCTAGGCCACCAAAACCTATACAGTTCCAGGTTCCTGAATATGATTTCCGTCACTCGACCTAAGAGTAACCTCGGAATAAAAAGAGTGCCCTTTTTTTTTGGTTTAAATGGGGTTATAAGGGAACCTAAATCCTAAAAACGGAATAAGGGCCTACTCTGGGCCCTAGGTTACGACGAGAGATTGAATGGCAAAGATGTAGAGACTCTACAGCCATCAAGCCTACAAGCTCTGAGCACCCGACGTTAAGTCTATAAGATCTGACTCTAGCCTTAAAAGCTATACAGCCTAGGCCCCCGAATGCAGGGTGAATTAGATGAGAGCACGTGGTGGCCTGAATAAGTGGAGTAGGGTTCTGGCTTTGGGGTATATGATACAGCAACCAGAATCAAGAACCTCAACATATTATTGGTATTTATCTAGGCCTCCATGTTATCGAAAGTAGCAGTACTGATACACTGATACTGCTACTATTCCTCTAAACCCTAAACCCTAAACCCCTAAAACCCTAAACCCTAAACCCCTAAAACAGCAGGTTGGAGGGCCGCCCTAAACCCTAAACTCCCCAAAATGGACCACAGAAACACAAGGACCTTACAAGTACGGTGTTCATCCTCCTTGTAGAGGGGCCTTAATGGTTAGACCAGTGTTTTCGGACACATATCACTGCGACTTTCCAAGGAGAGGATTACAAACTAGACAGACCTCTAGGTCAGGGTCCTTAAATATGCATGTTAGAGACGTGCTTGTTTTGGATGCGTGCGTGTGCGTGACTGAGTGAGTGCGTGCGTGAGTGATTGAGTGATTGAGTGAGCGAGTGGGGGTGGCAGTGAAAGCCAGAGTGAGTTTTTGGACGGAGGGTTAGGGCAGGACAGTCACTCTGAGAAGTTGGCCAGAATTTCCTGTGAGCGTCACCCAACCTTCCTTGTCGTCCCTCCAAGTCCTGCGTGCATATCAGGATCGGTTCGGTTGATCGTGCTACTTTTTTCTGCAGCATTACTATTGCTGGTACCAGTGGCTCCAACTTGACTACTGAGTGCTAGCACTCAGAAAGTTCATCAGAATTCGGCACATGGTGTCTCGCTGCATCCAGAACTCTCTTGAAACTGTCTAGATTAGGTACACTAGTATCAGCACTTATAGAAGTCTCAGAGCCCTTAGACAATCCTAAACCGAATCCCTAAACTGGGCCCCTAAACCCTAAACCCCCTAAACCCCGGGTCCTGACTTTGACTCTGGACAGCTTTCGCTTCTCGTCTTCTTTGGCGGAGTCCAGTGCCTTCGGAAATCTGGCAGCAAAAACCAAGGGGATTAAGGGCCCTTAGGGTTTAGAGTTCCAGGTATTGGGCTGTAGGGTGTACTAGGGCTCTTGTGAGGTTTAGGGTTTCAGGGTATTGGGCTGAAGGGTCTGCTAGGGCTCTTGTGAGGTTTCGGGTTTCAGGTAGTGGGCTGTAGGTTGTACTAGGGCTCTTGACAGGTTTAGGGTTTCAGGTAGTGGGCTGTAGGGTGTACTAGGGCTCTTGTGAGGTTTAGGGTTTCAGGCATTGGGCTGCAGGGTCTGCCAGGGCTCTTGAGAGGTATCGGGTTTCAGGTATTGGGCTGTAGGGTCTGCTAGTGCTCTTGTGAGGTTTAGGGTTTCAGGTATTGTGCTGTAGGGTCTATGGTCCAAGCTTACCTTGGAATCTAAACCCTCAAGTCAAGCTCTAAACTATTGCGGTTTGGGTGATTTGGGTGGTTCATTAGCTATGCACGATCCCTGTACTAAACCCTAAACACTAAACAGGGAGAACCAGGACACGCGCCTCGAAGACTTCGCCGATTTCCACCTTTCGCACCGTCTTGCTGGCACCTGGGCTTGATGGACTATAGGGTTTAGGGCTCGGGTTGGGGCCTCGGAATTAGGGTTCAGGCTTTAGGCTTCCGATTGATCAGGCCTCAATGTGCCCGAAGAGTATATACGTTGGCCATAAACTCGGGCGCCTTTCAGGCTGGAGTACATACTGCAGGTTATACCATAGTATATAGGTCCAAAAAGTTGTAAATATACATATTGTAAACAAAGTAACAAAAATGAGAGACACGTGCGCGCATATATATAGATAGATATAGTTAGATTTATACTCATATCTACATGTATATTTATATGCATACTTATATGCATATCTATATGTAATATATGTGCCATGCATGTACGCGGACCCCGAGGGAAACATCATTACGTCTACTCCCGAAGGCCCCTGAACCAACACAAGCAAGACCTTGGCGGTTGAGGCTTTAAGGTTTAGGGACCGCCCTCATCGCCAATACCATGAGACTGAGACCATATGCCACCAACAACCCCGACACTATCAAACCGACGAGACCTACAGTTACTAAACAGAACCCTAAGGCTCCAAGTATACAAATAGTACCTACTTTGGGGTCTACCGTCTATAAATAGTAACTACTTTGGGCTATTTGGAGTCTTGGGGGAAGCCCTAAGCCCTGGTCCCTGGAACCGAAACCCCAGAGGCCCAATAGGGACCCCAAAAGCACATAAGCATAAGCATTTTAAAGGGATATCCCTACCTTACTGGGCTTCATTATAAGGGGGCTTATATGGGATGCCCCTACCCTTGTTTTTGCTTATGTGCTTTCTTGCGGCCGTACGAACAAATCTCTGAGTGCAGAGGGCCCTGCTGACGTCAAGATCGGTCGTCAGGGTGGTACCCAGCCTGCAGACCAGAACCTGCGTTCACAGCGAGGCGACTTGGGCATAAACCCTGAACCCCTAAACCATAAAGCCCTAAAATCCTAAACCCCTAAACCCTTAACCCCTATACTCTTACTCCTAAACCCTAACCCTCAACCTTAAGCCGTATGGGCTGCAGGTTTCGGGGGGCTGAAGCCGGTAAATGCAAAATGCAGTAGCTTGAGATGCCCAAAAGAACCGTGTCTCGGGGCACTAGCAACATCAAAATTACCTGAAATCTCCATTGTAGCTCCTCTTTTAGTCGAACAAGTTTTATGTTTAGGATCCTACAAGGCAAACCGACGAGGAAAAGAAGCAGAGACGGTTTGGGGCTTGGGGTTCAGGGTTTAGGGTTCAGGGTTTCTGGTTTAGAGTTTAGGGTTTGGGGTCTAGGGTTTAGGGTTCAGTGTTTAGGGCTCAGGGTTTAGGGGTCTAGGGCTACAATGGAGACAATAGATGAACCGAGGCCGTGGAACCGCTCAAGTCCTCCAATGTTCTGAACCTCTCTCTGCCTCTGATCACACCTTCAACGACCTACTTGACCAGTGTATCCTTGGGCAAGTAAGCGTTGACCTTTGGGATTATAGAGGGATAATAGTAATTCAACAAGGTTAAAGGTTTCCTACCCTACTACTTAGAAGAATCCAAAACCCTGAACCCTACTATACGGGCCTTAATAATTAGAGCAGGATTTTAGGGCCCATTATCCTATTATTAAACTCCCAAAATGGTATACGTAATGTTTGACTAAGGCCCCTCTATTTGCCCAAAACCGCCTTCACGGACTCGCTCAAGTCGTTGCCGGCGGCATCCTTCGAAAGACTGTGCAACCAGGAGAGTGTGAACCCCAAACCCTAAACTACCCATAGGCCCCATAGTAGTTCCGTTTTGGGATTACCTTATAGGATTCTAAATACGAATACCCAAAAACAACTACTCAGGACCAACTGACCCTAGACGGGTTCGTGATTCATGTCCCGGAAGCGGTCTAGAGTATGAGACAAGCGTGTGGACCCTGAGGCATACTTACAGTCCTAGCAGGAATCAAGAAGGTGTCGCACCAAGTCTCCACGGAAGTCTCTATCAAAGGGGAAAAGGAGGGACCCTTAATGGGGACTCCTATCCTATAATGGGCTATATAATGGGTATATAGCAGCTATATTGAGGGTCTATACCTAGGGGTCCTTATTAAGGGTCCCTCCCTTGAGCCGATCAGGGTTCCATGCTTGGTGGTGCCAGGCTTCAGTCTGGTTCATGACCCCCTGAAATTTGGTTTTTGCTAGGAAGGGCAAGGGACTTAATAAGTAGGTTATAAGTAGGGTTATAATTGGGGTAACTCCATTTAGGGTACTTATAACTCTACGTATAACCTACTTACTAAGTCCCCTGCCCTTCCAAGTATTACTAGGAGACCCCTCAAAGGGTACCCCTTCTGAACCCTACTTCTGGCTCTCTTAAAAGGGGCCTTATTGAGAGGGTCTATATCCCCAAGGGTCCTCCTAATCCTAACTCCCATGAAAGTCTGGGATCTAGCAAAAACAGAGATCGTCTCTGTAGTTGTCTTCGTCTTCTTTTTGTAAAGAAAATAGGAAATAGCATTAATTCCTGGATGTAGACAAGATAAGGACAATCTTTACATCCATCCGAGCTTCTCACTTCCCTGGCGTGCTTGACTATACTGAACTTAGAACCCTGGCAAAAATATAATTTTAGCTGTGTCTGAGGGATTATAATCATCAAAGATCAAAAAATATTTCTAAGTACCCCCAAGTGAATACCTCGTAAAGACGCTAAGCAGGCTTCCACTTGGCCTGGGGGAGATCTCGGCCGGCCTGCTTTGCGAGAATGTCTTCCTGTATATCCAAGGGTAAAAGGAGGGACCCTTAATAAGGACCCCTAGGTATATACCCTTAATATAGCTACTATATACCCATTATATAGCCAATTATAGGGTAGGGGTCCCAATTAAGGGTCCCTCCTTTTCCCCTTTGAGTATAGGAAGCCCTTCCCTTGCTCCGGTTTCTTGCACATCTCCTGGAGCTCATGCAACGGCAGCTCGACGAACGTCCCTTCATGGCTTTTCTCCGAAAATCTGGGTTCGCGCAGAAGCCCTGACTCATAAACCCTGGCCATCAAGGCCCTAAGAAGCAAAATGCCCTAAAGCCCTGAATCCGGCATAATCGCCGAAGCTCTGCATAAAAACCTGCTGCGTACACCCTGAACTCTCATAGAATACGCAAGGAAACCCTTTTCAGACTAACCAGTATTCAAAACTAATAGGAACCTCATAAACAAGCTTATAGAGTTAAAAGAACTTTGAGTTGGGGCATGAGATTGCGGGATTTAGACATCTTGCTCCAGCACTTCTAGACCCATGTGTACCGTCAGTGAAGATAAAGGACCGCTCGTCTTGAAAGGGCTGGCTGGGATGACATAGGGGCCTGAAACAAAAACTAGAGGGTTTCGGTAGATATTGTGCTACAATGCACGCCATAACCATCAATGATGAGCTCAATACCACTATATTCGGTAGATATTGCGCTAGAATTCATGCCATTACTATAGTTAGGAGCTCAAAACCCCCATAAGTCAGGATAGATTATTTCGCTCCAGGAGCCAAACTGAGAAGATGTGCTCCCGCACTTGGAAAGGACCCTCGGGGTCAACACAATCATCGAAATCAAGCCACCCTAGAACTAAACCCTACACTCTAAGCCCAATAACCCTATATAAGCTATACACCCTAGGCCCTAGGCCCTAACTCAGGCATCCTTGAGGGTGATGAAGCCCATCTTCCCATCCTGCAGGCAGCACGAAGACGACACGACTGTCTGTGTACCTGTATAGCAGGATAGCAGGCCCACATGTTCTAGACCCAAGAGTAACCTCGGCAGAAAACGGGTGACCTTTTTGATCTAAAGACGGTCATAAGGGAACCTGAACCCTCAAAAAGGGAACTAGGGCCTACTCTGGGTCCTAGTGTTTGCAAGGACCATCCACTTTACCGTGTCTAGGGCTTCGCGTGCTTAGGGGATCAAGCGGCCCGCCTTCACTGCTCTGCAGCGCACCCGAAGGCACCTTAGCAGCTTGAAGCTACCATGGTACTTGGAAGGGCAGGGGACTTAGTAAGTGGGTTATAAGTAGAGTTATAAGTACCCTAAATGGAGTTACCCCAATTAAAACCCTACTTATAACTTACTTATTAAGTCCCCTGCCCCTCCAAGTACCATGGTATTGGGGAGTGGGGGGGGGCTGGATCGGGAGAGCGGGGTTCAGGGTTTAGAGTTTACGGGGTTTTGGGGGGCTTAATTCAGCTTTAGGGCTTTTAGGGGTTTGGGTCTTCCAGAAACAAAGGACGGTTTCTGACAAAGAACAGCACACGCAGCTAGGACTTCGTGGAGACTCGCACTGCAGGCCGCTAGTGAATACACGAAACCTCAAATCCTGAACTCCAAACCCGGAACCCTAAACCTAAACCCAGCAACAACTACTTTTTTTGGTAGGGCCCCTATACAATTTGATTTTAAGGTTTATAATACCAACCTACAGAACAGAGCAGGTTGTGGTAGTTTAAGGAAAGCACTGAACTCCAAGTCTAAATCGAAATCAGCTTGATTGGAGGCTTGCTCCAAACATGTACAAGCCCTGTAGATCTTGGCCCCAGCCCTAAACCCCTAACCACTAACCAAGTATCCCTATAAGGATCCCTATATAGAACCCTCTACTAACTATAGTGCCCTTTAAAGATCCCCCATTATAGAACTCTAATACTAACTGTAGCCTACTTGTCTGGCATCACGGGGAACTACAGGTTAGCCTTTTTGGTTAGATAGGGATTATCTATAGGGACTATACTACCCCAAAAAGGTTAAAGGGTACCTGCTCTACTACTAGGTAACCCCTAAATCCCTAAAGCAAAACCCCTAAACTGCAAAAACCCTCAACCCTAAACCCTAAACTCCCACTAAACCCCTAAACCCTAATTAACACCTGAAACCCCTAAAGCAAAACCCCAGGACCCACGACAGCTTGCCGTCAAAGTGCTCTGTGGCTGGTTCTCGTCGAGGGCCTTCCAGCACCTAAGCGAACGCTTCAGACTCGGGTTTGGGCTGTTGGGTTTATAGGGTTTACGGTAAAATAAACTGACCTTTTCACCGCAGGATCCAGGCCTGCTCACGGCTTTACGGTTTAGGGCTGAAGGTTTTAGGGTTAGTTCTTCATGCTGCTCGAAGGGGTTAGCAGGCTATGGCTTACAGGGGCTTTGGGTTTCTTGCTGTACAGTTTGAGTTTGGCAGTTTGGGGCTCGCGAGTTCTACATCCCACACTCGGACAACAGCAATCGAAGCGGGTCGGCACAGCCGTGTCGTGGCCCCGGACCGGTCAATATGGCTGTTTGCAGGAAACAAATCTAGTCAGTGTCGTGTGCTATTTCTCTTGTTCGTGTTGCTTGTGATCTTGAATCACCGTTGCTGTGACTGATACCGATTGAATTGGTACTGGATTGCTAATGACAGTCAGCAGTGAAGATTCTTCTTGACATGATGGTACTGTGCTTTCTCTTTTTCACGGGCAAGGTTTTCAATCACAACTATGTTGACCAGGGTGATCACCACGACGACGCACACAGCGGAACAACCATGCCACGGGTAATACACAAAACAGCCTTGTACGACGACTAGCACCCGGTAACGCTGCGTCTAGCGTTTAGGGTTGTTGGGGCTGGTGTTCGGGCCCCGCAAAAGTAGCGGCTGAAACCTAAGGGCCCACGTAGTCCACATTTTTGGTTTTGGTGCCCAAAGCGGATCCAAAGTCCTATAATAAAGAGTACCTGGACCCGTAGGGTGAGGGTTGAGCCCTGAGGGCTTAAGCCTCAAGGTTCGCTGAAAGAAGAACTGATGATGTCTTGGGCCGCGTGCTTCAACGACTTGCCCAGCATGAATCTTCAGCACCTGCCAAAAACCGTGTAATTGTGAACCCAAAGAGTTGGAGCATGGGATAAGGATGATAAACTCTCAGATCCTCTTATCTTTTAACTGAAAGAAGCCCCACAGGCATCGGGGCAACTTTCTGCCTTCTACTTTAAGGCTTCCTGGCTTTAGGCCGTACGTTATGGGGCTCCAGCATCTCACTGGTGGTGCCGTTTGTTTTCATGCCTGTTTAAAGGTCTCAGGCATGAGAAGCTTGGGGCGGAGGATGTGGGAGCTTCCGAAAACAGGGGACCCTCAATATGGTACCCTAAAAACAGCCCTAAACCCTAAACCCTTAACCCTAAACCCTAAACCCTAAAACCCTAAACCCTAAACCCTATTATAAGGACCCCGAAATAAGGCACCCCTGATTTTCGGAAACCCCCCATAAATGGAACTTCAAGGTTCAAGGGGTGTTACCGCTGTTCCTACTTTAGGGGGTTAGCGCTCTGACATTCCAAACCCCAGAGACTCCATGAACCTTCAATATACAACACATTGCGGAAAACATCTTAAAAATAAACAACCTCAGCGACCTCCCCCATGAGGGTTTCGGAGTCTCTGGAGATACCAAGCTTTGACCGCGAAAATCCTAGATATTTTGCTGCAGTTGCAGGGTTCTTAGCCCAAAGAAGCCGAAACCCGAAACCCTATATCATCCGGCTTAGGGTCTAGGATTTGGGGTTTAGGGTTTTTGAAGTTTGGGTTTTGGTGAGTTTGGGTGTATTAGGATTTCGTAGGGGTGAGCTAAGATGGAACTCTCAATCTCGAACCCTTTACAGAAACCTTTAAGGGCTATTTTAAAGGGACCTTCCCTACTTTAACTGTTGAGGCTTTGAGAAAAGACTCCCTGGTGCTTTGTAGGGTATGGGGGAATGGATCCAGCCCTATAGTAGCCCCTATATTATCCCCAATCGTAGTTTGAACACTTTCTTATTCCCTAAGATTCCGGGCCTCATCACTGCTTGCCTCAAAGGCTCCCTGGAGGATAAACTCCTGCTCGGGGATGCTTTATCTTAGTTTACGGCCTCAATAAGTAAGAGGTTTCCTTAGGGCTCCTTTAAAGGGGTCTATAAGGGCTACAAAAAGGGCTATTATTAGGATTTAAAATAGAAGCCTTATTGATTAGAATAGTGTTTTGGAACCCACTATACTGTAAATAAATCTGATGAGGAACCGCCAAAATAGTAGTGATAATTATTCAGACCCGTATTTGTAGGGTAATGGTACTTATTAAGGCCCGGGTGTCGTGGGATTTCTTCTATGGGGTTGATGCTCTATCTTAGGGTGTCGTGGGATTTCTAACAGGAGTCTACAGCAGCGTGGGGTTAGGGGTTCAGTTGGGCGATATGGGGTCTATGTTCATAGGCCCTAGCATTTCGGGTTCGGGCTGGAAGAATCCCGGTCCTGAGAACATAGAACCGAGTCTTGAGGCACTCCAATGCTACATAGCCGGACAAGGAGTATACAGCAGCATGTTTGATACTGGTGCAGACACGACTGAGGGTATGTATGGCTTTGCCTTGACCTAGTGGAACTCTACACCTGTCGAGGGCGATATGGGGTCTGACTCAAACCACAATAGTATGTCCTACTAGTGAAACCCGAGTACTTTCTAACTACTAGCCGGAAGGCTGGACTTTCAATGTCATCCCGCAGCTCAGGGACTACCCTGAACCCTCAGAGCTAAACCCTACCTGACCAACAAAGCTACCATTTCATTGGCATCTATTGCGGGAAATCATATGGGGACCCTCGGAGGGAAGGTTCTATAGGGTCCAGGTACACCCTCAACCCTAAAAGAACGTGAAGGTGGGATATGATATATGGGAGCTGCGAGAAATGAACCGCCACGCAGCGATAAATCTTCAAACCACAAACCCCGACTACCGTCCGAGGTTTAGGGTTCAGCGGGTTGCTGGAGGATCATGGGACTTAGTGTAAGTATGGTTATAGGTACCTTATATAGTTACCCTAATAATAACAACCCTAGTTACTAAGTCCCATGATCCTTGAAGTGGGGCTTAGGTTTGAGGGTCTAGCGGTTTAGGATCTCGGGAAGAAACCCTGAGACGAATCAACCCCAAAACAGTGACATCAGCCCTAACGCCCGAAACCCCGAAACCCCAAAAGTCCACGACCCTAAACACCCTAACCTCCTTAACCCTAAAACTCCTGAACCTGATCCCTAAACCTACACTCTCACTCTACAAACCCAAACCCTCTATGTACTCTAAACCCTCAACTCCCAAGCCGTAATGCCCTGAGCTCTGGGGAGAGACCTCTCGGCAACAAAGGTATGGCTTGGCACACCTGCAGTGATTGTGGGGCGGGGGGGGGGGGTTCAGGGTCTACGGTGCTTTGTATTAGGGTTTTGGGGCTTTGGGCCCAAGAACTGGACTTTAAGGCATCCAAAATCTGTGGCCGACCAATAAGCACCCGAACCGTAAAGCATGAACCAGACAAGCCCAAACCTCTAACTCTCCCTGAACGTTCAGGGTTTCGGAGTTTAAGGTTTACCTTAACCCCCCCCAATAACCTACCTTTTTACGGACTTACATAAGAAAACCATACCAGGGAACCCTAGTTTCGTCTCCGAGGTTTCAGGGTCTTATCGCTTAAAGCAAGTTAAAACCTATATTGGGTTATAGGGGGCCACTGCCCGAATAGCATATACTTTGGCCCCAAAGTTCCTAAATAGGGACTACTTTAACGCCAAAGTTTATACTGTTTGAGTACATGGACCCTTCGGGATTGAGTTGTACGGGGCCACTGCAACCAGGGATCCCGGGAACCGCTGTTGTTTGTGTTAATATGTCCTGCAGTTCAAACAAGCCTGCGGGTGACGGTGGCTAAAAAAGCCCCTGAAACCTCAAACCCTAAACAGGGTCTACTTGGCTGCCCTGCAGGGCTCAGCAAGTGATTCTTGCAACTGAGATAGCCCGATTTATGACCTACTTACTATAGCGATGATGGCCCTTCGTACCGTTATCACTATCAATATCGCGTGCTGTTCCTTCCTACGCACTTTACATTGATGAACCACAAGGGCTTCAAAAAAGGATACAATACCCGGACCTTCCAATATCCCTCAATGCAGGTATATACCTTTAAGCTGTAGTAGGATCCCTAAAATGATTTAAGGCATGTTCCTGAATCAAGGGACATTGGAAGGTCTGGTACTATCACCCTAAACCCTAAACCCCAAGCGCTGGCTAGGGCTCCAGAGACTAAAAAGAGTTTAGGGCTTGAGGGCCCAGCTTTCTAGGGGTTATTGCAGAAGGTAGAGTCTACCCAAAGACTTCCAAAGTCCTTAAGAAAGGAATATCCCGTAGGCTCCAAAGTAGTTCCTTTTTGGGATTATCTTATAGGGTTCCAAATATGAACCACCAAAAGGAACTACTATGAAGGAACTACTATGAAGCCTCTAGGTATCCCTAAGGGTCCAAGTGCCCAGATAGTAGGGTTTCAAGGTCAAAACACCATTTGGTGTATGTACTTGGGGACCTAAAACCATAATATTTGGGTACTCGGACTCTCTCAGTATGGGGTTAGAGTGTAGAGTGTAGAACTTAGAGTTTAGTAGATACCCAAATCAACCCATAGTGTGAGGTATCTTCCTGAACTCTCTTCATAGTCGGGCCCAAGCATGTTCAATTTAGGGTTTAGGGTTTAGGGTAGATAGCCAAAGATGTTAGGCCAAGAAGTTTGAAGCTCTTGGATTGGCTATCAAACTTAATGAAAGGTTGTCAGGGTCTCGGAGTAGGCCTGGCCTTTCCAGGAAGACGGTTCCCGCAGTGCCTTTGAGCGACACCCATCCTCACCGGACAGAGGGCAGAGAGTACGGAATCAGGGATCCAGGCGTGTGGAGTTTAGGGTATCAGGTCAACATACATACATACAGACAGACAGACAGACAGACAGACAGGTAGGCGCATGCAAAAAGAGTTTAGGACGGACTTCTACAATGCTCTTCATCTCTTCTAGTCTATTGTTGGGATAGGATTAAAAATGTACATGTTTATTCCTTGTTGGGTTCAAGTACCCATAAAAATGTAAGATGTTACCCAACTAGGACAAAGTCTTCAACCCTAAACCTTGGATCCGGCAAAGCCTAACTGATTCCAACCTTAAGCCTTGAAGCCTACAGACTTGGTCCTAAACCCCCCCACGCTTTGACAGGCCTTCGGCAAGGTCATTCAAAGCACGGCAGCGGAAGCCTGGGTTTGGGAGTTTAGGGTTTAGGGGTTCTTGGGGTGCGATTTACGACGCTGTTGGCTTGGCGGATGCTTGTAAGGAGCATCCTGCTCTGACAACTTGCCGTGTCTTGCTTCTTCAAAATTACATGAGCACAATGCTACGGTGGAATACGTGCTTCAGGATGCTAGGGCAAGCGCCTTAGGGCTAAGGGCACACGGTTTGGTCGTAACCCGGCTCGGGTCTAGAGGTGGCTAGGAAAGCCGAGCACTCCTCCGCTATGGACTATACACCTTATAAACCATGGTAGGAAAACGACTCCGCAAAAAACAATCCGCAACTCTACACCCTAAGCCCTCGACCAAAATCCCTGAGCACTAAGCACCCCGAAAATTAATGCCCTAGACACGCAAGTTTTGTCAACCGTGAAAACTCAAAGCTAGCCTGAGCTGAGCGAAGTTCAGGGCATCAGTTTCAAGTTTAGGGTTCTGTGTCTCAGGATTTCGGACGTTTAGGGTCAGGGTTTAGTACAAGGCCTTCAATACCAGCGTGACCATCTCAAACCCAATCTGGAAGCCCGAAGATTCGCACTAGGGCTTTTGACTGCCCCGATGCTATAGGTATTCTGGGGAGCCTTAAGGAACTATAGATAACGTGGGGAACCTTAAGGAACACTATCACACAGTGTTCTGACACATGTAGTAGCAAACTTCATTAGACCGTAAATTGTGGCAACAGGCATGTGTTGTGACTGTATAGGGGTTATCCTTCCCCTGAACCCTAAGCCCTAAGACGCTCAACCCATGAACCCTGAGACGCGACTGCGGGCCACGTACTCTAAACCCGAAACCCTACAACCCTAAACCCTAACCCCTAAACCCTCCACGGCCAAGTTGGGGACGAGTCAAGCCAGACTCGTCATCCTTCCCCGGCTCCAAAACCTCACGAAGAGGCTCTGTGTGAGTTGGGTAGGGTTTAGGGGTTTACGGGTTAGGGGGACAGGGGTGGGGGGCGGGGGGTTAGGCCTTTAGGGTTTTAGTGTTTAGGGTTGTGAGGATTTTTAAGGGTCCTTCTTTAGGGTTCTATAGCGCGCGGATGGGTTCCCTATTCTAAACACACCACAATATGGCCCACCAGCCTGAAGGCCCCTGTATTCTACTATTTGCTTAAGAACCCCAAAAAAATAAAAAATATATTCCTTATGGGGGTAATATAGGGATTATTATTTTTATTTTTTGGGGGGTTTCTTAAGCAAATAGTAGTATTACAAGGGGCTCTATCATGGTCTAGGCATGTTAGTTTGGGGCTTTGGGCGGGATGATGCTAGAGGTTGTTAAACGAAATGTTCATACAACGCATCCCGAACCTTACAACCATTCAGCCCGCTATCTCGGATCAAATGAGGTCCCTTAACAGTAGCCCCTATAACTGGAATCCCGAAATCCTACCTTTCTGCAAACTTATACATGGAATGAAAAGCAAGGTAGCAAAAAAAGGTAGCAGAATTTTGGGGGCTTCGGTAAACCCAAAACTCAGAAACTCGCAGATGCATGCGGTGTGGGACAAGCCGGCCTCAACCATGTCGCCGAAAGACAGCTTCTTCACCTGGGTGTGGTTTTGAGTGTCAAACCGCTTTGGGGTTGATGATCTAGGAGACTCAATAATAATATGCTTAGAAATAATAGCAGGAATGAAAACACAACTAGTACTAATAATGATGATAACACTGCTGAGTACAGGAATTTGGGGTAGACTGTACTATGATCATAACCAGGAAACATCAGGGATAGTATGTCAACAGTAGTTCCGGGGTTTGGTTTCGCGAGAGTGAAGATTCGAAACATCCCCAGACCAAGACCCCAAACCTAGGATGCCCGGCAAAAGAGGGGTAGTTTTATGGGCAACCTGTGACCATAGAGGAAAGAGCGCCCACTGGAGACCTTGAAACCTGACGCTCAGGTGGGAAACCAGAGATGCGCAGTGTCCCGCAGACAGGGCAAGCATACGGTGCAAGCAGACAGAGGTGTCCTAACATATGCAAATCTGTTTGTCCCTGCTGTATACGTACAACGTATACGTATGTGCATACAAAACTATGCATGTATGTATACGTGACTGCATTACAACGAATACCTGTAAACATGAAGACGTACATGAATGCACATACTCTACAAGCCTTGAGCCCTTTACCCAAAATCCACACCCCCAAAGTTTTGTTGCACCCGTGTGAGGTCCAGGCCGTCTTTCCTTCCTTAACATCAAACAGGTCCGTCATGACGACTTCTTTGATGCATTTCATGTAGTCCTGAACCATTGTCGGTTTTAGGACTTATACGGCTTAGGGTTTAAGGTCATTGGTTGTGGCGGACGTGGCGGTTACGGTTTATCTTGTGGTTGAAGGCATTTGTTAGGGCTGTGCAGCACCTCCAAAGAACTCTGAAACATCAAATGCTACAGGTTGCATACTCACCCCCGAATAATGCTGCAGACCATGACATCCAAGCGAACGGTTAAGCTCAGCCTCAAACCCTGATGACAAAGGCTTCAGAGGTTTGGGTTTACGGTTGGGAGCAGACCAGTGTCCTGCAGCAGCAGCGTCAGGCCCAACTTCGTGAAGCCACTGGCCTAGCGACTCGTGACGGCGGTGCAGTTGAATATTTCGGGCTCGAGTAGACAACTTGCAATTGGGACGGGACACACGGTTTTCGCGTATTTTGACGAGGTTCTGCTATAACGAAAACAGGGGACGCTGAGGCATGCATTAACAATTATCAGCCTTCTAGTTACGTAAGCAGGGAGAGCGATTTGCCAAAATCTCCTGTGGTAGGGCTTATGCCATCCCATGATTAGCTCTGCGGCACATTTGCTTTCTGCAGCGGACCTGGTTCTTGTTTATAGTTTCGGGTTCAAGGAAGCCTGCAAAGTGTGTTTCTACGTCGAGGAACCTGTATGTTGATAAACACGTTCTAAACCCCTAAACCCCAAACCCCTAAAGCCTAAACCACCAAACCCAAAGGTTCTTAAAGCCTAAACCCGAAGTGCATGGGCTGGCCTGGCCTCATACCGCTCTAAGCCGAGTTGGATCTCGCTGGCCTCGAAGCGGGGCAGGGGTCACGCTGAGGCTAGGCGTTAAGGTAAAAGCCAGAAAGTTGGAATATGATTATCCTAAACCCTTTATGGTAAATTATAAGGTATCCTACCCTGAAACCATATTCCAACTTTCTGGAGCTCCCTTTATTGAGGTTTAGGGCTGAATTAGGGGACCCTCATAACTTGAAATGCTACTTGGAAGGGCAGGGGACTTAGTAGGTAGGTTATAAGTAGAGTTATAAGTACCCTAAATGGAGTTCCCCCAATTATAAGCCTACTTAGAACCTACTTACTAAGTCCCCTAAAGCCCCTCCAAGTAGAATCTGCGTCAGAGGGTGTACCACAGCACCAGTTTTCAGGCCCTGTACCGTCACTTCATTGAGTCATCAGAGCTAAGCCCAATGAAACGATTGGGGCTTACGGCTTACGGCGTTTTGTTGAGAGCTTGGTAGCATTAGTCAGTCGTAGTCACGAAATACTCACAGTAATGTGCTTATACTATATATTGAAGATTAATACTTTGACCTCAAAATACGCCCTACATCGGTACTTTAGGGCCAACAAGTATGAACACGTGGCAGCTCCTAAGTTGTGAAAGACGAAAACTCTGAACCGCAAAAGAGCCAAACTCGAAAAGTCAATGTAAACCTCACAAGAAACACTCAATAGATCCTATAAAACCTTGTGCACCTCTGTAAAAATCTATAAGACAAGTATAGAAATCCTGTCAAGAAACCATCATACACTAACCCTACCATACACCTGAACAAACCCAAAGCCCTACGAATGCAACGTCCCTTGGGGGATCTTCCCGCGCCTGCAAGGCAGCTGAGCTCACAAAGGTCGAGAGCTCCTCCAAAGGGGTTTAGGGTTTTAACGCGTAAGGTTTTTCATCAAGCTTTGTGCTATCAGCGTTCAGGTTTTAGGGTTCAGGGTTAGAATAAAAAAAGGGTAGTGCGTAGGGCATAGGGTTTCTATTTTGAAGCCAACCAGTTGGAACATGGGTTAAGGATGATTAGTGCTGGGATTCCCCATACTTTACTTTAAGGGCAGGAGGATAATAATGTCCAGCTTCCGGCTTCTACTCTATAGGGTTTAGGCTTCAAGGTGCGATGTTGGTCTAGGGTTTAGGGTTCTAAGGTATCATGCAAGCTGTATGTTGGTTTCGCAAGGTGTCGTCAAGATATCATCGTTGTACTTTGTACTATCTTTACTCTTCGATGCTGCGCAAGTTTCGGGTCCAACGTCAGGGACCCACACCCAGAGAAGTTCCAAGTTCAACTCTAAGGCATGTTGGGTATGGATGACCCCCCATTAGCCTGAACTTTAACTTAAGGGCACGAGTATAAGAATGTACCAACTATGTAGCTTCAACTTTATGTTTTAATTCAGGGCCCTTCTAACCTGAGAGGAGATCGATCACGAGGTTAGACATATACTACTATTTGCTTAAGAACCCCAAAAAATATAAACTATATTCCTTATGGTGGTAATATAGGGATCATTATTCTTATTTTTTGGGGGGTTTCTTAAGCAAATAGTAGTATATGAGCATTTTAAGGCTCTCAAGGGTTCAGGGCAATTGTGCTCGGCACCACCGCCTCAAGCCTTCGGCTAAACCCTAAACCCTGAAACCCCGGGCCCAAGGACCCCCAAGTACCCTTCAATAGAGCACTTGTGGTGTATTTAGGGTTTCATAGAGGGTACTTGGTGGCTCTGGGCTTGGACATTATAGTTCTTCAAGCTCCTTCAAGACCCTAAAGCCTGTCCGTGATAGCAAACCCTAAGACTCCAAACCCTGATGGAGTGAAGCTCCACAAATGCCTAACGCCGCGAATACAACGCCAGAAAACCCTAAATCCCCGCACTAAACCCGGAAGCCCTAAAGCAAACACCCTAAACCCCTAAACCCTACAACCCTACCAAACCCAGGAAACTTTGGCAGACTCCGCCTAAACCAGTACTAAAACCTTAAAACTTTAGCAGAATCTGCCAACCTGCACGGGAATGGTGGCTTTCTCTTTGCGGAGCTTCTCGAACAAAGCCTGCCCGGACTGCCGCATTCCAGACATAAGGATACACTGTTTGTTCGGGTATGAATTAAAGTTCAGAGTCCCAACATATACGACTTCGGGTTCGAGGTCCAGGTTTAAGATTTGGGGCTGTGGATGTAGGGTTTGAGGGTTCAGGTTCAGGATCTAGATAGTGTTGAGGAGTTAGGGTTGAAGTCTTTAAGATGCGTGGTCTAGGATTGACACCGTGGTGTGTCGTCGTCTTTATCCCCAGTCTTCCCATAGCAAAGCCTCAGATCTACACTCCCAGCAGGGTTCAACCCGAAGTCTAGATCCACTCACACCCTAAACCCTAAACCCACGCTGAACCCTAAAACCCTAAACCCTACAACCCAAAACGAAAACCCTAAACCCTAAACCCACCCTAAACCCTAAAACCCTAAAACCCTAAAACCCTAAACCCCTCAAACCCAAAACCCAAAACGAAAAACCCAAACCCTAAAGATGATCCTATCATTCATTATAATTATAACCTAGACTCCCCCTCGCGGTCGGCAATGAGTTCTTCTTCACTGCCATCGGACTCTAGACCCACGAATGGCGGTATACCAGGTGCCATGGCAGTTCGAAGGAGCACTTCGTCCATCTCCTGCCACAAGGAGGCTTTCTTTTTAGTACACTGCGGCATGTTCACAGACATCATGACAATGGTCCAATGAGGAGCACCGTGACTTGTGCGAACCAGGGCCGGTGTATACCAAAATGGCGTCTCTTGGTTGCCCAAATTCAAAGTCACGCGGTCATTGTCACCGTAGCATCCGTCCACAGTGCACCAAACCCCACCGACCTGGGTGGCCACCACCATGCCTAAGTTCGTCAGATCCCACCCTGTGAACGCTTGTCGTGTAGTGCGCCGCGGATCATACGAATGGGGTCCGCCCTCCTGATACTGCTTCATTTCGCGACTCCACAACTACCCTCTTGTATACCCCAAACACCCACTATGATGCGTCATAAGGGCTCTATTAAAGCACCATTGCGGGGTCCTGGAAATTTTAAGTCCTACTTCATGGGCGGCTTCCCAGTCGTTCCAGTCTCCTTCGCTCTCTTAGCTGCCCGTCTCAGTGCTATGCTGTACAGAGCCGGCGGCTTGAGGTTGCTTTACCGTGGCTCAGGGTATAGGGATTGCTTAGGCGTTAGGGCTGCTTACGGCTTCCTAGGGTTTTCGGGCTGCTTAGGGTTTAGGTTTAGGGATGTTACTAGCAATCCGTTTGCCAACTCTCTCATCGGGCTACCAGACTATGTCCGTCTTTCGTCCCTTGAGCTATGTTGGCGGGCGCAGTGTCCCAGTATCAGTTAACGAAGAGAAGATGCACATTATGAGTTTGCGATGTCGCCCCAAGGATCCACGTACTCATATAATATATACTTTGGCCTTAATGTCATCCCGATTTAGGTACTTTTTGGCCCCTGTGTATACTATATGGGTACATGGACCCCTAGGGTAACACAAACAGACCCAATGGACATCCGGAAAAAATCCGGAAAACAACCTGATGCCCCTATCAGACTCCACAGCGACACCATCACCGATCCCGAGTATAGAGCTCAACAGGACAAAAGCGAGGGGAAATCCCAATCTGCCTTAAGCAATAAGAATCAAAGCTGGGATTTCCTGCAACTCCTGGATTCCTAGATGCCTCGAACAACAAGCGCGCACACTGTCCCCTTAATCGTAGAAAGCAAGAAATAAGACGTGAACAAGTCAGCATTTGCTCCACAACCTTGCCCCGCCACCACGGCGGGCCTCCACGCGGAGCCCTTCCTTGTTTGCAGCCTCTGCACCACATGAGCAATGTCGCACATCGAACGGCGTGGTTTCGGTTTCAGGCAGACAGCTAAGGCAGCCAGGTTCTGTGGGGCTTACTTATACCTTAACCTCAAGTAACCTACCATTTTAAGGACTTATATGAAGAAATCATATTAGCGAGCCCTAAAAAGGTAGGTTCCTTAGGGTCCAGGTAAGACTTGGCCGTTGTGTTGCAGTTTCCTTGCAAGGGATATAAAGCCCGAAAGCATGGCGGGTTTCAGATGGAGGTCACCAAAAAACCTTTGGAAACGCGCGACACCGGCAGTCCTTCATCCTTTGTTAAGGGAAAGCGTTTATTGTACATTCATACGTATCTCGAGGTTTCGGGCTCAGCAACCAAAGCCTGCCAAGAAACGTGGGTATCGAGCACTTGCCGACTTCAGGTTTCAAAAGGGCTTCTGATAATGATGGCGCGCAGCATGTGCACCCAATGCTACTACAAGGACTTTGTAGAAGGGTTGCATGAGAGTTGTACGAAGGCTTGTCAGTCGGGGTGTTATTGTAGAACCTGCCCCCTAATGCCCCTTGATTAATCCCTTCCCCCAATATTAAAGGTGAGTAATAAAACTTAAAACCCTAAGCCTTAAATCTCGAGCCCCAAACCCTAAAGGCCTGAGCCCTAAACTTTAAGTCCTCAAGCCCTGAGCCCTAAATCTTTAGCCCTGAGCCCTAAACCCTTACACCCTAAAGCTCTGGTGTCTTTAACTTTAGTACTGCTGTAATCTTTGGCTCTATAAAGCCCTGAGCCCTAAACCTTTAAACCCTATAATTAGGGTAACTCCATTCAGGGTACTTATAACCCTACTTATAACCTACTTACTAAGTCCACTGCCCTTCCAAGCAACCCTAAACCCTGAACTGAACCCCAAACCTGGAACCCTATACCTTTAACCCTAAACTCCACATCCGAAATCCGCCCAGGCCTCCCGGATGGCGCTAGCCACGGCTCTCTGTGCATCCGATGTCAGCTTCTTCCTTTTCTCCTCAAGCGAAAACGCCCTTGAACCCTCTGGGTTACCTAAAGGGAACTCCAGAAAGTTGGAATATGGTTTCAGGGTAGGATACCCCATAATTTACCATAAAGGGTTTAGGATAATCATATTCTAACTTTCTGGCTTTTACCTAGAGTCTCCATTGCAGTGCCTTTGTTGGTTAACCAAGTTTATAGTACAGGAGCCTAACCACAAAATTTGCTAAACAAAAGGGATTACAATTGAGACTATACGTATACTAGTAGAAGTCAGAAAGTTGGAACATTGGTGCTGACCATCCTAAACCCATGTTCCAACTTTCTGGTGTTCACTGCAAGGGTTTCTGGCTTTGGCATTTTGGCGAACTTTTGAGATTCAAGTGGTAGCCTTCTTCTTTGAAGAGCCATCCCGGCGAAGGCCAAATGTCTGGAGTCACGAGTTCAAGTTCCCCTAAACCCTAAACCCTAAGCCGTCCTTATAATTAGGGCTTTCGGCTTTGAGGCTCCGTTTAGACCGAAGATGAATTAGACCGCCTTGAAGTTTCAGAAGAACCCCGAACATATAAATGAACAGATTCAGAGAAAGACTTGACATCAGCTGGCTGATTTCAGACTGCGGATGTGTTGACCGGCCGTTTACAGCCCAAGCCCTACCATAACACCCAAAATGATCTACCCAGCTATTTTCGGACTTATTACATAAATTAATTACAGTTAGGCGCCCTAGAAAACTCGGTAATCTGAGTTCCATACCACATGCCCAAGATCCCAAATACCAACAACTGAAACCTGTACAGACCTTTGTGCAACGCTGAGACACCCCAGAATCCTATATCCTGAAATCCCAATCCCTAACCAGGAAGCTGGAAAAAGCCCGGCTGTTCGCCTGCAGGATCTGCAAGAGTTGCTGAGCCTTCTCCTCCTGCGAGGTTTAGGTCTCACTTCGACGCTCATGGGACTAGCTATGCAGCAGGCAAAAAGAAGGGTTCCAATTAGGATAGCCCTGGCTAGCGCACTTCTCAAGTTCTCACCCACTTTACAACTTGCTGACTGACCCCCCCATCATTCAAATATTCCCCCCCTGACTTCGCTGAGCCTTGAACCCTGGCCTTCAATGCCGAGAACAACTCCAAGAGCCAAACCCTTAAGAACGCGGACTTCCGGGTAATGTATATACGGTTGGCTACGTAGACCCTTACCCCCTAACTCTAGACAGTTCAGCAGCCCACACCGCCCAAGCCGCGCTCCGGCGTCCAAATGTCATTGAGATGTCCGGTCACGACATCCCAGACCTGCTCATTCAAGACGCTTCTAGGGTATATGGTTCAGGCTTCAGGAAGATCAAAGGAAAGTGCCTTGGTTCGGATAAGGGCTGTAAGTCCTCAATTAGACCTGAGTTTAAGGATGCGCGGTTGACACAAGCAGGGAAGGCCAAATTTAGGAAGCGCTGAGAAAAAAACGATATGCAGTCGACTCGCTGGAGTGCTATATACTTGTTGAAACGGTTCAGGGCTTAGGGTCATCGGGTTGCGCAGGCCATCAGCACGGAAATCTTTGCCTTAGCCTATTTCTCAAGCTTGGGTTCCTTGCAGGGCCGCTCCCGTTCTGAGGACGCGCCGGAGTTGAAGGCAAATAGGGTACAGGACTTCTTTCCGCCTTTCGGTGTGAAGTCTGCGGTTGCAGGGCCGATGCCGTAGGTTTCAAGGTGTAGTTGGACCTGACTTCTGCAGCCCTAGTTTATTCCGAGCCAAACCCGTAAACCTCAAAGACTCAAGTCCTGAGCAATCTTGGAGGATCCAAGGACTGCACAAAGTAAAGTTACAAGTACCCTAATTGGGAGTGCAAGTAGTTATAACTATAATAGTTACCAGTTACCTTATTCATGATCCTAATTACTGAGTCAAATGATCCTCCAAGTAGGCACAGGAACGATCCGAAATCATCAAAAACTACCATTCTGTCGCAACCCAGACCTTCCAAAATCCCTTGATGAAGGCATAGCAATTCGTGATCCTACTAATTTGGGGTATATGCCTTCACTAAGGGATTTTGGAAGGTCTGGGTACACCCTGGGGCCTGCAAGCCCTCATGTAGGAGGCCTCGAAGGGACCAGTTGCGGCTAGTACAACCCATACATGATCAGGAGCTACTTGTAGCATGGCATTCATGAACACATACATTGATACTTTAAACAAATGTACTTTTACATATACATATTCATACACGTAGATACATACAGATTTGCATACATAGAGGTAGGTATACATGCCCTAGATGAGCCCATTCAAATTGCTTCGGCTGCTGTGTCGAGTAGCCCATGTCAACTATGGCGCGCCTGGAGCAAAGGACCTTGCCGCACATACCGGACGGCCTGCTTGTCCTGCAGATTGGAAGTTCCCTAAACCCCAAACCCTAAACCGCCGAGGGTTTTGGGGCTTAGGGAAACCTAAACCCTCAACCAACTCCCTGTGTGGAAACTCTTTTGATAAGGATTCTACTATTTGGGGTCTGTTTTCGGGTTCCTTCACTCTGTGGAGGTGTGCTGAAATCAAACAGTTCACTGCCCGCGGTATATATTGGGTTGAGCAGCTTCCAGTACCTAAACCCTAAACCCTCAAACTGCTAAACCTTAAAACCCCTAGACGGCTCTAAGCCCTCAACTGATCGCGGCTACTGGGGCTCAGGTGTCACCAGAAGTCTTGACCCAGGTTTTGGGTGTTACGATTTGTATCAGGGGTGTAGGGCTTTTGTATCAGGGGCGTAGTTTTACATACTTGTAAAGAGATTTGCAGAACATGTTGACAGAGAAGGGTATGTAGAACAAACCCGAGATTTCAAGGAATTCTGGCAAAACAGATTATTTGGATCAAACCCTCAACTCTACATTAAACCCCAAACCCTACACCCAAACCCCTTTTCCCTAAGCCTTTTATTCCTCAACTCCACAACCCCCAAGCCCCAACATGGCGTGGGGCTGTCACTCTGCGAGCTCTCCTTCGCCAGCTGATTCCGCATGTCGACGATCGCCTGTGCCGAACTATCGGCAGGTAAGCCGAAAGCATTAAAGGGAACTCCAGAAAGTTGGAATATGGTTTCAGGGTAGGATACCCTATTAATCTACCATAAATGGTTTAGGATAATCATATTCCAACTTTCTGGCTTTTGCTATAACATCCTGAAGAACTAACCAATGGTTCTGGGGTTCCCTTGGCTCTTTAGCTCCTTATTTAGTAGGGATTATCATCATAACTGGTTCCTTAGCTCCTCCAAGATCAATGGCCAGCCTGAAAAGTTGGAATATGAATATCCTAAACCCTCTATGGTAAATTATAAGGTATCCTACCCTGAAACCATATTCCAACTTTCTGGCTTTTGCTATAACATCCTGAAGAATGTCTCACAACTTCAGAACTTGAAACTCCGTGGAGGACCGGCCCTGAACCCTCCGGCGTTGAGGGTCCTGGGTTCAGGCTTTAGGGTTTAGGGTGGTTTAATGGGGGTTTCATGGGCTTTAGGGGTTCAGGCGTTTAGGGGCTTAGGGGTTTAGGGTTTAGGGTGGTTTAATGGGGGGTTTCATGGGCTTTAGGGGCTTTAGGGGCTTAGGGTTTAGGGGTTTCAAGGGTTTAGGGATTAGGGGTTCAGGCTTTAGGGTTTAGGGCTTTAGGGGTTTAGGGTTTTAGGGGTTAGGGGCTTAGGAGTTTAGGGTTTAGGGTTTAAGGGGTTTATGGGTTAGGGGCTTAGGGGTTTAGGGCTTAGGGGTCCTGGGGGTTCAGGCTTTAGGGTCAGCGGTTTAATGGGGGTTTCATGGGCTTTAGGGGCTTAGGGTTTAGGGGTTTCAAGGGTTTAGGGATTAGGGGTTCAGGCTTTAGGGTTTAGGGGTTTAGGGGTTTAGGGTTTAACGGGTTTAGGGGCTTAGGGTTTAGGGCTTGGAGGGTTAGGCTGTAGGATTTGGGGTTTAGGGCTTAGGCTTTCAGGTGCCTCGTAGAGCTCTTGCATCGCCTTCTCGGAGCTGATCAAAGCCTGGATGCATTGAGCCATTTTGGGGTTCGGAGCCAGGCACTTCTCCCAAAGACTCAGAAAGCCTCTTTAACAAGGAATCTGCCTATGAATAAAGGGATCCTGAATCTGATTCAAGGAGTTGTCAACTCAGGTGTCTTGGAGTCGTTGGCGCCGGAAACCTCCGAACTTAAAGAACCCGCAACCCTCATTTGTCGGCTTAAAATACACGAGCTTATAGAATCCGAATGCAGGGCCCTTAAACCAAACAGGGCTTATGACCCCCGAAGCCGTGAACTCTCACTCCAGGTACGTGCGGGATCCTGACGGCAGAAATCATCGTTTCAGGTTTAGAATGTTGTGGTTCTGGGTATTGGCGTGCGAGAGGATGAGTACAGCCGCTCCACTCACCCAACCCCTATACAGAATCCCAGAATAGTAATAGATCCAAAACAAAGTATTCTAAGACCTAAACCACAGAAAAACAAATCCTCCCTAAACCCTGGGCCCTAAACCCTAAAACCTAAACCCCTAAACCAACAACACACATCCTCCCACGACCATCCTTGGCCTCGGCTGTTTCGCTGGTGATGCCAGCTTCCAACAAGGCTTCCGCCTGAGGAATCACCTGCTTGGAAGGGCCGGGGACTTAGTAAGTAGGTTATAAGTAGAGTTATAAGTACCCTAAATGGAGTTACCCCAATTATAACCCTACTTATAACCTACTTACTAAGTCCCCTGCCCTTCCAAGTGTGCCGAGGATGTCTGGCCACTGTCCCTTAGGGCCCATGTTCCCTGAAAGGCTCCCTTAAGGGTACCGTGAGGGTTCTCTAAGATTCTCTAGAGGTACTTTTGGTGTTGAGGGAATACGGCTCCATGTAACATATGGTATGTTCACTGGTCTTAAAGTAGTCTCTCTCTAAGTACTTGGGGGCCACAGTACAGACTATTTGGGTACATGAACCCTTAGCATGTAGAGAAAAGAAATGTGCGGCTTGGGCATGGGGGGAAGGGGTTTAGGATTCAGGGTTTAGGGGTTTAAGGTCTCGGAATCAAGTGATTCAAGCCAAAACCCTAAACCCTTTACCTAGGCTTCGGGCTTGCAGTTTTGAGTCCAGGGTCGAGGGTCTAAGGTCCAGGACTGAATCAGGAGGGTACCCATGTTCAACTAAGATTTCGCCTTTTTAACTGAATAAGCAACGCTAAAGCCTCATCAAACTCTGTACACTTTGAAAACAAAACACCAAAGAGCCTATAATTACACAGCCGGCAGCCCGAGTCCGAAACGCCAAAACGACCCTAAACCCTAAACCCTAAACGACCCTAAACCTTGAACCCAAGGGAACCTCCTCAAGCTTCGGCCGGACTTTGTCCATGAGAGCCTGGGCCCAGAGGGGAGGGCAAAGAGCCTGCTTTTGCCTGGAAGCCCCCATCTACCTTCTACGGTTGATCATAAAAATCCTGCATTACCCTAAGGACCCTAAAAACTATGGGAATTATTGTATATTCCTTAGTATGGGTCATGCAGGATTCATATCATCAACCGTAACACAACCCAAATACCCACTATTAAGGGCCACTATGGCTCTATGAAAGGGCCCTTGGGGGTCCTGGTGCAAGGGGTTTAGGGTTTAGGGGTTTGGGCTTAGGGCGAGTGTAGGCGGCAGGCTTAGGGTCTAGGGTTGAGGGCTTGGCGCAGGTGCTTGCTTGCCGTTGTAAGGGAGGTGTATAAACAAACCCTGCCTCTTTTCACGGAAGTTTCTAGAGAAACCAGAGAACGGAACCCCGAAGGTGAATTTTTGGGCAATAGATGGTAACAGGTACGACAAAGCAGACATGCCAAAACGGCGAAATGGGTAGTGCTAGGAGGCCTGGTTTGGGGCTAGGGGGGGGGTGTGGGGGGTTGAGGGTGTCGGGTTTAGGGTTCGGAGCTTGTGGGTTGTGAAGCTTAGAGAGTGAGTGGAGCTTCAGGGTTAAGGACCTAGGGACTAGGGGTGAGGCTTTTGAGTATGGGAGTTTCCGAAAATGGGGGGGCGCCCAACTATGGTACCATCAATACCAGGGCCCTTATTATAAGGACCCCAGAATCAGGTAGCCCTGTGTTCGGAAGCTCCCGTATCAACTTGAAGGTTGGTGTTGAAAGTCTCGGGTGTTTAGAACCTCACATGTCATGCAATATCACCATCACCATGGCCGCTCGAATTCCATCGCCACCGTCAACATGACCGCCACCATCACCATCAGAATTCAGAATCATCTAGCAAGCCCCAAACGTCAGAATTCAGAATCATCTGGTAAACACTAATTAAATCTCGGGCGGCGGGGAACCCGAAGCAAAACCATGTCAACCGTACTACGAGGCAAACTGTGAGGGTTTGGGGTTGGGGGCTTTGGAGGCTTTGTGGTGTAGGGTTTGGTGGGTTGAGGGTTCGGGGTTCCGGGAAAATCAAACCCTAAATCCTGAAGCCTGTCAACCGCCCAAATCTATAAGCCTTAAAGCCTGCACGCCACCCCAATCTAAAACTCTTAACTAAACCCTAAACCCCAACCTAAATCTTACGAACCCTAAGCACCGAAAGGCAGAAACTCCAGCCTCAAACTTATAAACCCTCGACGCTAAACCGTAATTGTTGAAACTCAAGCATAAACCCTAAAACCCCAATGGGTTCCAGGTACTGTGGTGGGGGATACTTTCCGAAATCATAGCAGTCGTTCCTACTATAGAAACCCTACATTCTGCTGTATGGGAGTTTCCCAAAATAGGGGCCCCTACTGTAGTACCCTAATAAATTACATGGTAGGATCCTGATTATACGGACCCCAAAATCACGTACCACCCCCTGTAATTTTCGAAAACTCCCATAGAGGTACTTGGAAGCCTTTGGCGAAAAAGAGCTCGCCTTTGCGCGAGAGGTCATCTTCTCGGCTTCATGGCGATCGAGGGCCTGCAAAGTTGATCCTTCTGCTTACTTGGAGGGGCAGGGGACTTAGTAAGGGCTCTTAAAGGGCTCCTTAAAGGGATCTATAGGGTTCCTTAAACGGGATCTATGGGGTTCAGGGTTTAGGGTCTACTTGGAAGGGCAGGGGACTTAGTAAGTAGGTTATAAGTAGGATTATCATTAGGGTAACTCCATTTAGGGTACTTATAACTCTACTTCTAACCTACTTACTAAGTCCCTGCCCTTCCAAGTAGGGTGTAGTGAGCCCTAGAAAGTGGGAACATAGAAGCAGAGGATGATGCATGCTGGGAGTCTGTATACGTTTCTTAACATCACGAGGATAATGATGTTCCAACTTTCTGGCTTCAACTGTAAGTCTGGGCTTTGAAGTAACCAGGGAGAAAACCGTATACGTCACTATCAGAATCATTGGGGTAAGTACCCCCACCCCCATATAGAAGCTATCTTGTCTTCCATGCGCACGCACGAAGCCGATCGACATGTGACAAACAAAACTCAAAGCCCTAAGATCCTCAGCCCTACAAACCCCAACTTACACTCCCAAACTCCAAATGCCGAAACTCTATAATGCCTAAACCATTCTAAACCCGAAACCAATAAAATCCGTTCTGCAACTCCTACAGTACCAAATAGAACGCCTCTGCCTCTGTCTTGTAGAACCCTGAACCCCTTCGCCCCCAGAAACCGTGAACCCAACAGTCCTCATAACACTAGAACTTTAGGGAACAAGCCCTGAACGCAACCACCAAACTTCTCCACATTTTGTACTACAAGGCTCGGTTAGGGTTTAGGGTTTAGGGGTTTAGGGTTTAGGGGTTTAGGGGTTTAGGGTTTAGGGGTTTAAGGGTTTAGGGGTTAAGCGTTTATGGTTTAGGGGTTTAGGGTTTAGGGATTTAGGGGTTTAGGGTTGAGGGTTTCGGACTCAGAGTCGAGAGTTGAAGATTGAGGATGAGACGTCTGGGGTTTAGACTGAGCATGAACCCGAAACCCTTCGTCGGGTTCACTTGCATCCAAAACGGAACCGAGAACCCTAGACCCTAAACCCCTAAATGCCTAAACCCCTAAACCCTAAATCCAAAATCCTAAAGCCCTGAAGCCTAAAACCCTCAAGCCCTAAACCCCTCCCAAACTCCACCCAAATCCCCCAAACCCAACCCCCTAAACCCATCACACCAAAGCCCTTCTGGCCTCCTGCTTTCGCATGCTCTCCGCCTGCTCAAAGCCTTGTATTAGCCTCTTCGTCTCGGAGAGCTTCTTCCTGGAAGGAGGGAGTTTGCGTTCTGGGGTTTAGGATTCAGGGGTTTAAAGGGTTTAGGGGTTTAGGAGGTTTAGGGCTTTAGGAGGTTTAGGGTTTAGGGGGTTTGGGGTTTAGGTTTGGGGTTTGAAAGGTTTGGTTTGGGGTTCAGACTTTGCGGGTTAAGGGTCCTGGAAAAGGGCACTTGGGTCTTGGGTTTAGGGTTTGGAAGTTTAAGGTTTGGATTTAGGGCACGGGCTGAGGACAATTCTTTGAATGTGCAATGGCCTGGGGTTTTGGCGGTTTGGGGGTTAAGGAATTTGAGGCACGGCTTATGACCTGAATGAGATTCGAGGTTTGTGTTTTAATGCGCTTCATGTCAACAACGACTTACTATGACTGTGGCTGGTAAGCGGAGAGTTTGCTATTCTCGAGAAAGTAGCGCCAACACTTAATGGAAGACGTGTGTAAACCCTAAACCCTAAACCCCTCCCCCGACAGAAACCTTCCTGGGTCGGGCACTCGAGTCATCCTTCGCTCGCGCATGGTGGGGATTATACCGGCAGTGACTGGCTACCTTCACCTACCGGAACCTAGATTCTTGTAGGGCCCCTAAACATTCGTATTAGGGTGTATAAAAAGAACCTGCAAAACCTGGCTTATGGTAGTGTAAGCCAGATCGTGACACCGTAGGAACATGGTGAAGAGCCCGTTGGTCCTGAATACCCAATATCTTCAGATTCAAGTCTGTGCATTACCTTTCCGAAAGCACACAAACATGGCACAGTACAACTCCAGAGTCTAAAGATTAAACGGCAGCTGGTAAACTAGGTTTACGCCTCAGCTTAGCTATCGAAATTTCTAACTGCAGGCTTGTCTCTTTGGTAAAACCATCGACACGGTATAGAAGACAGCACAGCATCGCAAAACAAGGCCAAGGGTCCAAGTACCAATGGGCCCCAGCAGTAGATAGGAAGCAAGCAAACCAAAATGACAAGTGCTTCAAAGGATCTGGCACCGGCAACCTTGACTGAACCCCTAAACCCAAAACCCCTAAACCCTAAACTCCTAAACCCCCAAACCCCAAACCCCGAAACCCTAACCCCTACACCCTGGAAATACAGGCCGGGTAGTCTTCATGGTATTGAGGCTCACCTGCACCTCGGGCTTTGGGTTTGGGGCTTGGGGGTTTAGGGTTTAAGGTTTAGAGTTAGGGTTTGGGGTTTTGGAAACCCTCGGGATTGGGGATTAGGGTTTAGGGCATAGCGTGAGGCAGCAGCCAACAACATCGAGCATCAACCGGTAACATTCCAACGTCTCAGAGATTGCTCTAAGCTTTGGGTTGAGGTTTCGGGACATAGGGTTTGGTGGTATGTCATACTGTAAGTATAATAAGAAGCCCTAACAAAAGATTGGTGCTCATTTAGGCCCCTACATTAAAGGCCTCAAAGTCAATCTCTCAACTGTGAACTGCCAAACCACAAACAATTAGATCCTAAACTCGCAACCTTGGTGCGCAACACCCACACAACCCCAAACTCTCGGACCCTGAACCAAAATCGTACTTCACGAAACCCTCAAACCCAAAAACAATAAGAAAGCACTGCACAACACCTATCAAGATTCCCTAATAAGAAAGTTAACAAACCGCAGAAGAACACTATAATCAATATGCCCTTTCAGAGCCCCGTTAAGGTCTGTCAGAAAAACCTATAGAAGCCCCATAGTTAACGCTATAGGAACAATCGAAAATCCTACAAGTTTGAGGCTTGTAGACGGCCTGTAAGACTCCCAGGCAAACCTAGCACAGAATTCCATGACCCTATAAGACCCCCTGACAACCTTTCGAAAGAGCCCTGTGAAAGCCAAGAATCGCATGAGAACCTACCAGAGAATCCTATAACCCTATAAGACTCCCTGAAAACCCTGCGAGGGCCCGCATAAATGCAACCCCATAATCCTGTAACTTACAACCCTAAACCATAAACCGTAGAATCCCTGAACACCCTGTAATCTTATAAGAATCCCTAAACCCTAAACCCTGCAAGAATCCCAGAACACCCTGAAACCCTAGAATCCTAAACCCAAAAATCTAAACCTTAGAATCCTAAACCCTAAAGCCTAGAATTCGAAACCCTAAGGGCCTATGAATGCCCATCCAAGCTCAAGGCGGTAGCCATCCGACCTCTCAGTTGACCCACCTGATCCTGACATCGGGATCGAGAAACGTTTAGGGTTTAGGGCTTAGGGTTTAGGTAGAACTCTTAGTATTAGGGTTTACGGCTTAAGGCTAAAGGGATCAAGAAACTTTTAGGGTTCAGGGTTAAGCCAGAACTCTTTGGATTTAGGGTTTAGGCCTAAACCACCACAAGGAGGCAACATAATGGCCAGGCGCCTATCAAAGGCGTCCATTCTACATACTTTTGATTTCCAGGTACGGCTTAGGGGAGAGAGAGCTTAGGGCTGTGGGCTTCGCCAATTTTCAGAAGTTTTGGGGGCTTCGAGGTCGGAATACCGGACAAACCAGGAAAAAGTACCAAAACATGTGCTCTAAAATCCGAAACTCTAAGCGTTTCTCAAAATGTGTGCCCCCCCCCCCCCCGGGTACCACCAGCCTCTTCTGAACATATAACACTTGCCGCACCATGAAGACTCCAAGTGGGGGCAGTTTGTCTAAGGGCTCTATGGCGCCTGTATTGGGACTCCATTTATGTATCAGGACTCTATATTCATAAGGACTCTACAAAAGCTCTACTAATACAAACAACCAGCAGCACTGAAAGGACCTTTAAAAGGCATCCAGACCTGTAAACGACCCATTAAAACCCTTTCCAAACCCCTCAAACATTCCTCGCAAAACCCCCGTGTAGAAGCCATAGTGAAGCCCTGCAACCCTAACAGCAAATTCTTGCAAACCCCTAAACCTTGAAACTAAACCCCTTATACACGCCTAGGAGAGCAGGCGGGGGACCTTCAGGTCAGCGAGGGCAGGGCCTGCATTTCGGGTTGCCTGGCCACGTCGGGGGGATGCGCGCGCGCGCGTGTGTGTGTGTGTGCGTGTGTGTGTGTGTGTGTGTGTGTGTGTGTCTGTGTGTGTGTGTGTGCGAGTGTGTGTGTGTGTGTGTCTGTCTGTGTGTGTCTTTGTGTGTGTGTCTGTGTGTGTCTGTGTGTGTGTGTGTGGGTGTGTGTGTGTGTGTGTCATGTGTGTGTGTGTGTCATGTGTGTGTGTGTGTGTGTCATGCGTGTGTGTGTGTGTGTGTGTGTGTGTCATGTGTGTGTGTGTGTGTGTGTGTGTATGCGTGTGGGTGTGTACGTGTCTGCCTGCCTGCCCGTCTGTCTTCCTGCTTGCCTGTCTGCCCGTCTGCCTGACTGCCTGCGTGGTTGCCTGCCTACCTACGTGTCGTCGCTGTGTGTTCGTAGTGCTGTTGTTTGTGAAGGTGTTCGGCTTGGGGGAACCTTTTTGCAATAGGGCTTACGCAGGGATTCGCGGTTTAGGTTCTTTTTTGCGCAGTTTTGGGGCGCAGGGCATGGGATTCATCTTGTTCAGAATTGCGACTTTGGGGAGCGGAGAGTTGGGAATGTGTTGCAAGTTCGTCAGATGTAGGCTGCAGTGTTTAGGGTTTAGGGTTTATAGCTTAGGTTTTAAAGTTTTTTACACATGTTAGACCCAACCCTCTCAACTAGGGCCTATGGCTTAAAGTTTTAGGTTTAGGGGTCTATGGCTTAGGATCTAGGGCCTCCTATGTTTTATTTCGCGTGACCTGAGCCCTGAAACCTCCAAGCCAAAAACTGTGTCTAGGGGTTACCTGCACCCCAAATGACGTACCTTTCCAAGGATTTGTTATAAGCAGCAATCATAAGAAGGAACCCTTAAAAAGTAGGTTATTTGGGGTCCAAGTAAGTTTAGAGCTTAGCCTCTGCAAGCCCTGAAGCATAGAATGCCAGATGTCACCCCTTCTAGGACTCGTCTTTGGAACGCTCATGGAACCATCGAGGAGACCCTGCAAAGAGAGATCCAGATGACCCTCAGCCCTAAAACAAACCTACAACACCGCATGCAGTCCGTACAATGCCGATAACAAAAATACCCCACGTAAACCTCCCAGCCTGATTCAGGATGCTGTTTCGGAACCCCTGAAGCCCAAACCTTAAATTCAAAACCCTAAACCCTAACATAAGCCCTGAACCTTGAGTCTGAAGCATATACATGCCAAGAGCCTGAAGCCCAAACCTTAAAGTCCAAAAAGGGTTTAGGGTTTAGGGGTTTGGGGTTTAGGGGTTTAGGGTTTAGGGTTTAGGGGTTTAGGGTTTAGGGTTTAGGGTTTAGGGCCCTAAACCCTGAAGCATATACGTGCTAAGAGCCCCCCGGATGCCTGACGCATGAACTCAAAACCCAGAAGATCTAAACCATACTTGGAAGGGCAGGGGACTTAGTAAGTAGGTTAAAAGTAGAGTTACAAGTACCCTAAATGAAGTTACCCCAATTATGTCCCTACTTTTTCCTACTTACTAAGTCCCCTGCCCTTCCAAGTAGCTGGGCGAGGGTTCTCAAGTCGGAGCCAGACATGGGAGTTTCCGAAATTAGGGGTACCTTATTTTGGGGTCCTTCAAGGGTTCCTTAAAGGGATGTATAGGGGTTCTACAAAGGGCTACTCCAAACCCAAAAGATCCTTCAAGCCCTAAACTAAACCTACTTGTCCAGCATCCTGGGACTATCTAGGGAATATAGTCACCCCAAAAACGGTCAAGGTTACCTACTCTACTACCAGGTAAATCCTAAATTGCCCTAAGCCAAAGAACTTTCAAAGAGCCCCAGATTGCGGATCACCCTTGTCCTTTTAGAAACAATAGACAGAGCCCTATACCTATATCCCTTAGTAGGAATTATTTACGAAGGTCTACTAGCCGGTCTGTTTATTCTTTTGGGGGGACCATGAGAAACGACAAGGCTGTTGCGGATGCCTGCATCTTCAGGTCCAGTAGCCTGGCTGTTTGCGCCAGCGCCTCCAAGAGCAGACTCGGTGCGGCTTTCAGGGATCTACAAGGCTTCTACAAGAGATCTGTATCTACTAGGTTTTTTTAGAAAAACCTGGTAAAGCCTAAGTTTTTCTACAAGAGATCTGTAGGGTCTCTTTAAGTGTTCTTCTCAGGCTTGGGAGTGAGGGCTTATGATTCAGAGGCCTTTCTAAGGGATCTACCGCTGCCCCTCCAAGTAGACCCTAAACCCTAAACCCCATAGACCCCTTTAAGGAACCCTATAGATCCCTTTAAGGAGCCCTTTAAGAGCCCTTACTATGTCCCCTGCCCTTCCAAGTTTGCACCCGTAGCCCAGGAATCTGCGAAAGGGTCTCCCGTCTCCTGGGACTTATTGGTTCGAGCTTGAGCTTCTACAAATCCCCAGAGACCCCAGTATCCCTTAACTAAAGAATATCCCTGAATTAAGGAATATCCCTTAATTAAGGAATATTCCTTAGTTAAGGATTATTCCTTAAATCATATTAGGGATCCTAAAATAATTTAAGGAATATTCCTTACTTAAGGGATATTGGAGTCTCTTGGGAGCAGCCTCGTTCATCTCGTCAATGGAAGACGAAACTCTGAGTGTCAAAACCTCGGTCAGTCTGAGTTGGGCTCAGGGTTTAGGGGTTTAGGGTTTAGGGGTTGGGGTTTAATGGGGTTTAGGGTTTAGGGATTAGGGTTTAATGGGGTTGAGGGCTTAGGGGTTGAGGGTTATAGTCGGCCAAAGTGTGAGTTCAGGGTCACCACCAGGTCGGTTCTTGTTGAGAGGTTAATCTGCAATCCTTCTACAAGGGTGTTACTGGGTGTTGTGTTGGATTTGTGAGGGCTCTACTACTATTTGCTTAAGAACCCCCCAAAAAATAAAAAATATATTCCTTATGGTGGTAATATAGGGATTATTATTTTTATTTTTTGGGGGTTTCTTAAGCAAATAGTAGTCTATGCAGGTTCTCTAGGGTTTTGGGGCTTGGGACTCGCGCTGGGCGTCTGCTGAGCTTCTGCATGGGGCTTACGGCTTACGGGTGAGGGAGTTTTAGGTTGTAGGGGGCTGCTGGGCTACAGTATCAGTCATGCTTCATGTGGGGCTTTGAGAAATTAGAATCGTGTTGCGGGTTTTGTTGTACTATACAGCTAAACTAAGGCCCGGGCTGCCTAAGGAACAGTAGTCGTAATTCTTCACGCATTTATATTACACTTCCCGGTATGCGTTTTGTCTAAGCCCTCAACCCACAAACCCAAAACCCGGGGCCCTAAACGCTAACCCCCAGTCAGACTAGAACCGCAGCTTGGGGCGAGGCCTGGTGAGACGAGAAGGGCTGCGCAAAGGTTGTGCCTGGCGGCTTTCGGATAAAGAAGTTAGGCTCAGGATTCACGGTTTCGGGATGAAGGGTTTAAGACTTAGGGTTTAAGGGTTTAAGGTTTCAGTTTCGGGTTTAAGTTTAGAAGGTGGGGATTCGGATATACGGGGGTTAGGCTTGGGACTCCAAGGATGTAAGGAGCTGAGGGTTTGGGCTTAGGTCTACAGTTTAGGGTTTGGGGCTGAAGCCGCAGAGATTTTATGAAACCCTCAATAAAATCAACCTGCGTAACATGGAACACCAAACAGCAGGTTCCTTAAAGGACTGCAATCTGCATTCCAACTGTCGCGTTCTCCATCGATATGGGGGGTAGCTATCTGTCTCTCGTCCTCACAAACCCGGTGTGCAGGCACGGGCGGGAGTATACTGAGTTAGGGAATATATACGATTACAGCCAAGCGGAATTGTAGGGCCGCGTATCTTAAGGTCTATTCCTTGATTAAGGAGGGTACAGAGGTCATGGAAGGTAAGAGGGGCAGTCGCTTGTTTGTGGTTTTCCTTGACTTTCATGGGATGTGCTGTAGTCTTCCCCGATCTCGTGGGTCCTGTGCGCAATTGTGCAGCGGTACTTGACACATTGTAGCATCTAAGCCAGTAAACACGAAACCCTGAACCCCTGGACCATCGAAATAACCCTATAGGCAATGCATAACATAGGGGGCCTCAGTGATTTTTCATGTTTTTTATGGGGCTATACAGCAGTCTGATATAACATAAATATCATTATGGTAAACCCAACACCCTTCAGCCCTCTCGGCGGCTGGGAATCTCACCGTTGATGGTCTGAAGCGTGACAAAGCCCTCGCGGGCGTCCTGGGACGTCAAGGGCTCAGATTGGAAAACCTGGAGGTTAACATTATGGCGGCATACTAAGCCTCCTTCTATAGGGTGCCTACTTCTCTGTATCAGAGATCGTAACCATAAAACTAGGTACCCCAACAAAGGGTAGGGATTAACCATACAAACCTATGGACGTTTGGCGAAGGATAAACTTTCGTGCTCGGAATGTGGGTCGTGGGTCTATCGTTTAACCCCGAAGTCTCAGGCCTGCCTTGCAGCTGACCTCAGGGCCGTGCGTACTGGCAGACTGACATGGTTTGAATCAATTTGTTAAGTGTTTTTAGGGTTTAGGGTTTAGGGTACAGTATAGGGTTTAATAGAGTTTAAGGTTTAGGGCGATATGCTTTCTGGCATTCCAATCACAAGCCTAAACACTTGGACTGGGATATTGTGCTGTGAATATGCTTTTGGACGAAAGTACCAATCAATCGGCTACTTGAGGTTAGCACTGCAGTTTTGTTAGTTGGAAATGTGGAGTTTCTGCTCGTTGCGGTTACCTTGCCAAATCATAAGGAACGTCACTACACACGATAGGCTTTGCTGGCCTTAGTCCCTCTGGGCCCTTAACCCGAAACCGCTGTACGTAATCTTTGCAAGCAGCTTGGGCCGTGGGAAGATGATTGTGGTCGTTAAGCAACTAGGCTTTAGGATTCAGAGTTCAAGATTGGGCCTTACTTGGAAGGGCAGGGGATTTAGTAAGTAGGTTATAAGTAGGGTTATAATTGGGGTAACTCCATTTAGGGTACTTATACGTCTACTTATAACCTACTTACTAAGTCCCCTGCCCTTCCAAGTAGGGCTCAGAGTCTGAGGTTCCCCTCAAAGGGTTCCTTTAGCCCCTTCTACACAAGGGTCCTGTAAGAGGGTTTCAAGATTTGAGGGGTTCGGGTATGGAAACTGCCGGCACAGGCTTAATTATGGCCCTTAGCAACCCAGGGCCGCTTAGGTTTAGGAAATATGGCCTTCAGGACGTATGAACCTGTGGTTCTAACAGGCTCAGAAGTAGAGGATCTCCACATAGCTTCAGCACAGCCTTTTGCAAGCCTGTCTGAACAGATGACCCTACTTCGCCCCCAAACCCGAAATCTTAAACAGCAAATGGAAACCCCTATAAACCCCCAGTCCCAGATCCTAGATCCTAAATAGTAAATGCTAAGCCTGTCAGTCAGTCCTTCTCCGCTTTCACCCGAACCCTTTGCAGCCCGGAGGCCGTGTCCTGCATGCAACGTTGCATCCCCGTGCACATTCATCCCAAACCCCACATGCCAGAGAGTGGGGTTGGGCCCAAGCCTTAAGTCCTAACGGGCAGCACTTTCAAACACAGACAGACAAATACATTTGATAGGGCATCTTCAATCACATGCACACCGGTCCTTCAAAGAACTGCACTCTTTTTCGCGGCGAAAACCCAAGGTACTTAGGAAGCATGCTTTGGGTCGACTCGGATAGGCTTGAAATCAATGCTGACGGTGGGGGACGTCAAGTGAGGGTGGGGTCTTGGTGTTTTGGCGTTTAGGGTTTATGAGGGTTTAGGGTGGGGGACACCTAGTGACAGTGGGGGGTGTACATGTAGCAGGCTGAATGATGGATGTCGTGACCCCACTACGCGGCGACAAAACGTTACGTAGAAGGTTAAAGAACAGACTGACTATTCAGGCGACACCAAAGGGAGAATTATCCGAACTAGCGTTTCTGCTAGTAGTAGTATCCGACTAAGACACCTCAAATTTGTACAATAGCTAACGTCCTTACACAAACCCTTCACCCATAAACCCTAAACCCTGAACAAATCCTACTCGCCGCACAAAACTTCTTAATAGCAACCCAAATCGCAGTAAACAAAAAACGTATCAAATATCAATGATTATCGGTAGTAGTAAGAAGAAGTGCAAGGATAACAATACGTTGTCACCAGTATCAAGAAAGGGTACCGCTCAATAGGTGTTTCCATCAAGCCTCTCAACTGGAACCTACTTGGACGGGCAGGGGACCTAGTAAGTAAGTTATAAGTAGAGTCATAAGTACCCTAAACGGAGTTACCCCAAATATAACCCTACTTATAACCTACTTACTAAGTCCCCTGCCCCTCCAAGTAGGGTGCCCTGAAGCCCAGAAACTCCTCCACGGGATCTGCCAAGGCTTCCAGGGCCTCGTCGTGCGAGGTATATGTACATCGACCAGAGATGGGGTTCATGGCTCTTTGGGCTTAAGACATACATGGGTAGTTGTCAAAGATAAGGTCCCTTTTTTGGGTACCCTGAATAATAGGTGCCGTATTATAATGGGGTTCCAAAAAGGGACCCTAATTTTGACAACCACCTATATGTACAGCGACCAGAGATGGGGTTCATGGCTTTTTGTGCTTAAGACATACATGTCTCAGGGTGAAGGACCTGGAAGTAGCCTGGAAGTAGCATTTGAGATTCCAGCTTTTATAGGGTTTAGGACTTTGTTTTCAAGATCTCCAGAAACTTACATGTCTTGTGTTCGTTTTTATGAAGTCCTTATGTATGTACATCCTTTTTAACAAGTCGGTAGGCCTTCTAAGGTCCATGTAGGACTTGGGCTTCTCGAAGCTCGGGTCCCATCAGCTATGAGGCTCCCCACCCCTAAAGCCCAGTACCTATCCCTAAGGGTCCATGTACTCCTCTAGTACATACGTTGGCCTTAATGTAGTCTCTGTTGATGTACTTCAAGGCCCAAGTATGTACTATATGATTGCATGGACCCTTAGGGTATAGCATTCGTAGTAGTTGCTTTTCGGTGTTGCATACTGGGATCCTCAATGTATAAGCTTTAGGCTAAAGACAAAAAAGGAACTAATTACGATGCAGACTACGTGTAAAACCCGGCAAAGGAACCCTGAACCCCTGAACCCTAAACCCTGCAACAGAACAGCAAAAGGAACCCTTAGGGCTCACGGACCTTTAAGGTTATGTAGCTGGGGCTTCATAGCCTGATCAAGCCCTTACAGTGCAGAAACCCGTATAAACCCTATTAAATCCCCTGTCTGTCAACCTGCTGGGTCCCCAGCGAGCCCAATGCCGCTTACATAAGGAATAGACGTTCAGTCTGTGTTGGGTTTAGGGTTTAGGGTTTAGGGTTTAGGGATTCTAGGGTTTCTAAGGTTGCAAAGATCTTCCAGCTCCTTTGTAGCATCGACGCTTAGGCACCGAAAACAATCGGGAAACCCTAATGAATGCACATTCCAGCCTCAAACCTTTAAGGATGTATACAAACAGGTCATAAGTTATGAGTATACCGTTGTAGTGCTGACTATGATTGATACTGTCTACCAGAAGGGCTCCATTTAGGATTCCTGTTATGGGTTATTTGGGCTATTAACTACACCCTACTGAGCATTGTGCGGCCTGCAAATTTTGGATTTAGGAGTCGTAAATTCGAAATCCGCAGTAGCCTCGTTCACGGCAACGCGTCGCACCGTCTTGCCGCCCTTGACGGCCTCACCCGGATAAAAGATCAGAGCCTATGCACCGTGAGGAATACATTGGGCTGCAAACCCCTAGCCCTAAAACCCCTAAACCCATAGCTCTAAAGCCCACACCCTAAACCCTAGACCAGCTATAGGGAATAGGGCGACTAGGGTTTCAGCATTGAGCTTAGCTAGGGCTCTGCAGCTTCGAGTTTGCTGGGTTCTTGTCAAGGGATACTTAAGTTACCATAAAATGGATCTATAGCAAATATGGTTTCCTGATTCTGGAAGAACCGAGTTTGGTGATGGATTATAGGACATGGGAGTTTCCCAAAATAGGGGACCCTAATATAATACCCTAAATCATAGGATCTTTATTATAAGGACCCCAAAATAATGGTCCCCTATTTTCGGTTTTTTTACATTCGGTCAGCTGAACCCCAAACTCTGGGAGACTCTGGGTCTATAGGATGCCCGGGGTCGCATTTAGGGTTTAGGTTAGAAGGGGCCCCCACCCTGTAATAGTGACTATAAGGATTATATAGGATTATATTAGGGCCCTGTTTTATTCCTATTATACCACCATTACAGGGTGGGGGCAGCTTCTAAGGTCTAGGGTTCAGGGGTAGATTTTAGAGTATTACCAGGCAAGAAAGAAAGTGGGTTTTGCTGGGGAGTTCCGGGCCCCATCCAACTTCCAGAATCAAGTCAAGCAGATCCAGCTTATCGTTTAGGGTCTATAGGGCCTACGGTTTGAGATATGGTCCGGATTTAGGGCTTTGGGATTTTATGGCTCATAGGTTTCTAGGGCTCTTGCTAGAGTCCCGTTCTGGCCTCAAACTTTCTCAAGAAGGCCTGTGCCGTCAACCCGGAAATACGAGAGAGATCGAGAGAGCGTGCACCGCAAATACCCTCAAGTTGCCAAAAACACACATGCAAAGCCAAGTTCGTTTCGCGCGACCTTCGGATCGCTTCTCCAAGGTTCACGTCTGATGATTGGTACAATGGGGGCCTGAATAATTAGACTTCCGGAATTCCGTTTGGTTGTGGGACAAGAGGTTTGGGAGGCCAAACCTTGTAGAACCAAGGATAAGCTCTTAACCGCCTTGACGCTTTAATGATATCTATATTCTGAAACCCTAAACCCTAAAACCGTCTTAACCCTGATAAGTATGATATTGTACATGTTGCAACTTGTTGTATGATGTCATCTGTTCTCAGGTTATGTCGTATTATATTGTAATTCGGTGTATTGTAGTGCGTTATCTTGAAAAATAAAGTTTGTGTGTATATATATATAGTTATACAAATAGATTACAGAAACATGGTACCCTAACTGAGCTTTGCTTAGCTTCTGGCCAGGCTATCCGTGATGGTGATCGGATGAACGCAGACATACCTGAGCAGCAGCCGGAGCGTAGAGCTGTAATGTACAGGCTTTGGAACCCTAAACCCTAAACCCAAAACCCTAAACCCTTTTGGGTTTAGTCTCTAAGACAGCGCATAAATACACAAAGACTCTCAAGGGATGAGGTTTCCCACTATTCGAGTCTCTATATTGCTCCAGGGTTTGGGATTTTTTGATTGCTGCACTAAGGATCCGGACTCGGGGTATGTGGCCGCAGACAATGGGAATACAATTTTTGAAGTCATGACGCTGCACACTGATTATAGACCCCGTGCTGCTCAAACCTCTAAACCTTCTCGAGAGCCTTACAACATCCCTTTTGCACCCAACAGACTCTTCTAAGCCCTATAAACTCGTCTAAGGCCCAATAATAAACTCATTCGAACGCCCTGCGAAACCTTGTCAGCTCTTAGCAACCTTCAAAACTAAGACTCCCTGCAACAAGGTGTCCTGTCAATCAGGAACACGACCCGCCTCTTCTTCAACGTGTCCAAAAGCTTGGCTTTGGAAACCTGCCAGGGGGCCAGACAACGGCAGAGTTTGGGGTTTAGGGTGTGTCGGCGTTCCGTGGATTTTTACTGGAACAGCTTTCTCGAACTGCAAAACAGTCAGAAGCCCAGGTTTGTGTGGTGCTTTAGGGTCTAGAGTCCAGAGTTTATGGGTCGGGAGTTGGGGCTCCAGGATTCGGGTTGAAGTCCCTGGTCCAGGCATTAATTATCAGTTGTCAGTGCATCGTGCCTTCAAGCAGGAAACACACACAACCGGCAACGAGATCTGACACATAAGCTGCGAGTATCAACGATGTTTGCACATACACCTGAGCTTGCCCACTTCTCGCACACGACGATCAGGCACGGCAAAACGCACCATGCCCCAACCACAATGTTCGTAAAGATTGAGACGCAGCAACGTACATGCGATTCTACATAACCTTGCGCCATGAACATCACAGCCTGAAGCCTTAAAAAAGAAAGCATGCACCTAGAGACTCCAATATCCCCTGATTAAGGAATACCTTGAATTATAGTAGCATCCCCAATATGAATTACGGAATATTCCTTAATTGATTGGAGTCTCCTAAACCCTAAACCCTATGGACCCCTTGAACCCTTAAAGGAAGCCTCATAGATCCCTTTGAAGGGATCTGGGCATACCACCATGGCCTTAGTCGTTTCAACCAACCCAAAAGGGGCTGATTTTGCAGGTTCTGCTTGGGGTTTTGCTTGTTTAGGCCGAGACTGCCGAGACCCGAAGCCCCAAAAATGCACGAAATCCGAAACTCCTCAACAGCAAACCGTGACACCCCAATCCATCCCGCAATTAAGCACTGAACCCAAACTCTACACAGACTCACCGAAATCCAACCCGCAATTAAGAACTGAACCCAAACCCTACACAAACTCAAACCTTAGAACCTCAACCCTGTGTCTAAAGCCGCATCTCACGAAGGAACCTAGTTTGAGCTGCCGTAATTTTAATAAGGAACACACACCAAGAAAGCTCCATGTATTGCCAATATGTCTGAACAAAAATTCCACAAGAACCCGGTCACACGTTTTTCTATCATCTCAGGAGGTCATAAGCCCCATTGACCAGCCCTTACGAGAAGCTATACTAGAATATGACAAGTGAATACAAACTCAACAGGAGACCCTAAACATCTCTAAACCCTAAACTCTTAAACCCAACACCTTGAACCCTGAACCCAAGCTCCAACGTCCGACAGATGGAAACCCGAAACTCGAAACCCTACACCCTCAACCTTAAACCCTAAGCCCTATAAACTCTTTAAATTTTCAACTCTAACCCTACCTAGACCCCCCCCAACTACCTTCTAACATACCCCAACTACCAGGGCCAGTCGGGCTCTATTACAGGGCCCTTTGGGTGTTTTGGTAGACCCTAAACCTTAAACTAAACTCTAAACTCTGACTCAAGAGGGTGTCGGCCTGCGTAGTCTCACTCCGGGGAGGCAGCAAGGCACGGTAGGCTGCCTTTAGCTCCTCTCATGCGGGCTTTTGGGCTTTAGGGTTTAGGGCTGAGGGCTTAGGGTTTAGGGCTTAGGGTTTCGGGCATCTGAGTTTTTAAGTAAGGCTTGAGGACTCTTCCAAGAAAGACAGAAGCTAAAGCCCATCAACAGCAACACAAACCTCAAACTCATCAACCTTGACAACCCTGAAGCCAACACCACCCCCTACAAACCCCAAACCGCTCACAAAACTCTGTTCCTCACAGAACTCTCAAAAACAACACTTGCAGGAACCCTGAACCCTAAACCCTCCCGCGACTGCAAACCCCCCAAACCTCCAATTGACGCTAAACCTTAAACGCGACACCCTAACCCCTCAGCGAACCCTTAACACTAATTAAAGGTGCCCCCCGAAAACCCCAAAGGTCTAAACCCTCAACAGCTCCCCCACCCCCCTCACGACGGAACATGCCAAACCCCAAACCCTCTACCCTCAAACATAAATCCCAAACCCCACGAAGAGACCCTTAAAGGACCCCCCCTCCCCCAATCGAAAGAGCCAGGCCTCAGCGGAGTACATGGGCACGTTCTCAGAAGCCTGGAGCTCGGGCCTCCAGCAAAGAAGAGAGGTTTGGGGTTTAAAAGCGTTTAGGGTTTAAAAGGGTTTAAGGTTTAAGAGGGCTTGGAAGAGTTTAAGGTTTGGGGTTTAAAAAGGGTTTAGGGGTTAGGGTTTAAAAAGGGCTTAGGGTTTAAAAGGGTTTAGGGGTTGAGGGTTTAACAAGGTGTAGGGGCTAGGGCTTAAACGGGTGTAAGGTTTAGGGCTTAGAAGGGTTTAAGCTTCAGGGCATAGAGTTTTGGGTTTAGTGTTTGTGCCTTTACAAATCTGGGTTTCGGGCTTTAGGATTTTAGGGTTTTGCATTGTCTGGGGTCTTCGGGGTTGGGGTTGAAAAGGTTTGTTTAGGGTTCTTTTCGATATTTGTTCTCACCCAGCTGCACTGTCCGATTCCAACAAGAGTTTAGGGCCCCAACTGGCCTGAAGGTTAAGTAATAGAAGGGGCTTCATAATTAGAATAGGGTTTTGGGGCCCGTTATACTATCATTACAATAAGGAACCTCAAAATAGTATTGGCAAGGTATTCAGGCCCCTATATTAGAGGGTTTAGGGTGGAGGACTTAGGGCTAGGAGTTGTCTCCGGTAGGGTTTAGGGTTTAGGGTTTAGGGTTTAGCGAGGAGCGGTGGCATGTTCGGGGCTTAAGACTCTTTCGGCTCCAGAGTTGGCTGCTGGCAGTTAATGTAGGAACCTGATCAAGAAACCTTGGGCCTAGGGGTTCCTTTAGAGGGGCCTATCAGGGCTACTATAAGGGATCTATGAGGGTACTATAATAATGTAGGAACCTGATTAACAAACCTTGGGCCTTTATTCGGGTTCCATATATGAAGCCTACTATTTTGTGGTCATAGGCCCAGGGTTCCTACATGAGCTTATGAGGTGGCTTTGTTTCGGCTCTTCGAGGTTGCAGCAACAACACGTCTGCTTCTTGTGGACTTCTCGGCCTGTAGGTTGTGGGTGATTCGAGATTGTGTGTTGAAGAGTTGGCGTCGATGGAACGAAGCTGAAATCTCGTTGCAGTTATTGGCGGATTTGCGAACCCCAGGCTCAACTGTTTCGGCTTTTGACTGGGGCACTTGACAGTTCAGTTGAGCGGGACAGAAGTGCTTTCAAGCAATCTCTGCGGCCTAAACTTACTTCTAAAGACTCAATAAATCCAGTGTTAACGATTGGAAGTGTGTGCTTGTGTGTATGTGCAAATATGCTATAACGCGAGATGACAATAATAACAGCAAAACAAATACGTAGTTACAATATATATATATATACATACACACATATATATGTATATACATAACCCTAAACCCTAAACCGGAGTTTCAGAACCAAAGAAAGGCTCGAGGAAGGGCTTTCGACACCTGAGTCTCTATCACCTGTGCTTGTTACTCCGCTTCTCAATACATTTAGGGTTTAGGGCTTCGTTTCTCGATTTGTCATTTTAGCAATTATTCCTAGGTCTGCTTCCTAGCATTGTCTTCTACTATTTCGATTTGTCACTTTAGACATTAGCCCTATGGATCTAATTCCTAGCATTGTTCTTATCCTTGGTATGGCATAAGCCCTTCATCAATGGCGACGTCTCTGAAAGCCCTTGGTGCTCGAAATACAGAATATTCGGGATCGGGTCCCAAACACTAAAGCGGTAAACCCGAAACCCCCAAACCCGAAACTCTGCACTCCGCACATTGCTCGGGGCGCCGACAGTGTGGTCAGGAACGAGATGAACTTGTCCTCTGAAACCTCTCTCTGCAAAAGGGTGTCGGTCTTTGGGGTTTAGGGCATTGGGAAATACCCGAAGAGTCCATGTACCCATATAGTATATACTTGCGCCCAGAATACCATTAAGGCCAATGTATGTACTATAGGAGTACATAGACCCTGAGGGACAGGGCTTTGGGAATAAAAAGGTTTAGATTTATAGGGTTTAGCGTACAGGACTTACGGGCTTGTCCTCCGAGACCTCTCTCTGGACAGGGCTACATACGTGTGGAACAGGTTTCCTTTGAAGGGTTCTTGTGGCAGCCTCAAACAAGGTGACATGCTGTTGAAATCAACTTTGGGCATGAGCTTGGCGTGTCGCATGATCTAACTGGGGCTTGAGAAGTTGAGGAGGAGGAAGCTATAAGATCTACGAAGCTAGGATCCAACAGATTGCACTCAATGTTTGACCTCCAGCACATCTAGAAATACCTACTAGGTGTTACTGGGATCTGGTCCAAATGCCTAGACTAGTAGCCTTCACATCCTCATGATGCCCCCACAAGAAAAAAGGAACCAACAAAGGAGCATTGCAGAACTACCTCGCAAGTCAACATGTGTACGTTCATGTATGTACGCACGTACCTATGTACGTATGAGTGTGTATGTATGCGACGAAAATATGTATGTGTGCGTGGGTATATCAGTCCCTGTGCTTGCGCGATCTCTGCATACCTGTATCGTGCCATGGGAGGGTTCCTGGTCATCAGCCACGATGAGCTTATCCACCACGGTTTCAGCCGTCTCATTCGTGCGCTTGAAGCTCGCTTGACAAGCCTGCACGAGGCAGTTCAATACAGGGGCCTCAAGAAGCAGAATGAGTTCTGGGGTCTCTTCGAGTACACAGCTACATATACATGTGTTCTGGTCCCTACAGAAAGGTTCCGGGTAAGCGAACAAAAGCATAGAGACACAAAGATTTATCCGTAAACAATTTGGTCAGGACTTTACAGCATTTAGACACTCCATGCCAGTGGAGGTGCTTTCACCCTGAGCGCACAGATGCAGGGTAAGACTTATCCCTCAGCTCCGTGGATTCTAGCCCCGTGCAGGGCGTATAGTCAATTTTCGGTGTTTGATTATGGTCGATGGGAAGGTCGTTTCTTCAGCGCACGCATTAAAGGCTTCAAGAATGTGTTGCTGAGACCCGCTGCTGAAAGACAGGCCTCAATAATGCCCTTGAGGAACACCGCTGCGCAGAGATCGACGCTGTCATCCTCAGAAACAAGCATATAGTACTACTAACTCTAACTTTTTCCGTGGCTGCTAATCCCGCGGCCTTAAGGCGACAAACTCTGAAATACTGAAGCTTAGAATGCCAAAGTCAGAAGGCCAAAGTCTAGGAGGCTTAGCAAATGTAATTGGGCTTTGGGGTACATCATACTATCATTATAGTGAGGGGCCATAAGGAATCGTAATGGTAATTCTTCAGGCCTCTATATTTCTCTCAAGACTATGGGTCCATCAATGTATCAAAGGCCTGGCTGTGGGCCAGGAGGGACTGTTCAAAAGATCACCGTCACAGCAATTGAAACAAGAACATCAGTAGTTACAGTCACATGAAAGGCAGAACCCACGTTGGCACATTATGCCAGCAGGTAGAGGCAGACAAAAGCCAGCAAATACACAAGCAGACGTGCATGACTTCAAGCTTGATTATCGTACCACGAGTCTTACCATTCATGAACATTGACAAAAGCGTATCCGGATAGCAGTGAGACTATACACATTACTCAAAAAGCGAGGTTCGAAGTTTATCAGGGGTGATTTCGCAAGGCATTCCTGCGGGAACTCCTGGTCATGCCTAATAGGCAAAGAGATTTGGTAAGTGGGTTATAGATGGGGTCAGACAGTACCCGAACGAAGATTGCCTAAGTATGACGCCTATATCATTGAATGCAACACCTCCCCTAATGTAACAGAAACCGCCGAAAAGGTACCTTAGATGAAGACCTGGCAGCCCTCGACAATGAGTGTTCAGGGTCTCCTGGCACGCTACGCGACCGCTACACCCTGGACCATGTTGGAACTAAGCCCCAACAGACCATTCTAATCATGGCTGTGAGGGGCCTAATTCCCTAATCGGACAGTATCGGCAGACGTTGCAGCTAAGTCCTACTCTGAATGGCTATAGCCCTATGCCTGAGAACCATCAACCCCCGCAAACCCCGAAACCAATAAAAGCCGACATCCATAGTAGTAGTATATATGAACCCTCTTGGGTAGACGACCTTGTATCTTTTATTTCTCAACTCCCAGGCTATGGCCGAAACACTAAGCCCTATACAGTAGAAGCCAGAAAGTTGGAATATGATTATCCTAACCCCTTTAAGGTAAATTATAAAGGGGATCCTACCATTAATCCATATTCCAACTTTCTGGAGTTCCCTGTAAACCCATTCATCCAGAATCGTAAGCAGCATGAGTAAGCGGAAGTAACTATGGCGTAATAGGGTGCTAATATTCCAGTGCTTCGGCTTCTAGAAGGGTTAGGACCTCACGCCCAAAGCCCCTACACCCAAAACCCGTGAACCGCTGACCCTAAATCCCTAAACCACAAACCCTAAACCACTAAACCCTGAACCCTACCCAGAGGCTCCATAGTAGTTTCTTTTTGGGATTACCTTATAGGATTCTATATATGGACCCCCAAAAGGGAGCTACTATGGAGCCTTACGGTAAGCCCAACACCATCAACCCTCAGGGCATCCCGGTTCTCGCGCTGGCCGCTTAAGAGATCATACTGGGAGGTGAGCTTCGGGGTTTAGGGCTTAAGGGGTTTAGGGTGTAGGGCTCAGGGTTTAGGGTTGGAGCTTAGGGGGTTTAGGGCGGTACTTGTATCTGGATAAACGGTATTGTAGCCCAGTTATGCGCAAGGTAACTACCGTTATGGACCTTGTTTGGCGTTGTAAGTAGACTTTTGGGCTAGCAGAGTACCTATACATATACATGCAAGGATTGTAGAGCCTTTCATTGTCTGCAGAAGCACTGGGCCCCGCACAAAGAGAGGTACTGCCGCCTCTTCTGCGCCTGAGCAGCAGGTCGAAGTCTTCACAGCTGATCGGGCCACTTACTCTGACCGGGAAGAGAAGAAGGCAAGCCAGAGCTGAAGACAACATGAGACTAACACAAATGAACGACTCAAGTTCGTTAAGATTTCGGCTAGCTCTCAGCGAGAGAGAGAGGTCGAGGCTTCCCCCCCTCGTTTGCTGGAAACTCAGGCGCTTGTCGGTGGAAATTCCGACTGCTGAAGCTTCCAGACATCGGGCCCAGTCCAAAAAGGGCCCAAAGCAGCTACGTAGTGAAAACTATAGGCTTCTGTAGTCGTGGGAACTATTCTTGTTTGGGTAAGTAAGCCCTACACTGGCGTGCGGGTACTTAGGACCTTTCTGGAGTGAACTTCGAGATGTGGCCGCATTCCTTGTCGGCATTTTATTGGCCGTGTGGGCGACAGCTCTGAGCCGCGGAGCTGAGATTTAACTTGAGTTGGTCCTTGGTCGGTCGCTCGCACAACATGTTTCGGGATCTCCAGGCCATCACTGGATCTTGGAAGAGGTGGCAGAATTGGAGCTCTCACCATCACTTTAGGACAGTCTCTTGATGGAGGTCGAGGAAGTTCTGACAAACGATACCAGCCCTGGCAAGATACACACACACACACACACACAAGTAGTTTCGGCCTACAGCTGAAACTCACACTGACAAGCCGTGCCAAAACACTTGCAACTCGAACTTCTCTTGCTGAGGCATCATCATAATAACACACTCTATGCGTGCAGCTGGAAGCAAGACTCCGAGAAATATGCTGCTGCGTCAGATTGAACATCGAAGTCGACTACGCCCGTGGTTTCTGCAGGTGCGCACCGCCACGTTTTTCATACGGCTCTTGAGTTCCATCTTGATGCTGAAACTACCAACCTTGGATGTCCGACCTTTTAAAGTCAAAGCTGCTTGCCACGAGCGAGGATACATCTTCTTTTGTGTGTCTCCTTTCCTGCGACACCAACCGAACCAACAATTCCTGCTCGAGTGCTTCCTTCGGCGTTGGCTTTGACAGACTTTGCGACGCAGAACTTTGTCAGAACACTGTGTCTTGCCGTTACACAGATGTAGATGCAAGCTCCGGGTATACAGTGGTAGGAAATTGGCGATAAATTGCACGACCGGCAAAGCTAGGCCGTGACATCCCAGACTGACTTGAAGTGCCAGCTTTCCGATTCTGAATTCTTGCAGCCGCAGAAATATGTGAATTCCGGACTTCATATTGCCAGACCAGCCAAGACATTGCTGTCGCGGCTTTTTGGTTCTCTGGGTTTCAGACTGAATGTCTTCTCGACTGTGCAAAGACTTCGAAACTGCTCTCATCGCTATGTGGAAACATTTTTCGCCTCGGCGAAGGTTCGGATCGAGGACGGAACGTCTGTTCTTTGAAGTGACCAGGGAGCACACGTTCATTTCATACTTCGTTTTCGGAACAGGTCCCCAAACTCGTGTTCAGGTATGGTATTCCTCAACCCAGGAATCGCCCGCCGCCGCAGGTACTCCTTTTTGAGGCTCAGGTGTTCAATCTCCACGAGTCCACGAGCAGGTGTTTCTTCAGCGTGCCTTTGTAGTGGCCGTATGAAGTGTCCGATCCGAACCGAAGGTTGCAACGTACTTGGCATGTGCTCCGACTGTGTAACTTCGTGCAAGACACCCTGAAAAGGAACTGATGCAAGCGCAGCCGTCTCGGCAAGTGACCTCCTATCTCTGAGGCCCTCCAAACTGTCCCGCCACCGGGAGAACATGTGGCGCCTTGGATTGCAGGACTCTGCCCTAAAAGCCCGGATATCTGCAAGACCAGCACAGCAGTGCACAATGGCAGCCATCGTAGAGGCTTGGTAGAATTGAAGTATAGCTGGTGCGACTCGGCGGTTTACAGACGATCACAAGTATGCTTGTATTTGCGAAGCTCGACTTGCATTGCCGAATACCTCGGGTCTCCGAACTTCCTTGTTTCGAGCTTTCTCGGCCAAGACTTGGCATTGTGTGCAAGTCTGCTTGGCCAAGTCGGACCAGACTTTCTCAATTTCCGCTTCTGTATGCATTTGTTGGGGCCGCTTGCTGCCGCTCTCGACAATGTCTGCGAAGCGAACGAATTTGCTGTCCCAAAAGAGTCCCGACACTAGCACTAGCCATGCTACACGTCGCTGCTGCGCTGTCCGTTTCGGAGTTTGCTACATGCACCGTGCAGATGCTTCGAACGTGACGCATGAACAGGTGGATGTCTATGGTTGGCCACAGCAACGGCCGGCAACATCACGAGTCACGAGTACCAAATACACGAATGTGCGTTGGGGATACTTGGAAGGGCAGGGGACTCAGTAAGTAGGTTATAAGTAGAGTTATAAGTACCCTAAATGGAGTTACCGAAATTACAACCCTACTTATAACCTAGTTACTAAGCCCCCTGCCCTTCCAAGTAGCTGGGCGAGGGTTCTCAAGTCGGAGCCAGACATGGGAGTTTCCGAAATTAGGGGTACCTTATTTTGGGGTCCTTCAAGGGTTCCTTAAAGGGATCTATAGGGGTTCTACAAAGGGTTTAGGGTTTAGGGTTTTAGAGTTTCCGAAATTAGGGGTACCCTTTTTGGGGGATCCTTATAATAAGGATCCTACTATTTAGGGACTATAGAAGGGTCCCCCATTTTCGCGGAAACTCCCACAAGCTCCGTGCAGCACTCGACATTGGAGTTTGTTCAGACCTCCGAGATTTTCAACCTCGACTTCAGTTTTGCTTGCCCCCTCCCCTCCCAAGGCCAGTTGCTGCCGTCGCCTCCTTGGACCCCGGTGTAGAGTTTAGTTTAGGGGTTGCGGGTTTAGGGATTTTGCTGTCCACAGCAGTCGTAGATGTTAAAGGAGCCGTTTGGAGTCTCCGGTCGAAAAACAACGGCATAGTCTTACCGTTGGTTAGTAGGGAATGGAGGAATGGGATACAATTACATCTACTATTACTACCATTCTTCCATTCCCTACGAAGCAGGTAAGTAGTCTGATGCATGCTCCCCAGAGACTCCAATATCCCTTAATTAAGGAATATTCCTTTAATCATATTTAGGATCATACTATAATTTAAGGAATATTCCTTAATTAAGGGATATTGGAGTCTCTGGGTCTTGCCCTTCTGCCACTAGGACGACCTCCAGTCGCTTTATCCTGGATCCTCGGCCACATGAGCTTCAAAGCAGGAGGGAACAACCCAGAACCGCTAAATCCTAAACCCGACAGCAAGCCTGGGCCCACAATCCAATACAGTAGAAGCCAGAAAGTTGGAATATCATTATCGTAACCCCTTTAAGGTAAACTATAGGGGATCCTACCATTAATTCATATTCCAACTGTCTGGAGTTCCCTTTACCCAAAACAAAACATCGTAGCAAGAGCGGGGGTGCTCAAAGCAGACTCTCCGGAGGGTCTCTCATACGGTACCCCGAATCCTAACACGTGAACCTTGAAGCCTAAACCCCAGACCTTGAATGCCGAACCGTTTAACCTCACACAGAGAGTACCCACTGCACCGCTTCAAGAAGGAAAGGACCATACAACACAGGTACATGTACCTTCGGTTGCCCTGGGTGCACCTCAACCCCTTGCTGGGCGAAGATTGGGTTTTCTTCCTTGTCATGTTGATTCAAGGTCTAATCACCAACCCCGAAGCTCTAAACCTCTTTAACAGCCTGGAACCCTGTAAAATATCTTGTGCGTGATTCTCGGGCTGTTTTGTGGCTTCCGTTGCTATACCTTTGTCGTTTTTTCTTGTTATGTAGCTTGTCACTGTTAATTAGGCTTTTTTGGTTTGAGCTTGCGGGTTTATGGGGCTAAGGCTTTTTTGACAGGCAGGGATAGGGACGTACACGAAACGTCCAGGAGTCGAAGCATACTTGGATGCTCTGGGGTAAGCGGAACCCTCTCTAGCTGCAGGGACCGTCCTTCCACTTCAATAAGACCGCTTGTGTAAGTCGCAAGGCACTCTGCAGTACTTGGTGGATGACTGAGGCCCAAACGGCGACAAAGAGTTTATGGACTTAGGATTCATGGGGTTTAAAGTTTCGGGTTTACGGAGTTTGGGTGTTTCGGGGTTCAGGGGTTCAGGGCTTTTTGGTTTAAATTTAAGGATATTTTACCCGTTTAGACGGGCCACTCTGCAAACCACCTCGGGCAGATTTGAACTGCTGCAGACTTGGGCTCTCACCTGCCATCTTCTTCTCCAAGGCATCAAGGAGTTCCACTGACTCCTCCGCACAGGAGCAGAGGTTGGACTTGGGAAATGGCTTTAGTCCTAGGGGAGTTGGGAGCTCCATACACACGCCACGACCACCCTGAACCTAAACATACCCAAACTACAAATCCGAAAACCGGGATGCCGCAAGGGTCAGGGCACGAACAGAAGTGGGGCCCAAAATCTTAGATGCAATGCGCTAGAGCTGAGGGCTTACGATACATGACAAAGATTTGCACATGCCCGAAGCCACAGTATTTCCAAGCGTAAAAGGAGGGACCCTTAATAAGGACCCCTAGGTATATACCCTTAATATAGCTATTATATACTCATTATATAGCCCATTTTAGGGTAGGGGTCCCCATTAAGGGTCCCTCCTTTTCCCCTTTGATCAATGCCTCAATCCTGAACTGCTGGGCCTCAAGCCCCCAGACCCCACTATGGGTAGTTCCCTAAATTAGGGTCCCTTTATAAATAGGTCCCCAGAATAGTTTAGTATGACAATCTAATAATTATAAACAAGACTACCCGTATCCTAAACCCTAAGCCTAAACCCTCAACTTAAGTAAACCCCACATCCGAAACTTCACGGCCTTGGCAATGCGCTGCCCAGCAATCTTCGCTTCGACGTCCCGAAGCCTGGGGTAGGAGTTAGCATTAGGGGGAACCTTGGGATATAGACCCTCTCAATAAGGCACTCTTTAAATTTTTAGGAGAGCCAGAAGTAGGGCTTAGAAGGGTCCCCTTTAAGGGATCTTCCTAATACTACCTAGGATAAGGGGAGAATGCTGTGCGAGTCCCAGGGATTCTGTAGGGGTTCCCTTGCCCTTACTTGGGGATTCCTATACCTTCAGGATTTGGGGTTCCTGTAAGGGCTCCTTCAAAGGAGTCGGGCTAAGGCTTCCGGATTTCATTCACTTCAGGGATAGGTTACTAGGTGGGGCTTTTAAAGCCTTTGAAAAATATTAGTAAATAGGATCCTCTTAAGCCCAATAAGGGAAAATATAAAATGTCCCAAAGCCCTACCTAGATTATGAGGCTTTCGTGTGTTAGCGGAACATATTTGCCCTAAACTCGCCTAAACCCGAGAACTCTAAATTCGCCACCACCACACCGTATGGTTCACGGTTTAAGGTTTCGGGCTTAGGGCTTAAGGTGGTTAAGGGTTGAGGTGTGTGTTTAAGGTTTCTATGGGTCTTGGGATCTGTGTAGGTTTCAGGGCTTACGGGGTTGGAGGGTGCGCAGCCCTATGGTTTTCGCGTTGTAGAGAAGAACTGAGACGTAAAGTCTACCATGAAGGTCCTTATATGTTAGAAGGGGCCTCCACCCTGTAATAGTGGGGCATAATAGGAAATAATAGGGCCCTAATATAATCCTTATAGTCACTATTACAGGGTGGGGGCAGCTTCTAACATATATACTACTATTATGGAGGTAGGTGCCCCTAAACCATGATAAGAGTGGTCTCTTGGGGCCTAAACCCAGACTGGCAGTATACATATATTTATATATATATATATATCTATATCTATATCTATATAGTATATTTATATATATATATATATAATATAAGTATTTATATATATATATATATATATATGTATATATATATATATATACCTATATATAGACCCTCTTCGGAAGGAGCCAACCTCCGACCGACATCCATATGCAGCCCAACTCTAGCCTCTCAGTCCGATAAACACTGAAATCTTAATGCCTTGACCCGTGATCCTAAACTGCGAAAACGTAGCGCCCGAATGTAGGGGCCGTGAAAGGGCTTTGGGGTACATTTTTCTAAAGTTATAATAAGGAGCCCTTCAAACTGATATAGGTGCTTCTGCATTTTGAGCCCTACACTAATATTCCTGGTGAGCCTCTCCAGATTAAACCCTAAACCCCTTAAGCCTAACATTAATAGCTAAACACTAAAGTGCCTGGTGAGCCTCTCCAGATGCCAAGGGGCTGGGATCTCAGTGTCTCAAGCTCTGCCTGTCAAGAGGACGGGTTTGGGTTCAGACGGTTTACGGCTTAATGTAGCGGCCTTAACGCTTAGAATGGGGTTTTGGGGGTTCCCTAAGATAGGTCGATGATATAAATCCTGCATTACCTTAAGGACCCTACACTGTGGGAATGATGGTTATAGTCCTTCTTATGGGTAATGAAGGGTTTATATCATCAACCGTAGGTATAGTATGCGTCCCAAAACCCTATGCTACTGACCAAGGCTCCTACAACGGGCTTCAGGGCTTTGGTTCAGAGTCGAAGGATGTGACTTTGCTGAGGTCTGTGGCACTAGAACTAGTCAGATCCCACGGTTTAGGGTTTAGGGTTTAGGGTAGATCGATAGCAACAGCAAGAAGGAGTATCTTGAACGAAGAAGATGGTGACATGCACAGTTCATGACAGCTCATGTGCGGATACGACATGCAGCGACGATGACAATCACAACAACTCGGCTCTTGGGACAAGTAAGGAGTTCAATTCAAGTTACCATGCTCGGGATCTATAGTGGGTAATAGGGTTTCCGCAGTCTGGTAACTTTAACTTAAGTTCCTTAACAAGAGCCGAGCAACAAGCGCGTGCACCGTCATCATCACCAACACAGCTGTCGTCCCAATGGCTCTATAGGACCCCGTTGGGAATTCCTACAGAAAAAGTATGCAAGGCTGTGGTCAAGTTGAGCTGCAGGGTGCCAAAACTCTAAAATCCTCGAATAAACTCAGATGCTACACTTTCGCCCTATGCTATTACACCTTTTGAGGGGAAGGCTTCTGGTCTCCACCGTCCCCCACAGCGTAAACCCAAGCCAAAGAACCCGCCTTTTGGGCTTCAACTTGCTTGACGATGCTCTGGATCTCTGGCAACATTGAGTTGTCTGACCTTAGGTTGAAGAGTTCACTAAAAGCGGTGGCGATAGACGTCTACAATAAAGCCACCCACACTTAGGGCCAGTGGGTGTTGATGTCTTGAGGTACGCACCTGACCGCTTTAGAGTAATCGCGACCCTTTCCGCAGTTGTAGTCATGTCAAAGGAGACGGTATGAGCATCAGCAGTGCAGATCTAGCGGGGGCTCTCAAACTAAACTCTACCAGTTGCTTGGTCTGCCTGCATGTTGCCATGAGCATCAGCACATCAGGGAAACCCTGAAGGAGGCCAACTGAGTAGTCCCCTAAATTAGGAGTTCTTGTAGGGTCATGTTTATAAGAGTGCCTTACTATTCTGGGGACGGAAACAGGATCCAGATGTGGAAAACAACACAGCTGCGGCAAAACCACACATCGTGCACGCATATACCCCGAGATTTACTGAAGGACGAATCGGCCAAGTAAGACCCAAGCAGTTGTCCGGGCGTGGGCATATTCTATACACCATATTGTCCTAACACCCATAACCCACCCTAAACTACTCTACGAATCATATGCCTACTTGTTTTCGCTGAGGATCGAATCACCCACAAAAGCTAAGGAGGGAGGTATGCTGGATCCGTAAGTTATACATGGAATCTATAGTAAAACTCGAGCTTCGTTAATTCGTTACTATGGCAACTCATAGCCCAGTCTAGGGACAAGGCTTATCATTCTGTCGGATCCTTGCCAACCCTGGATCGTCCTCAGAGAGTGCTGAGTTTGGGGGGTGGAGGATTGAAGCCTGAAGTTCTCAGCTGCGCACTGGCTGCGTGACCGCCACGTGGTGACGGCTAGCCTGCTTCCATCAGATATGGCGTGTTGTCGGTTCCGCAGCACCAACAGCCCCAAACTCTGAACGCTAATCCCAAACCCCAGACCCGAAGCCCATAACCCCAAAACACAAAAGCACGCAAAAAACAAACAAAACCTCAAGCGAAGTCCCTGGCCATCATCCCAGTCTTCAGTTCGAGCAAGTGCTGCTAAAACACCAAAGTCCTTCTGTCTTTAGTTGTTTAAGGTTCGAAATGATGATGTACGGTTGAACCATAAACCCTAAACTCCTGAACACCCATACCAATAGTTTCCTAAACCCTCAACCCTGAACCCCTAAACCCTAAACTTACCCCTAAACCCTAGACCCCTAAACTCCTGAACCCCCATACCAATAGCTGAGTTGTCCTTTAAGCCCTTTGAAAATTATTTACTATTATGGTTCTCTACAAAATAATAGGGGAAATTAAAAAAGGTCCCAAAGGACAACCCTAAACCCTAAACCCTAGCTTAATTCGGGTCTCAGGCTCCAGAGCTTTAAGGCTGCCAACGTCTTTCTATCTTTAGCAGCTTTCCCTGAACTCTCTTCGAGGATCCTGGAAAACGAAAGGTTCACCTTTAGGATTATATTGGGAATATCTAGGGCTTATAGTTATAGGGCCTCAAGAAGGTAAACAGGTTAAAGAAGTCTACTAAGACGCTGTTCGAGCTATAGGGGGACTTTCATAGGGCGTGAAGTGGCCAAAGAAACTTCAATCGCGCTACTCCTCCATGCCAACTTGTCTACCCTTAAAAACATTCCAACCCACCCCAAATATCCTAAAGCCCAAAGCTGCAACTGAGGACCTTGATGTTAGGGATACCGGTGAACACTTATAAGACCGCCCTAAACCTAAATCCTCAACCCTGACACTTACAACGTATAGTCACAAGACCCCAGGGCTGCAAATGCCTTCATCACATTGCAGGGTCTCGCGTGGTGCTGAGGCAGGACTAATACAAAACCCCCATCTGCCTTTGTCTAGGCCGAGACCCTTCCTGTAGGCTCATACCCTAGCCCTTTCTCAAGATATCTGGGTTTATTGTTAGGATCTGTTGAAAAGCAAGGTGCAGGTATGAATTTGACCCTAGCAAAACCCTGAGCCCTCAGCCTTGAACCCTCAACTTCCTAAGCCGGAATAAACCATCCTAAGCCCAAGCCCTCTAACAGCCTCAAGCCCAAACCCCTTCACCCTAAGTAACAAACATCCTGAAGCCCTACCTCAACTCCAGAGAACCCGCTCTTTTGAGCAAAGATCATACAAAGTAGCCCTAAAACAAGGAAGGTTCTACAGGGTCCAAACCAACCCCTAAACACTACAAGCTCTCAGCCCTAAGCCCTAAACCCCAGAAGCCCCAATATACCCTAAACCCCTAACCCCTAAAGGCTCTAGGCCCTACACTCCAAGGCTAGGTATATACCCTTAGTATAGCTACTATATACCCATTATATAGCCCATTCTAGGGTAGGGGTCCCCATTAAGGGTCCCTCTTTTTCTCCTTTGATACACCCCAGGAAGACCCTGAAGCCGCCATGCTCCAAACTTCCAGATCTACGCGGGCCTGTCGAGATGCGTAACAGCATCGGAGGCCTTCTTAATGTGAGCGCCTGCTGGAGAGAAGAGGGCTCTTGAAAGCAATTCATGTGGTGCTTAAAAGGGTTTTGAAGGCTATGGTATGGCAGATGATTTAAGTTTGTTACTAGGTCTTGCTAGGTTTGCGATCTGGGGGTGGCATGCTAGGATGAGAATAGCTGTCAGTATGTTCGGCTATACCATACTTACAGCTTCAACAGAACAAGGAACCCCAAACAAGTGCGTGAGTAAATTGAGTAGGGTTTCGGAATATCAAGTGTAGGAGGGTTTAGGGCTCAAGGTGTAGAATGTGCAACATATGGGGCAGCACATGCTCCTGACTGACGGGACCTTTGAGCTTTTATCCCGACAAAAAGCTTCAACACGATGCAGTCTTTGGGGTCGACAGGGTGTGGGGCTTAGGGTGCAAGAATCATTAGACCAGGGTTGTGGGTCGATGTGTAACATAAGTTGAAGGGACAATTCGAGGATCTTTTACTATCCAACATAGCCAGAGCTCTGTACGGAATCCGAGCTCGAAATCGAAGGCACTCGAAGCACCAGCCCGAACCTCGCCCCTCGAAGCCAATCTCTCAAACTCTAAACCCCGGAACCCGAGGCCTCAAATTTCAAGTCCTAAATCTTAAACCATGGAGTACTGGACTCGCAGTATGCCTTTGAGAGGCTTAATGGTTCAGGTCCGGTTTAGGTGAATACCAGATAAAGCTGCAGCAATGCATACTAGGAGGATCATGGGACTTAGTAAGTAGGGTTATAAGTACCCTAATTGGGGTTATAAGTAATTATAAGTACAGTTACCCTAAATATAACCCTAGTTACTAAGTCCCATGACCCTTTAAGTACAAGTTACCGGCAACAAGTCACTCTGAGCCGAGCCTGTCTGACGGCATTCGCTGCGCTTTTGCTCCGTCGGCATGTCCTACAGGCTGTTTGTTTCGGATTGAGGCAGCACAGCTCGGATCCTGAGCTTAGGGAAATGTAATCTTAAGTGGATTTGGATTTAGGGTTTCTGGTTAGGATTTAGAGCTATAGCCTTTAGGTGCGGCCTGATGTGGATTTGCGGATTTCGTGTTGGATTTCGGGTTAGGGCTCCAGGGTTAAGGAGGGTATGTTCGTAAGTGGATTTCGGCCTGGACCTACATGTAGGTATTCTTGAGCCTGAGGCTTTCGAGTTTCTTCTTATTCGGGTCCCTGCATTGGCCTGCTGCTTATAGGGCAAGCTCTCAAACCCATAAGAGCCCAGAGCCAGGTCCAGTTTAGGGCTAAGGGCTTAGGGTTTGCGTATTAAGGCTTAGCATTTAGGGTTCGGGGATTAGGGCTTACACCACTAGGCCACTGTCCTGCACAAACCGGGCTCGCAAACTGCACCATCACCCTACACCCCTCGAGCCAGTCACAAGCTGTCCAAGTCCGAGAGCCTGTAAGAAACGCATCACGGAGACTTCCACAAACCCCGCTGACTGACCTCGGTGATCTTTTCCCAGCTTTTCTTCGCGGCCTTCCAGCAGGCTTATGGGCACTGAAACGTTTGTGTGTGTGTGTGTGTGTGTTTGTCTGTGTCTGTCTGTTTGTTTGTCTGTCTGTCTCCCTGTCTCCCTGTCTCTGTGTGTGTGGGTGGGGGTTTAGGGATTAGGGAATTGGGGCCTAAATAATTAGAGTAGGGCGCCAAAGGCCCAAATCCTTGAAAAAAGAATACAATGCCGAAACACAACCGGGGTTTGGGTTTTAGAGGCATGGTTTGGGGCAGCGCAAACCGCGAGTCCTAAAACAAGGAAGTAAACAGCCTAAGCTCAAACTGCCCAGACCTCCAAACATCCCTTCATTAAGGAATGTGCGTGAAATCATACTAGGCATCCTTCTTTGGTCTAACCCCCAAAAACCTAAATACTAAGCCTCAAACCCGAAGTCACCCCAGGCATTGACGTTTGTGGCGACGGTACAGACGGGGGATTGGAGGATTGCGGCATTAAAACATCCTGAACCCATAAATCCAGGTTTACCCTTGCCCTGAACCCTAAAACCTAAACCCTAAATGAACCCTAATGCCTAAACCCTGAACCCTAATTCCTAAACCCTAAACCCTAATTCCTAAACCCTAACTCCGTCATGTCCTCTGCCCGACTCGGCTGTTTCACGCCGGCAGAAACCTGGCTCTCTTCATAGGCCCTTCGCGGCTCTCAGCCTGCCACTGCTTATTTGTAAGAGAGGGCTATTTCTGCCACGACTTCCATCGTCTCTGCAGAGGCGGCTGCAACTCGATGGCTTGCAGGCTCCTCCTTAGCACGGTGCCTGACGGGTTTCTCTTCAAGCCTGGGGCCAAGCTCAGCTTCGAGGATTCAACATCAAAATATGGAGGATATCGATTAGGGGCCTGTGGTTGTCATGAAAGCCTCCCGCACGCGTGCCGACTATTCTGGCGACAGCTTCTCGTCCAGCATGTGGGTAGTTGTCAAAATTAAGGTCCCTTTTTGGTACCCTACATAAATCATTAGGTGCCGTATTAAAAAAGGACCCAAAAAAGGGACCCTAATTTTGACAACTACCCATGTCCTGCATGTTGTGCTTCGGCGAGGTGAAGAACCACCGTCGCATGCCAGCCACATTCCAAATCCCTGGACCCCAAATAACCTACCTTTGTAGGGTTCCCTAATATGATGTCCTTATATAAGTCCTTAAAAAGGTAGGTGGTTGGAAGGTAAACCCTAAACCTCCTTAACTGGACTTTGAAGAACCTCCTTAACTGGACTTTGAAGAAACCAGGGAGAAAAAGTATAATCTTTTATTTCATAATGGTTCCTTTAAGAAAAAAGTATTAAAGTATGGTACTCCAATGCCCAGCTAATTCAGGGATGTTTCGGGTGGTCTGAGTGCACCTCACAGAGCTCCGCAGCTTCCTTGAGCTTCACGTCGAGCTCCTTCTTCTGAGCCTTTTATGTGTGCTTTGCTTAGGGTTTGGGGGTTTAGGGTTTTTGGGGTTTAGGGCTTTCTTCTGAGCCTTAAGGCAACCTTCGCGAGATGTAGGGGCTTTAAGAACGAGAATAGGGTTCTCTCAAGGGTTCCTTTACAGGGTCTGTAATCTATAAGACTGTATTTCAGGGCTCCTGTTAAAGGGTCTACAAGGCTTCCCATGAAGGTTTCATGTACGGGCCTGACTGATTCGAGCAGGGTTTTGGGGTGGATGCGGGCGAAAGCCTGTCGACGAAGAGCGAAACGAAGGACGACGTGTGCGTCCTCAAAGAATGTGTACAAACATATGTGGGTTTTGGGGTAGATTATATAGTACTACAACAAGGAAGCCTAGGAATGGTAGTGTTTATTATTCCAGCCTCCATACTGCATTTTTTGTCTTGAAGGGTGAGGGGCCCGGACATGAAACCTTCTTGGGAACCCTTATAGACCCTTTAACAGGAGCCCTTAAATAAAGTTTCATAGATTACAGATTCTTTAAAGGAACCCTTGGGAATGGAGGGTTTAGGGTTGTGCATGGGAGGGTTTGGGGTTGGGAAACTCAGAGTTCAAGCTTGTAACAAAGCACTATAAGCTTCAGGGCATTGGGATCGGGGGTTCGGGATGGAGAGCTTAGCCTAGTAGACTGCGATGGATTAGGATGTAGTAGAGTTTTGCGATCTTACATCCTCCGGCACAATCTCTGTTAGAGCATGGGGGAAGATGCTCCAGCTGCGGGGAAAGGGTTCAAACGCGCAGGTAGCCCAATGCCCCTTATTAAGTCCTTAGACAGGTAGGTTGTTGGGGGTTAAGGTAAACCCTAAACCTCCTTAATTCAGGGATATTTCAACATGTTTGGGGTTCGGGTATCGTGAAGCTAGATTCTAGATCGTAGGCAAAGTTGATAATATAGTAGCGGTTTCCATTTGACGAAACTTTGGTTCTCGGTTCCCCCACATGTCTAATGCGTCGATGGAGCTGGGCTGGGTGGGAGGTGGGAGGTTCATCACGGTTTCAGAGTGGTTTCAACGTTGTGATTAATCTGGCTGGAGCCTCAGTGGGCATACTTTCCAGAGGTCGTCTTACCAGGAAGCCGCAATCAACACACTCGAACTGTCAGTTCTTTACTACTCACCTTCTAAGTTTAACTCCTACAGTAAAGGCTACGTCCTGCGCTCCATTTAAGCATTGAAACACCAAGACAGGCATCGTGTGGACACTTGGGAATTGCAGTACCTTCCTTGGTAGAAGGCCATGCCAGACCCTAAACCCCGAGGCCCCCCCGGCCATTAGGGTGTAGGGTTTGGGATTCGGCCTTTGGATTCAAGGCTACGGGGTTGTAAGGTTTTTTGGGACTGAAAGCATGAGCCATATAGCAGGCTGGCATCTGAAACCTTTAGAAGATTCTCAGTCCTAAACCCGAAAACCCGAACCAAGAACTTTAACCCGAACCATAAACCAGTATCGGTAAATGTCCAGGTTTAGGGGTATAGTACGTCAGAAAGCTGGAACATTCTGACCGTCATTCCCCTGAGGTAAAGCAACATCGAATCTGGCACTAATCATCCTAAACCCTTGTTGCAACTATCTTGTGCAAGCTGTCTTGGCAGCGTGACTATTGCCTTAGAAAGCTTTGATCTTTTAACTTCACGGCCACATGTCTCGCAACTCAGCATTTTCATGGTGGGATCGCTTTTGTCTGTCTGTGCTGCTTTGGCACAGAATGCCTGCAAGAAGATAAGGAATATTGGCCTGAAATACAAAAGGTCTCAAAAGGTTTCGTGTTGTACAGTGCTATATATCTATAAAAAGGAACCATCAGGGATAGCGCTACAACTTGTTGCGACACCTGTAAACTCTAAACCCTACCAAACCCTAAACACCGGACCAAAAAAAAACTAAACGAATTCCTCATAGAAACTCGTAAACGAAAAACTGGCCCAGCCTCACTCTGGTGATCTGCCACGATCTTCTTCGTCTCTGCCAGCTTAGTGGAGCCGTCGTCGAGACCTCGGAATATGTCTTCAGGTTTTGGGGTTTAGGGTCTTGGGATTGGGCTTTAGGGTTTAGGTTCGTGACAAGGGTTTAAGGCTTAGGGTTTAGGGTTGAGGGATTAGGGTCTATGGATTGCGGTTGAGGTTTCGGGTCTGCAGGTTTTCGGTTTACGGCAGTTTCGGGCTTAGGGTTTGGAGTTTAGTGTTCAGAGGGTGTGCGGCGGATGTGTCTTCAAGGGCTTCCAACTCCAGCTTCCCGGGCAAGGGCCCTTGAGAAAAGGGATCCTAGTCCTAAACCTGATACCCCAAGCCCTAACCCTAAGCCCTAAACCCTAGACCCAAAGCCCTAAACTCAAAAACCCTGTGGTGCCATCACTGCGTCAAGGAGTACATATGAGGACCTCAATCTCGGCAGGCGACACAGTCCTGAACAACTCTCCCGAAACCCTACGAAACCGCGAATGTTGAAAATCCAAAGGCCCCAACACTTTATTCGGGGCCTTCATAAATAATTAGAGCCGGATTTGGGGGCTTCAGTATAGCTATAATGAGGAGCTCTAAATGCTGTGTTGGGAATTTTTCGATTTAAGGCTTAGGATTTAGGGTTCAGGCCCTGGCAATACTCCGAACAACCCGATCCCTGCATTTCTGGAGCATCCACTAGTAACACGAGCATTGCTACGAGCATGGTGCCTGTTGTCCAGATACTGGCAACTGAGTTACGGGTGTTTTTGTTGATGCTGTGGTTGTTTCCAGGGTTTAGCATCCAGGGTTTGGGGATGCCATTATTCATGTGCATACCCACTTACGTACAAGCCCCCCCAAACCCTGACAGTCTGAGCATCCGGACGCTTCTGCAGATTGTCCATCTCCTCGCACCCATGTAACTTAAGCTAAGGTTGAATCCATGGGCCTTTAGTATGGGTCCTTAACCCTGGGATCCTTATGTACGTAGTATATACCTATGGCCCTGTATGTATCGTTTAGGGTCCTTTAAAAGGGCTAGGGGCCCATCGTCGGGGCCCATTCTTGGAAGCTTACATTCAGCAAAACCTAAACCGTCATCGCTATGCCCTACCCGCCTACACCCAAACGGTAGGGTTTAGGGTTCGATACCTGGAAATAGGAACTCCTAACAATAGCCCTTACACCACAAAAGACAAGTCTGTTAAATCAACCAAAGCATCCTGACAGGTCAAAACCTTTATGAAACCCAACAAAGCCTAGGATACCCCAGTAACCTAAGAATAAAAAGGCCTCTCTTTTTGGTATTGGGTAACTCTATAAGGAACCTAGCGAGGACTACAAAAAGGGAATAAGGGTACTACTGGGCATCCTAGTTTATGAAACCCAACAAAGCCCTGTACAACCCTGGCAAGGCCTTACACAACGCTTAAGTCGTCGTTAAGTTGCTAAGCTACACAACCCCCTAGACCAAAAACCCTCAAGCCCTAATGAACCTTCAATGTAAACCCAAAGCCCTTAAGGCCTAATGAAAAACACCATAAACCCCCGAGCCCGAATACCGTAAACCCTGAAGCCCGAACAACAACCCTAGACCCCAAAGCCCTAAACAACCCTGAACCCTGCGATGCCTCCAGAGTAGAGGACGTGAGCTCTGAAGACAGGCGTTTCAGGTCCAGCCGCTTCCTGAGCAAGCCATGGCTACAGCTTAGGGTTTAGGGGTTAAGGCGATGCTTATATAAAGAGAAGAGAACTGGGTTGTAGTTTTGGGGGCCCTTGCAAGTCTTTATGAGGAGGTTGGTACTTCTATAGGAACCATGAAGGAAATCTTGAGGTTTCCCAAAGTGCCACCTAGTTACACTATTCCCCACTTCGAACCAGAATAAACGCAACCTTTTCAAACTTCTCTTGGGTTTTGTAAGAACAAACAACGAACACCAAGGATACTATGGGAAGAGATACCCTACACCCCAAATAATTCCTGAAGAGACTATAGCGTGCCTAAACCCTGAACCCTGGGTCAACAGCTTGTGAGACCTTGAATCCAGAAACTCCAATATCCCTTAATTAAGGAATATTCCTTAAATTATAGTAGGATCCCTCATATGATTTAAGGAATATTCCTTAACTAAGGGATCTTCCCAGAGAGCGTGCTAAGATGCCGGCACGCCGAGCAGGGACTTTGTGCCGTTGACGCTGCTGCTCGCCGCCTTTCAACAAGATATCCCAAAGACTCCACACTATCAGGGCTTAGTATAGGAATAATAGAATAGGGTTCCTTGTAAGGGGCCCTTGAAACGGGGTCTACGAATATATAATAGGGTTCTGCAATATAGGGGTCTCAGAGACTCCGAAACCCCTTAAGTAAGTAAGGAGTATCCAATGTTTAGGGGTGTTTTTTTTTAGGGAGGCCCTGCGCGCGAACTGCGTGCGCGCTTTGGCGCCATCTCAAAAGACGATTTTCGCGACTCTTTTGCTATGACTATGTACTTATGATGTGGATTTCGTGCGGTGTGGTCCGGCTTCCATACTTCAGGGTGTGTTCTTTTTAGTTGTTACTTCTAACCAATATGGGAACTGCATTCCTCTTCGTCTACCCTGGTTGATAATTCTGTCCTTATAAGCTGACGTAAAGACTACAGAGTGCATTGGCTGACTGGGATCGGCCTGGAATACTTCCACCAAAGTTTTGTATTGCTGACGTTGCAATATGGTTGAGGGTTTTTCAGGTTTACCTGCTACCCGATATACTTCTTCGTTTGAAACGCGGGAGTAGTAAGATGATTTAATGCCTACAACCCGACGCAGGAATCTAAACCAACAACCATCAATTCTGTGTAGGTCTTTGTCCGTGAGGGTGAGGGCTTCGAGTCCATATATGAGGATGGAAACGAAAGTAGTGCGAAAGGTGCGTAACTTGGATTTCAGGGGCATGCGGGAGTTCCACATCAAACGTAGCTTCTTATACGCCTCTTCTGCGAGACTAGCACGATGCATTAGGGCCGTATAAAAGGGTTGATGCCAGGTGACCATGGACCCTAAGTACTTAATTTGCCGTGTGGTCTGGACCTTGTCCCCGTTTCTATACTTTAAGATGGGCTTGTCATCAGGGTCTTTTACCAGCAATTCCGTCTTGCTGTTGTTGAGTTTCATCCCGTATTCTGCTGCTATGTTCTCAACCGCTGTCAGAAAGGATTGCAATTTCGGCATGGTCCTAGACAATAGGAGTGTATCATCCGCATACTCTAAATCAAATGTCGGGTGTAGTGATGACCATGTGTTGGTAGCGGTGCCTTGCTACGCACGATAGCCGTTTGAGACTACCCAACTCAAGATAGTCAGTTCGGTTCGTGTCGCTAATCACAGTCTCACGCAAGCGAATTTGCGCGTCATCGATCTGGCACACATAATTGTGCATTCGCGCACTCGAAGGTGGGGTCTGATCGATGCACACGCCTGCGATCACTGCTGCGTGTAGCACTGTATCTGCGTGTGGAGACCAGCCCATTATGGCACCGTGCTGTGACACATTTTGGGGTGTTTAGGGGTTTAGGGTTTCGGTCTAGGGTTTTATCACCACATAGAGATCATATAGGGGTCAGGGACTCCGAAACCCCTTAATTAACCTAGGGCCTAAGACTTCCTTCAAGGGATCTAGAAGGATTCTATAAGGCGATTAAGGAATATACCCGTAAATCATATTGTGGATCCTACGACCAATGCGTGAATACTCTTTAATTACGGGATATTGAAATCTCTGACAGCCCAAACCTTCCAAAATCCCTTCTGTAAGGAATACAGGGTTTGAAGGGCCCAAAATCCTTAAAGTCAGAAGTATAGGTTTCATAGGTGTGTATAGTAGGGTTTTAAGGTTTGTAGGTTTTTTTTTCGTGGGGTTTAGGGTCCCACCAGACCTTGCAAAATCACTTAAAGCTAAATTTGCATAAGGAATGTACCTTATCTCACATTACGGATCCTAAAGCCGTTTAAAGCATTCCTGGTCCCAACATTACCCAGACTTTCCAATATCCCTTAATTGAGCAATATACCTTGTATTCTCGTCGGACCCCAAAAATCATTCAAGCTCCATTCCATAATCAAGGGGTCTTGGAAGGTCCGGGATTGGGTATCGACACACAAGTCCCAAATCTAGGTACACTTAGGGTTCGGGTTTGGGATTCCGGGGTTTAGGGAGTTTTAGGGACTGTTTACCAAAGAGGTTCTTAGGATCAAAGCGGCGGACCAAAATGCCTGGTTCATGCGACCGGTAAGGACTGCTAGCTAAGGATCCTTGCCAACCCTACAACCACTAACACTTGGGATCCCTTCTTCCGAATCCCTTCTTCTGATCCCTGTCAAAGGAGGGGGAACCCTTCAAACCCCAAAGCTCTAAACCTGTTCCCGACACCCTCAGTTTAAACCCTAAAACCCTAAACCATAAAACCCTAAACCCTAAACCCTAAAGGCCTAAACCCCCAAACCCTTAAAGCCTCAAACCCTTAAAGCCCTAAACCTGTTCCCGACACCCTCAGTTTAAACCCTAAAGCCCTAAACCATAAAACCCTAAACCCTAAAGGCCTAAACCCCCAAACCCTTAAAGCCCCAAACCCTTAAAGCCCCAAACCCCTAAACCCCTAAAACCCTACAGTAAAAGCCAGAAAGTTGGAATATCATTATCATACTCCCTTTAAGGTAAATTATAGGGGATCCTGCCATTAATCCATATTCCAACTTTCTGGAGTTCCTTTTAAAGCCCCAAAGCCCCCTGCACCTTGATCGCGGCCTCCAGCGCTGCCAGGGCAGGCTCGGCTCCCTACTTCGAAGGGCTTTGGGGACTTAGTAAGGGCTCTTAAAGGGCTCCTTAAAGGGATCTATAGGGTTCCTTAAAGGCGTCTATGGGGTTTAGGGTTTAGGGTCCCTGGGCGCCAAGACGCGCCGGCGGCTAAAAGGAAAAACGGCGGTCTCAGTGTTTAGCAAAGGTTCCCTGAAGGGCCCCCTTTAAAGGTTCTATGTTCTATAGACTATGGGAGTTCTGGAAGGGGTTATTATTATTATAGGGCTTCACGGGGATAGGGTTTAGAGAAGGATAAGAAGTCGGGCGTAGAGGCGTTAAGGATGTGGGGTCTTGAGGTGTCGGCTTATTGGGTTTAGGGCTCGGGGCCCTGAATGTCGGGTTTCGGGCATGGGGATATCTAGCGAAACGGAGCCGACACGGTTGAACCCATCGCTGTCTTACTTGCGAGGTTTCCTAGAGGATCTTAAGTTTGGACATATGGGTGGTTGTCAAAATTAGGGTCCCTTTTTGGGTGCCCTAAATATAAGGTGCCGTGGTATAATAAGGACCCCAAAAGGGACCCTAATTTTGACAACCACCCATATATAACAGCGATGGCGCCACCCCCACAACAGTGAACAAGCTAGACACTAGCAGCTTAGAAACACGGCAGCGGCGTCGCCTGTTGTTCCGACGATGCCACGGCCTTCTGGAATGCCTGCCGATAGAAATCAATCGGACTCGGGCTTGTGGGCTGTGTTTCGATGGTGAACATATGAGGCAACACCAACGAAGAACATTGTGAATAGTTCAGGAAACTAGAATTACTAGGCTTTCGGAGATATTCCACGATTCAAGCTCCCTGAAACTCAGAGAATTGCAGGGCCGTGGACGCAAGATCGGTGATTGGGGATCCTGCAGATCCTTGAGAAGATCTGAAAAAAGAACCCCTCAAAAAGTCTTCTACCGCTATATATATATATATATATATGTATAGACATATCTAGATATATGCGTAACCTTTAATAGGTATGCTAGAAGACAAGACTTCAGTGGCTCTATGCTTTTGATCCGTATGGGCGTCTGGGATCGAGCTGCAAGATGAACCGAGTCATTCGTTGAGCAAGTCGCATTGGGCAAGTCTTTTGGGAACATGCTTACAGCTCCTCGACCGATTAGGGCTTAAGGTTTATTTCGTTTTTAGGGCTTTAGGGTTTTAGGGTTAAGGGTCTTGGGGGGAAGTATCAGACCTCAAAAAGTATAACTCAGGTTGAATCCCGTCCTGACCGCTGCTTGTTGGCGGTCTTACCCACGTTTGTGTGATTTTTCTCCCCGTGGTTGGTCGTGCTGTGCCCTTGAAGCCTCGGACGTCCTCCAGCCTTGTATGCGGTCTGAACCCTGCCCCGCCCTAAGCCCTAAACCACATAGAGACTTGACTAGTGCACATATAAAGCCTCAACACGAAGCCTAATCCCTGAACCCTCAAACCTCAACCCTAAACCCCTTAAACCCCTAAACCCTGAACCTTAAACCCTAAACCCTGAACTCTAAACCCTCAACCACTGAACCCCTAAACCCCCAACCCTAAACCCTGAACTCTGAACCCTCAACCCCTCAACCTTTAACCAAAGACTGGGTTCTGGTTCAGGAGTTTAATCTAAGTTACCATAATGAGGATCTATAGAATATAACATGGTTTCTTTATTGGGGTAACTTGAACTAACTTGCTAAACCCTGTACCCTAAACCTGAAAATTTGATCCCTTAACAAGAACCCTTACAGTAGAAGCCCAAAAGTTGGAAACCCAATAGCCTCGACCCTTAAGAGTGACGTATAGGGAATCCCAGCACTATTTGGCCTTAATCCGGTTTCCAACTTTATGGGGTTTACTCTATCAAACGGGAAAAGGAGGGACCCTTAATGGGGACCCCTACCCTATAATGGGCTATATAATGGGTATATAATAGCTATATTAAGGGTATATACCTAGGGTTCCTTATTAGGGGTCCCTAAACCCTAAAAACCTAAACCCAAAACCCTTTTCCCCTTTGACTCTAACAGCCCCAGCAGTGGAAGCCTCTTGAGCTTCTGTCGCCGCCTTGACGGCAGCCTCGAAGAAGGCATGGGACGATTTCTTTAAGGGCTTCTAGGGTTTACCTTAACCCTGAAGAACCTACCTTTCTGAGGACTTATATAAGGAAATCATAATAAGGATCCCTAAAAAGGTAGGTTATTCAGGGTTAAGGTAGGGTTTAGGGATCCAATAGTTAAGGAATACAGGGTTAACAGGGACCAAAATCCTGTAAGGAACGAGTATAGGGGTTCTTCCGAAGAAGAAGTTCTTCATAGGGGTGTATAGCAGGGATTTAGGGTTTATGCGAGTTTGTAATAGGGTGTTCGGCGCTACCCAGACCTTTCAATATCCCTGAATTAAGAGACATACCTTAAGTCATAGTAAGCATGCTGATGTGATTTAAGGTATATTCCTTGATGGAGGATTTTGGACATTCTAGGTTTTCAGGCTCTACCTCAGGACCAAGATCAACTGCAACAGGGGCTTAGGTTCATATTCATATCCCATATCTGTTAAGACTCATTTTCGCCCTGACGGTGTGAGGTTGTGGCCGTTCGACTTGAAAGGTTTAGCGTAGTTGCAGGTGTGGCATGTCCAAGGGCCTAAACCCTAAACCCAACGGTCGCCAAGGCCAAACCCCAATAGAAGAGATTGACTGCAGGCTGCTATGGCGGCACCTGAAAGCACACCAAAACGGATCCCCAAACCCTTCACCCTCAACCAAAACGGGTAGTTGTCAAAATTATGGTCCTTTCTGGGGCACCCTAAATATTAGGTGCCGTAGTAGATTAAGGACCCAAAAAAGGACCGCAATGTTGACAACCACCCAAACCGGGGTTGCTGACTGAGCCCGGACGCCTCCATGTCCTGGACGCCCTTGCTGGCTTCCTCTCCCGATGCCTGGCTCAGGGGCTAAGCCAACGGGGAAGTTTGGGGATTTGGACTTTAGTCTAGGATTTGGGATCGGGTTTAAGGTTCTGAACTGCGGTTAAGTAGGGATATAGGTTTAGGATTTTCAGTGGATTTGGTGTAGGATGTGGATGGTTGTCCAAATTACGGCCCTTTTTGGGGTACCCTAAATATTAGGTGCCGTACTATATCAGGGACCCCAAAAGGGACCATAGTATTGACAACCACCCATGTGGTGTTTCGTCACCCGGGCTTCGATCTTCCCTGTGCGATGGCCAGGTGCTCGAGGCTTCGGGCTGTTTACGGTTTAGGGTTTAGGGTTTAGGGCTCATCCTTTTGTTATCGGTAGACCTATTTGGGAGCTTCCGAAAATAGGGGACCCTAATATAGTACCCCAAATAGGAGGATCCTGATTTTTAAGGACCCCAACATATGGTACCCCTAGTTTTCGGAAACTCCCATTTTCAGCTTAAAGCAGCACTTCTACTGACCAGGCCTTGTTTCAACCCGGAAGCTGCTAACCTAGTGTGGTAACCTGACTCATGGTAGGTTTGGGGTCCTGCTGTAACATCAGACGTAAGACACTAGTCCGAAGGCTCGAATTTTAACAGGGTGGTGGATGCTGGAGGGGTTCATGGGTTTAGGATTGTATAGGTAGGCCTTTCACCGAGGCTCTAGCAGTTTGGAGATTTGGTCAGGTTTGGTGGATTTGAGTGTCAAGTATTTTGATGTGATGCAGTAAAACGGGCGAAGGTTTTGTTGGTGGTCCCTTAACTCTAATGTAGGAACCTGATTAAGAAACCTTGGGCCTTTATGAGGGTTCCGCCTAGCTTTTTTGGGGTTGTAGGCCCAGGGTCTCTGAATCAGAACCCTAAACCCTACACCCTAAGGGATTGCCATGGGTTTGGGTGGTTCAGGGCTTATAAGGTCCTTAACGCTGAAGTGAGCTTCAGGTTTCCGGGCTCAGGGTTAACGGATCGAAGTTCTAGTTCGAGTTGCAGCAAAAGTTCTCTTTCTCATAGACCCAAAGGTCCCAATGCCCAAATAGTAGGGTATCAGAGTCAAAAAAACCACTTGAAGTATGGATTTTGGGACCTAAAACCTTACTATTTGGGGATGGTGGTGGTGGTGGTGGGTGGTGGTGGTGGAGGTAGTGTTAGCACACCTATCGGCAACCCCAGAATAACGGTCCCTCTCGGCTGCGATCGTCTCATCGCAACTGCTGACTGAATGTCGCGGAAATGCGAGAGCACTTTGTCGTAAGTGACATAACGACCACCGTGATGGTCAACACACTTTTTGATCTTCGGCATTCTGTAGGTGGCCTCGAGCTCCAAGCCGTTACCTCCGGCCGCCAAGAATTTCCGCAACAACTGCATGCGAACGTCTCCGGTTGATGATATAATTCCGGCATTACCTTCATGACGCTCAGCTATGGTAGTTATGGTATATTCCGTATTACGGGTAATGCAGGATTTATATCATCAACCACCGGACCCCAAAACCATATTCACAGGTAATGAAAGACCTGTAGGGTCATACCCTACCCCTTCTTTAGGGTGCCTACTTTTCCATATCCCAGCCTCCTAACCATGACATTACGTACCTTAAAAAAGGTGCAGGGCATGACCCTATGCGGATCAAGAGTTGTGGCTCAATCCTCGACCTCGCAACATGTGGCCTGACAGGCTTGTGGACCAGTTGCCTCGTTTGTCGAACTTCTACGTTGCTGAGGTCTTCAACTGCTCGAGTTGAGTCTTGCGCAGCCTGTCTTTCAGAGGCCAACTACCCTCAACTTAATCATCCCTGAACCCTAAACCTGTAAATCCTATCCCCTGAATTACAACCCTGAACCTTAATCCTTACACCCCAAAACCTTGAAGCTTAAACCCCAAACCCGAAGCATTCAAGCAGTAAATCCCTTAAAGTTCAGTCCCCGCGGAGAGTTTGACTCCCGTTTTCAGCCTTGACCAGGGCTTTCTCCGAGTGCGTCCTGCACACGGGATGAGACTTCTGGGTTTGGCGTTACTATAGGGGCCTTAATAAATGGAATAGGGTTTTGGGGGCCCACTATACTATAACTATAATAAGGAACCCCTAAAATAGTATTGGTTATTTTTTGGCCCCAATTTTGGGGTCTTGGGTTTAGGGTTCTTAGGGATTTGTGGGTTTTAGGTTGAGGGTGTGGGTGTGGGGGTTCGGGTAAAGCGCCTAACGTTCCTAGTGATTGTGGTATGGGTTTAGGGCCCTTAAGGTTGATTTAGGGTGTGGCCTTCGGGTTTCGGGTCTAGGGATTGGGCTCTTAGGGTTTTGGGGTTTAGGGTATGGGTTTAGGGTGTGGGTAGAGGTTTAAAGTGCCCTGAATCGAGGATGAGATTTGGGAGTGCATTAACAGTTCCGAACTTTAAAGCTCAACTTCACGGTTGTGCATGCCATGGAACTGCTTTTAACAAGACTTCCCTCATCCCTAAACTCTATAACGCCTAAACCCTGAACCCTGACCTGCGTCTGCGGAGTCTATTGAGTTGACATCTTCTGTTTCATTGCAGCCCCTGGCTGAGGCTTTGGATCATGTTGATACAGGGAGGCGTTAGTAGCAAGAATACCTATAGGGTCATACCCGACACCTTTTTCCAGGTACCTAAATTCATGGTTAGGAGCTGTTATACGGAAAAGTAGCTACCCTAAAAGGGGTAGGGGACCCTACAGCTAGGGATTGGGTCATGTTGTACTGTAGCTTCGTTAAAGAACCCTGAGGAACAGTAGCGCTTTTGGGTTCTGGGTTTACCGATCCGTCTCAAGTACCCGATGAAAACTTCAATACCCCCCCCATAGAAGCCCCTATAAACCAAATACATTCCCTTAGAACTGATGATTGGGTACTTTGGACTGCAGGGTCGTGCTGTCGCGATACAAGGACTTAAGAACACATGTACAGCGAAGAAAAGCAACGGCAAACATGCACAAATAATGAATACAAAAACCATAACAATATGTAGTAGTGAATGCCAAAGGTTTCTGAAGCAGGCTTCTGAGCGAATGTCTGGAGAGACTCGAACAACAGCCACTCTCACTATGCAAGCTTTCAGCTTTTCCCACCACAAATCCAAAACGCTCTACATGCTAAATCAGGAAATGCTTCTCCGGCAGCCATCCCACTCCCTGACTAATTACCCTGTTTATAGTGGGGTTCACGACTCTCTTTACATCAGGATTCACGATGCAAGCTTTTAAACCCTAAGCCCTAAACCTTCATTCCCTAGAGCTTACCGATGACCAGAATCGCGCATGATCCCTGCCGAAAAATTGCACCAGAACTCCCAACGTCTGCTGATAAATCAGTTGTTGCAGGATTTTGCCCGGCGCCTGACCCTAGGTTCTATTCTGAGCCAGTAGACGAACGTACCTAAGGACCTAGTTTAGTACTGCACAAACCCGAAACCCTGCTTTCCACATCTTATAGTAACTGCCTATGGCGAAGGCCTCAGAGTGGACAGCGCCCCGTCCATCTTGGCGACGATCGGAGTAAGTCGATCCCGTAACTTCTCGGCAAGGTCCCTGAGAGCCTGTTACGAGAAAGGCTGAGGCTTTTTGGTGTAAGGTTGAAGGTCTTAGGGATTTAGGGCTGATAAAGCTGTTAGGGCTTAGGGCTTCGGATTTCCCATTGAGGATGAGGCCCCAATTAGTATCATGCAGTAGTCTTCTCCAAGGGTGCGAAGAGCCAAGTGGGGCTTACGACGATGTAGACAGGTCCGCCGGTCATGCTTGGGCACCTGACCCTATACCCGAAACCCATAGGCTTTTGAATTTAGAGATTCGGGGTGGGGTTTAACAGTTACCTGTAGCTCCCAACTCTACAGAATAGTAGGCTATGACCCTGTAACTATAGAAAGGGCAATGATTACCCCTTCACACGGTGGGTTGTCGAATCCCCAGGTAGTGTTTAGGGCGGTTCAGGGTTTTAGGGTCTGTAGAGCCGCTAGATTTTTGCGCTTTAGAGTGCTCTGGTTTAGAACCTGCTGTCTAGGGGCCATGGAGCCTTGCCAAAGTCCTCAACCCCAAACTGGGAGTTAGGATTAGGGGGACCCTCGGGGATATAGACCCTCTCAGTAGCAATTCGGAAGGGGTATATTTTAAGGGGTCTCCCTCATCATGCTACCTCAAAACCCAACTACCACAAAACTCCTCAACAAGAGACGCAAAACCCCTATAACCCCAAGCTTCTACACCGCATGCCCCTTATCTCCAAGCCCGAAGCCTCCCCACCCCAAACCCCAAACCCTGGGACTTAAACGACCAAACAGACGGCAAACTCCGGGGCATGCTAAGGCTCTTCAACCCTAACCTCTAAACCCTCTCCGAGACTCCAATATCCCCAAATTCAGGAATAGGCCTTTAATCATAGTGGGATCCCGAATATGATTTGAGGATTGCATGTTCCTTAATTCAGGGATATTGGAGTCTCTGGGAACCCTAAAAGCCCCTAAACCTTGAACAAGTCTAAACCCTCAGCCCCTCCACCGAGCCTCGTCCCTGGACTGCAGTTGGTTGTCCACGTCTCTGGACTGAGACCGCACCTCCCGTTTTTTTGCAGGGCGGATCTACAAAGGGGGTTTAGGGTTTGGTGTTGAGGCCAGGCCTCTTAGAGTTTTAGTATACTGTAACCGAAACCCCTGTTCTAATCAGTCGCTGGAAGCCCCAATGCCCGTCGAGACCAAGCCGTTAATCTCCAAACCTCTAAACCCAAGACCTGTCGGCCTGTAAACCCAAACCCAAAGTCCGTAGAAAATTAACCTCCCCAACAGATACCTTAAAGGAACCACAAACCCTAAACCACCTCCTGCTAGATCCCGTAAAAGGAATCCTAGACCTTTCTGCCCGAATTGCCCTTCCAGAACCCTCAACCTGAAACCTCCAAATTTTCGTCTCCAAACTCTAAATCCCAAACCCTAACTTCAGCTGCTTGAACAGACGCTAGCTGCAGGCTCTCATGCTAAACCCGACAACGAATTTACGAGGACCCTTCGAAGCAGTAGGTTTTGGTAGTTTATAATTTATAATGTAAATACTCTAGGGGGCTTACGAATTAGAATTGGAGTTTGGAGTATTTTACTCTATAGTTATACTGAGGAACCCCCAACACAGTATAGGTAACTTCTAAGACCCCTATATTCCAGGACGTCCCAATGGCCCTTTAACAGAGCCCCTATGGTCCTTAATAGTGAGTATTTGGTCTTATAATAGACTAGAGGCTGCGGTAGATACTGAAAGCTTGAGCCGGCCTCCCTCTGCAGGATCTTCACGGCATCTTCTGCCTTCGTTGCGTCTGAAGGCTTGCACTCTAGGGCCGTGGGCTCAGGCACGAAAGGAACTCGTTCTTTTCTTTTGTGGGCCCTTTTCCTCCCTGCAGCAGTCGGAACACCTAGTACCTCGTTCGAGGACTGACAGGCACTTCCACAGAGGCGGTTGTTGCCAGATTTTAGGCCCAGCACTTCTCATCCGCAGGGCCAGCTGTAATCTGTCGGACTTTCGTAATCCTTGAAACTGTAAATCCTCAAGGCATGGACAAAACAAGAAGAAACCGAGAAGCAGAACCTGGATCACAGCAGAGACAAGCAAACACACTGCAAACCACAGCCAAATTCCAACCACAAGCCCCGTCGACCCAGGATTTTCTTCATAACCGTTATTTTTCAGTAAACACCCCTAAACAACACATATGAACCTCTGGCCCAACAGCCCAAAAAACCTGGCTTCAAAAATAATCTGAATTGATCCCTCGAATTCCCAATTCCTAAAGCCAAAGATACCGGCCAAAGAAAAAAGCGAAAAGCCTTGAAACAAAAACGGGTCGGTGAAACAATCACAGCCAACAGCCTATAAGCCCGTTCACCAATCAACCCTTGTAGCACCTCTCCTCGAAACTCTAAACGGAACCCGTGTATTAAAGATGTATAGATCCCTTAGAAGAGAGAGGAAAGGAATCCTTAAACAAAAAATCCCGTGCCCTCTCTCGCGCCTTCTGCAGTTGACTTGCGTCAGCATCAGCTTCACTGACCTGGCTGAAGAACAAACGAGGACGGTTCTGTGAGGGCTGTGGCGGGGGTGAGGGAGGGGGAGGGGGGGTTGGACTTTAGGTTTGGCTTACAATTGGTTTAGGGTTTAGGAGAGCTTTTGGGGCACGAGGGCTTAAGGTTCAGATGCGACAGATTTAGGAGTTTAAGATTCGACCATTTAAAGGCTAAAGATTTAAGACTTCGAGCTTTCGGGTTGCTCACCAGTCCAGCTCAGAGGCTTTCCGGAATGGACCCCTGTGATCACAAGGACTGCTGCCAGATACCGACAACCCTCATGCCTTCCGGACCATAGTCTTCAATACCCCTATAGTAACTCGTCATGAATATAGAGGCCTTAATGATTAGAGAGGGTTTTATACTCTTTTTATAATAAGGAAACCCCACAATAGTATTGGTAATTATTTAAGCCCCTCTAGTACTCTGCTCCATCCGTTACCGTCAGCTGTATGTCAACGCTAAGATCCTCCAGCAGAGTTCTACAAGGATTTAGGATGCGGCGCTCTTTCTGACTGTTAGACATCTATCCCAAATCGCCATGTGGGATTTAAAAAGCTCTGATTTGGGCTTTCGGGATTGGGGGTTCAGGGTCATGCGAATAGCCGTTGGTCCGTGGTTGCAGTTCGCCAGCTTCTAAGCCAGTTAATTTATCAACACAAGCGGTAAGATTTGTGACTGGTGTTAGCACACAATTTTCCAATGACAACGCAAACTCGAGAAATACAAAACAGGCGACCAGAATACAGGTCTCCGTAGATGTGACGTGAGTACGTAAGGTGTTGAGCCAGTGCAGTTGGCGGGAAGGGTGGTTACTACTACTCCTACTACTACGACTACTATTACTACTACTCTACTTCTACTACCCATACAAACACCACCAATAAATTCCGCCCTAACCCTAAACTCTGAACCCGAACCCCCAAACCCTAAACCCTAAATCCTAAAACCCTAAACCTCAAGCACTAAACCCCTAAACCCTAAAACCCTAAAGCCCAAGCACTGAATCCCTAAATCCTAAACCGCTAAACCCCAAGCACTAAACCCCTAAATCCTAAAACGCTAGACCCCAGGCACTGAACCCCTAAACCCTAAAACCCGAAACCCCAAGCACTAAACCCCTAAAAACCAACACCCTAAATCCTACAAGTATACCATAACTATAACAAGGAACCCATAAAATAGTGCAGGGGCCTCAACACGATTCTTGGCACCCATACTTGGAAGGGCAGGGGACTTAGTAAGTAGGTTATAAGTAGAGTTATAAGTACCCTAAATGGAGATACCCCAATTAGAACCGTACTTATAACCTACTTACTAAGTCCCCTGCCCTTCCAAGTACTAAGGCCCCTAAATCCTCGACCCTCTCCCCGTGCCTTGGCAATGATGTCCGACATCCGCGTGGCTTGGGACTCCAACTCGGTCATCTTTGCCAGCTTCTGGGAACCGATTCGGATATAGAGATTTAGGGTTTAGGATTTAGGGTTTAGGGTAGGTTCTGGGAACCGATTCGGATATAGAGGGATTTAGGATTTAGAGATTTAGGATTTAGGGTTTAGGGTGCTTCTGGGAACTGACTTGGGTATAGAGATTTAAAATTTAGGGTTCAGGGGTTTAGGGATTTAGGGTTGGGCGGTTGGGGTCTTTCGGGGTCTTGGAAGGTTGCGGCCCAGGCCCTAAGCCTTCAACCCCTATACGCCCTAAACCAGTTTAGGGTTTTTGGGGATCCAGTGTTGTAAACCCTAAGCCCTTAAAGTAAAAGCCAGAAAGTTGGAATATGATTATCCTAAACCCTTCTATGGTAGATTATAGGGTAACCTACCATGAAACCATATTCCAACTTTCTGGAATTCCCTTTAACCCTACTGGGAAAAGGCCACGGTTTCATTCTCTTAGGCCTCAGAATTCCTCTCAACATTCCTTGCCTATTGTTTAGAGTTCTTCTTTTCCTAAAGTTAGGATGACTTACTTTCCTAAGGCTTCTTTAATTTCAAGATCCCTTTAAGCCCCGCACGTTTCAGACCTCTTTTGTCTTGAGTTGGGAGGACTTACTTGGTTGGCCTGCCCAAGGCAGGCTCCCCAACTAGACATATGGGGGTTTTCCGAACATTGGGGGCCCCAATATAGTACCCCAAATAAAAGGATACCGGTAAAAAGGACCCCAGAATAAGGTACCCGAATTTCCGGAAACCTCCACATAGTCGTTATGCGTTAGAGTTCAGGGTTCGGGGATTTACGGTTTCAGCTTTTTTTGGCGGCTCACAGGATCGCAATGTGGGGGTCCGCGGGGTTTATTGTAAGGGGTGGCAGGGGCTCCGTGGTGCTACTCTGGCCGGGGTCCTCCTGGCCCACAACTTTGCCGAGCACTTTGCAGGAACACGTGGCTTGCCAGAGTTCTGGGCATGAGTACTTGGAAGGGCAGGGGACGTAGTAAGTAGGTTATAAGTAGAGTTATAAGTACCCTAAATGGAGATACCCCAATTATAACGCTACTAATAACCTAACTTACTAAGTCCCCTGCCCTTCCAAGTAGGGACCACGTGGTCATGCCCAACACTTCCAGCCCTCCGTTCTGGTTTGCAATGATACATGTGGCGCAGCTCCTGGCCAATGCCACATGGAGGAAACTGCAGAAACAGAGGAGGTGTAAGGAGCCTTTTCATACTCTTCATACTGTTCTTCCATCTTCTTCATCTGCTTCTCCACGCTGATCTCATCGTCACAAAGCACATTCAGACTTTCAGTGTGCTCAATGACACGATCTTCCAGTTTTGCCTTTGTCTCTTGAAGCTTCAGGACACACCCGTTGGGCAAAGCATTTGTCGGTCTCATCGTCGTTTCTCTCAACTAAGTCATAGTACAGTGGGCCCTGAAGCCCCCGTCTAAGTAAATTTGCCACGGCAATATTCTAGAACCCTTACCTAGAGTAGCCTGAAATTCAACCTTATAGAACCTTTCAGAGAACCCTATCCCCACAATAACCCCCCCCCCCCTCACCAAACACAGAACCTCCTCGACCATCTGCAGGGCATCCAAACGCTGGTCCACGCTCTTGCTGACGCCTCGGCTTTGTTTTGAAGGGTCTGAGAGTCTGCCATTCATCAGGCCATAGCCCTTCAATTGAACACTTCTGGGGATGTTCTACCTGTAGGGTGTCTTGAAACCTTAGGGGTTCTGATTCGAGGGATACACATGGAAGTACTGAGGGCTTCAGACCCCCTAGTGCTGCAGTTCAGGGCTCGAAATACTAAGAATTCTGGGTACCCAAAGCCTTGGGTTAGATCCTGGGCGTAATTTGCAACTCTCAATGCACCCGCACAGGCTGCTAATACAATCGGATCTGCTCTGCCAATTCAGTCAAAGCAGATCTCATATCAACCTCTAACAGGAACTCTTGCATAAATTCAGGAAGAGCGGCGTGCGTGCTTCGTCATCGCACTTCTCGCCTGGAAGTTTGCGTAGATCGGAGTAAGGGCAGTATCAGCTAATTAAAGGAACCATAATGACTGATGTGGGGCCTGGGGGGAGAAGCAACACTACATGCGCAGCAGCAACAGCACCAGCAGCAATAGTAGTAGCGGTCGTCGTCGGCGTCACCGCAGGCGTAGTCATCCTCGTCGTTCAAGCATGCAGCAGTCATTAATCGTCGTCGTGTTCGTAGTAGCTGTCTTCGTAGTCGTGATAGAAGTAGCAGTGGTAGTAGTAGTAGTAGTAGTAGTAGTAGTAGTAGTAGTAGTAGTAGTAGTAGTAGTAGTAGTAGTGGCATAGTAGTAGTAGTAGTTGTTGTACCAGTTCGGGCAACAGTTGCAGCAACAGCAACGGTACTACATAACTGTTATACGAACCCTATGAGCCCTCTCGCCAAAGTCGAACCAGGAACCACTACCTTACACCTTAAACGCCTAAACGGAACCCTAGAACAACTTCGTAAACCCTACAAAGCCCCCATGAAATGCATTTAGACACTTTACTATAGATCCTAAAGGCACACTGACCAGGAACCTGAATAACATCTTATAACCCCTCTGCCCTCGTTGTGGTTTGAAGTCGTCGAAACTAACTAGGTGCCTTCTAGTTGAGGTCCCCATTTTACACTTGTCGCCGACGCCCTGTATCCCCGAAAATCTAACCTCTAAACCCTTTGTCCCAAAACCCCTAAGCCCTAAACCCAAAAAACCCTATAGAAACCCAAAACCCCAAGTAGCCAACTCCCTTGCAGTACTCCTAATACACCGGAAGCCTTATAGACACTAAACACCACACCCCTAAATCCTAAACCCTAACTAAGCCCTGCAAACTCTACATCAGCCCTAAACCCCGAAAACCCTAAACCCTTCAACCCCTCAAAACCCTAAACCCCTAAACCCCTAAACCGTAAACCCGATGGACGCCCAGTAGAGCTGAGCTTTGGGGCGTTGTCCACGCGCTCGTGAAGCTCCGAGAGTTCCTAGAAACATCCCGCAGGCGCCAATAAATATCCCTTAATCAAGAAGGAATACCTGGGGTTCCATTAAGGGCTCCTAAAAAGAATTTTTTTTGGGGATCCTACGATATTTTACGGTATAGTCCTTAAGTGTGTGATATCTCGAGGTGTATTTCTTTTCGGATTCAGGGCTTGGGGGTGTAGGGCTTTGGGACTAGGAAGCTTCAGGGTTTAGGGCTAGGGTTTAGGGTTTAGGGTTTAGGGTTTAGGGTTTAGGGTCTCGGGTTTCAGGGTTTACGATTTAAGGCTAGAGTTTCAAGGTTTCGGGTTAGGGCTGCGGTTCAGAACCTAAGGTTTCAAGGTTTGGGGTTTAGGGTTCAGTCAACGCATGAGAGACACCCCTTCATACTGAAGATGCGCGTTTTCCTATCATTCAGTGTAACCACAGTTCGGCAAACAGCAACATCAAAGGGATAAAACAGGTCCTACAGGATGGTCGACATCCTTTAATATATAAATTTCTATGATCAACGCTAGGAGCCCTTGGACAAGGTACTACTGGGAAGCGTAAGAAGTCCGGAGCAATCACCTGCATGAATGTCAAAATCAAGTCTCATGTTCTTGTTCGATCGCATGTCGCTCCTGACTGAGCCAAGTAGGGTTTACCTGATCAAGAAACTGCTGGTTACTAGGGCTTTAGGTTTTATAGGGGTTAAGGTTTTAGGGCTCTTCCATGTACGGAGCGACGGGTCTTGCATGACATGACCTCTAGACCGTAGAGATGGCGAGTTTGACATTACTCCCCCTTCGAACAAAAAATGTGCGTATAGTCAGGGCTCTACATCAAGCAACAAGGCAAAGCACACATTTTTCACAATCGGTACCTCGTAAACCATCAAACGGCTCTCAGCCGTTAGTCGTTCGTCCCGGAGCCGGTGCAAGAATACAATCTCATACTTGGAAGGGCAGGGGACTTGGTAAGTAGGTTATAAGTAGGGTTATAATTGGGGTAACTCCATTTAGGGTACTTGAAACTCTTCTTATAATCTACTTACAAAGTCCCCTGCCCTTCCAAGTAGCCCACCATACGAACAGCAGTAGTAGCAACGATTGCACTACAGACAGCGATTGCATAACAAGAAGAACCACAATGATGTTGCTAGTGGCCGCGAGTGATTGCACGGTCATTGAAACAATCAGAGCAGGATCAACCATAATGACCACGGTCCGCAGCATCTGCAGAATCCCGCCATCCCGAAACCCTTCGTACCTAGAACGTAAATCCAATGTAGCGTCATCATCATCATCATTATCATCATCATCATCATCACCATCTCGTCATCACCATCATCATCTCGCCATCATCATCATCATCGTCATATCGTCATCATCATCGCGCCATCATCATCGTAATCAGCACCATCATCAGCGTCAGTCCCGGTCCTGGGCGGACTCTCCGGCAGCATCCTGATGAACACGTGCGTTAACGTAACAGTCGAGACCAAGTTCAAAGCTTTGAGTAAGGCGTTTGAGCTGCTCAGCCTCGCGGCCGTGTGAGTAGGGTTTAGGGTTTAGGGTTTAGGATTTAGGGTTTACTTGGAAGGGCAGGGGACTTAGTAAGTAGGTTATAAGTAGAGTTACAAGTACCCTAAATGGAGTTACCCCAATTATAACCCTACTTATAACCTACTTACTAAGTCCCCTGCCCTTCTAAGTAGGGTTTAGCGTGTGAGCAGCTACAAAATTGGGGTCTTGACGGTTCGTGTTTCAGGGCTCTGAAGTTACGGAGTGTTGGGTTGGGGTTTCGGAGCTTTGACGGCTTGGGCTGGGCTCGAGAAACACACAACTGCTGTGATGTCCTCATAACAGACACCTTCACAAATGGAAACACAAAACTTAAAATGTAACCAATAGCGTAGCGGTTAGAGTGCAGGTCTCAGACGTTTATCCTGTCTTGGACCTACCCACAGGCTCCGTAGTAGTTGCTCTTTGGGATTACCTTATAGGATTCTAAGGGCGCACTATGCAGCCTCTAGGGCACCCGGGATCTTCCTCATCTGACATACAGCTTCGTCTAGGACCCCTTCGCTGATAGCGACATCGGATAACGTAGGAGTCTTGATGATTGGAATAGGGCTTTGGGGGTAAATTGCAGCACGTTTTTCAGAGGAACGACAAGGGAATAGTAACAGTGTCAATTCGGCATGTTCTTTCAGGCCAAGACGCCCCCAAATTAGGCTTCATGGTCCCCACTCTCTACATAACACTGCTTTAGCAGCCAGGATATCATAATCAAATCTTTCTTTCCGTAAACCCCATAGCCTCGATCTAAATTTGGAGCGAGACAGCTCCCAAAAGCATCAAACGAGACGCCCTATCACTATCCGAAACCCTAATCTCTAAACTCTAAACCCTGAACACGATCAAAAACCCTAGACCCTAAACTTTAAGACTTGAAACCCTAAACATTATCCGAAACTAACCGCGAAGCCCGAAACCCAGAAACCCTACAGCCCTGGACCCCAGATGCAAATTCGACCCCCTGAAGCACATCCGCCTAAGCCAGTCACTAAACTCTGGACAGCCCGAAAGCCACTTTTGCAACCCTCGCGAAATCCTTATCAAGCCCTGCAATCTCAAACCTCCCTGAGTAACTATATATGGGAGTTTCCGAAAATAGGGAACCCTAATATAATACCCTAAATAGTAGGATCCTTATTATAAGGACCCCAAAATAAGGTACCCCCAATTTTCGGAAACTCCCATATATAGACCCAAATGAGCGAATGCCTCCCTCTGCCACTGCGACAACGCGGCTTTGGCCTTGCAGGCTTCTTAAACCCCACACCGATTTGGGTGGTTGTCAAAATTATGGTCCCTTTTCGGGGTCCCTATGATAATACAGCACCTAATATTTAGGGTCCCTTTTGGGGTCCCTATCATATTACGGCACCTCATATTTGGGGTACCCTAAGAAGGGACCCTAATTTTGACAACTACCCAGTTAGGGTTGATGAGTTTAGGGTTTGGGTTTGGGGCCAGCCAAGCTTAGGATTGAAGGCCATGACAGATATTTCATAGCAACTGCAGAATTACCAGTCTCACTATTCGTAGTGGTGATAAGGTTGCTAATATTGTGGTGCTGGGAGAGTGGAGGTGGAGGTGGTCGTGGTTGTGGTGGTGTTTGACTGTCTAGGAAGAGAATGGAAGGAGAAGAATGATGAAATAGACTTGCTGGCGCTGTTGTGGTTCATCTATTGCGGCAGCTGCAGTAACAGCAGTCGTCGTCGTAGTGGTAGTGGTACTCGCAGTAGTCACAGCAGTCGATAGTAGTAGCAGTGGTGGCAGTAGTAGTAGTAGTAGTAGTAGTAGTAGTAGTAGTAGTAGTAGTAGTAGTAGTAGTAGTAGCACGAGTAGCAGGAGCAGCAGTAGTAGTCCGGAGTAGGAGCAGGAGGCGCAACAGGACAGGACAGCAGCAGCATTAGAGGTACGTCCCCAGACCTTCTAAAATCCCTATACTAAGGAATAGACATTTAATGAGACTCTATGATTTACTGCATCTTCCTTGATAATCAAGGGAGTTTTGGAAGGTCTGGCTAGCAGGCACAGCCCTACCAGGCGCCTGCCGCACGGCCACAGTGCCCTCCTCCTCTGCCTGAAGACAGTTTCAGGTGCAGTGATTCTGCCAAGGCCGCATGCACTTGCGGGGTAAGGGAAGGAAAGGGACTTTTGGCTGATGTTTGTTCGTTGCCTTCGCGGGGAAACTCGTCATCGCTACGGCCTGCGAGGATTAACTGTGTGTCTTAAGGTGCTGTAAGCTCCGAAGGCTTTTTTCGGCAGGGCACGCCTTAACCGTAAAAACACAAGCTCATGCACACCCTTTGGGGTGTCGATCTTTGACTGCCATGCATCTTGTAGTTTTGCCTCAAGGAATGCATGCTTCCTTGGCCGACGTAGCCGTGTATTCCACTGCAATGAATCATGGGGACCCTTACAAGGATGGGGGGGACTCTACTTCCTTAAACAGGCCTTATTAAGTCCGTCTTATAGGTATTAAGGCCCCCTACTCCCTCCCCCGTACCCCCCTAAAAGGGTGCCCATGAATGAAACCTACAGGGTTGAATATTTTTTGCAACCTTTCGATGGCACCTCTCGATTTGCCCAACGGCCGCAAGAGTCAATTTAGGGTTTAGTGTTTAGGGTATAGTATTCCCAACCCCAAGACCCTAAACGCCGTGTAGTAGAAGCCAAAAAATTGAACATCATTACCCTGTTGCCCTTCAGATGTGGTATGGAGAATCCCAGCACGAGTCATCCTTCCAATTCGTTTGGGTGTTATGAGAAACCAAAGAGCCTGACGACCCCCCTCACCCTTAACACCTGGCTTCTCGAGGAACTATAGGAAGATGCAGAAATCACCATAAGGAACTCCGAAAACGCAGGTTTTCCGGCTCTGCTAAGAACTAAACCCTGAACCCTAAGCCTGCATGCCAGAAGCCCTGAATCCAAAACTCCTTAAAGCCTTTCCCCTGAACCCTAAAAGCCCCTGAAAAAACCCAAAGCCTTTACGACCTAATTTGATACCCAAAACCCTTACGCCCTATAAACTTTCAACCCGATACGGCCTAATCTCCTAACCTAAGAACCCCAAGCCCTAAAGCCCTGGGCCTTTAAGCCATTCAGACCTAATTTTAATCCCCAAAACCCCTTTAAAACCTACAGCCTTTAAGCCGCTCTAAGCCCTTAACTCTGTAAAGCCCTAACTTACTCCCCCAAACCCCTTTAAAACCTACAGCCTTTAAGCCGCTCTAAGCCCTTAACTCTGTAAAGCCCTAACTTACTCCCCCAAACCCCTTTAAAACCTAAAGCCTAACACTTTAAGCCCTAATCCCCAATCCCCGAACCCTAAACCCTAAACCCCTAATCCCCCAAACCCCAAACCCCTAAACCCCAAAACCCCAAAACCCCAAAACCCTTAAACAGCTAAACCCCAAGACCCCTAAACCCCAAAACCCCAAATCCCCCAAAACCCCTAAACCCTAAACCCCTAAACCTCTAAACCCTAAACCCAAAAAACTCTTAACCCCTAAACCCTAAACCCCTAAACCCCTAAACCCCTAAAACCTACTCCGGGCAAGCCATGTTCGCCTTGACGGCCGCCGCCTGCGCCTTTCGGATCTCCTGCAAAACACGAGCTCCGAGGGTTTAGGGCTTAGGGTTTAGGGGCTTTTAGGGTTTAGAGTTTAGGGGTTTAGGGTTTGGGATTATGGGGTTTAGGGGTTTAGGGGTTTAGGGTTTGGAATTATGGGGTTTAGGGGTTTAGGGGTTTAGGGGTGGCAGGGATGAGGGTTCAGGGTTTAGGGTGTAGCATTTAGGGTTTTAGGATATTGGGATATATTGGGATTAGGGTTCAGGGCTTAGGGTTTCGGGTTTTGCATTCAGGGTTTAGGCTTTAGGATCTCGGGTTCAGAGTTTGGGATTTGTGCTTCAAGCGTTTAAGGTTTGCGGCAAACCAGGGAAGCTTGAGAACTGAGGGATGTTGTACAGGTGTAGAGAGTCTACTTGGGTTTCAAGACATTGGCTCTAAACGAAGTGTAGAAGCGTCTGGCAAGACTTTTGGGGAGGCTGATGGCCTGTGGCACTGGAAAGGTGCTTTTCCTGAAGCCTACATTTTTAGGGCTCCTTGTAGCAATTTGCTCAAGTATATCCTTAACTTTGGAAGATGTTGTTGTGTGGTGTGTCTTGTGGAGTAATTAGAATTGACAACTGTTCAGGCTTTCATGATCAAAACTAAAAAAACTGTGGGTGAACCTTGCAACCCGCAGGAGCGACACTTGAGGTGTCTAGGTGAGGCTTTTGGGCTTGGGGATACTTGGAGGGTCGGGGGACTTCGTAAGTAGGTAGTAAGTAGACTTAAGTACCCTAAAAGTGACTCTAATTGGGGTTATGGTACTTATAAGTCCCTAAAATAACCAGTTACTAAGTCCCCTGACCCTCCAAGTACGCCCTACACCCTCCTCCCGCGACAGAGACGACAGCTTTGCGTCGTCGGCAAGGTCGGCAACAGCCTCTCCCACCTGATCAAGGAGAACCCAGACATTCCAATATCCCTCAATACCCTAATTATGCTAAAATTCTCTGTCTGAATTGAAGCTCTGTTCCTTAATTAAGGGATTTTGGAAGGTCTGGAGCAGTTTGCAGGTCAGGACCGCCCCTGTCCCGTGGCTGGGCTTCTTTTGGCTGCGCAGGCTGAGGGAACAGCTTGCTACACTTGCCAGAGTCTCAGCCTTGACGATATTAGATGAGGTCGAGTATACTCTGTATCATCTTCGGGCTGTGTGTAGTACGTTTATCAGCCTAAGCAACTGAGATGGGGTCTGGGTAGTTTCTCGGTGGCCAGGGCGGAAGAAGGAAAGATACTACTCCTCCGTTGCAGCACGTTTCCGGGCTCCCGGGTAAAGCCCTCAAATATGTGTGCACATCCTAAACCCAATGCCCTGCCTGCGTTGCAAGCTCTTCAGCCCTCTTCGAAAGGCGTTGCGCCTCCTGGCATTGTTTCGGACGTCATCCCGGCTTAGCTTACTGGTCCAGTTCCACAGAAAGGGGTTGCCCTAAACCCTAAACCCCTCAACCCTAAAGCCTAGGAGTGCATGACAAGCTCATAGTCGAAGCTTCTCAGTAGCCCGCTGAGAGAAGCATACCTAATTTTCTGAGGATAACCGGATAGCTTCTTGTTGACAGGTACGGCAAGGAGGAGAGTTCAGTCGGAAGCTCTCCAGGAGCACTCAAGTGGCACGTTGGCTATGTTCACAATCAAAGGGGAAAAGGAGAGACCCTTAATGGGGACCCCTAGTCTATGATGGGCTATATAATGGGTATACAACAGCTATATCAAGGGTATATACCCAGGGGTCCTTGCTAAGGGTCCCTCCTTTTACCCTTGGAAACAAGAACCCCGAAAAAACACAATCAGTAAGCATGGAGACCACTCCCACCCGGAGCAGCCTAACATGGGCCTGCGTAGGCGCAGCCTAGGGCTTCATACATACAGGTGCATTCAGCAACTAGGTTGAGGTTTTGGTAGCAGCTGTGGGGAACTTCTATGAGGACTATTTGGGGAAGGAGTTTCGAGCATCTTAGACCCTTTAAGTCTAAGTCCGAATTTTTTCGGCGCCTAAATTGAGGGAGCTGATGAGGGCACCTCCGCTTCGATCTTTCCCCAGCCCTCACAATTGACACATCCGAAAGCCTGCTCATGCAACACCTAAACCTGGAAGCCAAGTACTGTAATGTAGGGGTCTTAACGGTTAGAATAGGGTTTTGGGGTATGGTATACTATATTTATAATATGTATAATCAGGAACCGCACGCAATAGCATAGGCAGTATAGGTAAGTATTACGGCCCCTATATGAGATCTCGAAACTCTCAACCCCTCAACCAAAACCCGACTCAGCGGCTCAAAGAACCCTCATAGGAGCCTTTCCAACCCAGCATAAGCCGGTTCCGAACTCTTACACAAAGCTGTAGCAGTCTCTATAGAAACCTTATAGAACCGCTACGAGACCTCGATGCAACTGTACAGAACCCTGATACAGACTCTGTAACTCTTCAAAACCTGTCCAGAGCCCCTCCTAACACCCATCTCAAACTCGTTACGCATGACAAACTCTTAGGAAAACGGAATCAATACCCAGTTCAACAACTTTGTGCCCTGAGCCCAAAACCCTACAGCCCTCTCAACTCCTAACACCCAAACCCCTAAATCGCTAAACCCTCTCTGAACCCTATAGACAATCCGGAGCTCAGATTTGCCTTGGTGTAAGCCAACTTCTTCTGCTCGGCCGCCTTTGACTTCACCTCCGCTAAGCGCTTCGTCATCTCCTGATTACCACACCCAAAGGGTCCAAGTATCGTTATGCTATGCACTTATAGGGTATTTGGGGGTTCTAAGTATATGCCATAATGGCACTTGGACTCTTTGGGACAGCTTTCGGGTGGAGAACGGGGTTTAAGCGTTTTGATTTAGAGGTTTGGGGTTTAGGGTATTGGGGTTAGGAGTTAAGGGCAGCAGGGTTTTAAGGCAGTAGGGGTTTAGGGCTTTAGGGGTTTTGGGTATAAGGGTCTAGGCTTCGACTGAATATCTCCTAGGGTTCCAGGGCTTGAGGGGTTAACGGTATGGGGGGTGTAAGTTTTACAGATTTGTGAAAAAGGGGAGTAGAAGATGGGGAATCGCTGCGAGGGTCAAGATTAGATTTTAGACTGACAGGCTACGGGCCTTGGAACTTGGGATTGTGGTTTAGAGTTCTGGGCTTGGGAGTTGGAGTTTTTGTTGTGATGCAGAGGAGTCACGTTGTAGGAACTATAGCACTAAATGCAAGATAAGACCTCCACTAGGATTCAGCAGCTAGCAGACAGTAAAGAACAATAAAGATAGACCTCCCCGAAATGAATGCTGAAGAACACGGGCTTGTTAAGGAGATGAAAGTCTCCATTATGGAGTGCTGCGGGTGGCAAATCGATTCGGGCTTAAGACTTCGCGATGTTACATGTTAGGGGTATAGTGTAACAGAGTATATAGTATGGAATATACTGGGCTATCAAAACTCACAGCGCGCGTTTCTATCATAACCGCAAACTCCCTAGAACAACCAACACCCCGAAATTCAAATGGAACCCACTTATTCTACTAGCCCTCGTAATGCAACACCTCTCTCTCCTCCAGCTGGATCTGGAACTGCTTGATTTTGGCCTGCCCCTCCGCTGCAAGGAGCGGCGAGAAGTTGTTCACCTTCGAAGAGGTGTCGGTTTTGGGTTAGGGTTCAGGGTTTAGGGTGGGTTTTAGTTTCGGGTTTAGGGTGTAGGGTCGGTTTTAGTTTAGGGTTTAGGGTGCAGTGCAGGGTTCCGGGCCCCTAAGCCCTAAACCATCCTCAACCCCTAAACCCTGGTTCAGGTCTTTCTTGGCCTCTACATGCTTGAGCCTTGAGAATTAGAAAACTGTTCGAGCACCAAGTCCAGCTTACCGAGAAACTTCGTCCTCGTCTCCAATGAGTTTAATCCTGGCGAGGTGCGTGGAGTAGTAGCATTGTTTTAAAGGGGATGGACTTGGCGAACCAAGCTGCCTGTGAATAGTAGCTTAGGGTTTAGGGTATAGTGTAGTAGCAGCATCACCTCTGCGACTGCTGCGACTGATAAACAGTCGAACCCTAAACCTTTCTAATAATTTCTGTCGTCGTCGTCAGCTTGTTCTTGAAGACAACTCAACAGTTCTGCTGTCTGAGGGCCCGGTAACATAGGTTCTGCCTAGTAAGTAACATAGGGGCATCAATCACTAGAACAGGGTTCCATGAAAGACTTCCTCTTGAAAGGGGTCTCTACAGTTACTTCAATTCAATGGTTCTATATGGTTTGTATGACTTTGACAATTCGAACAAGGTTTTGATGGCATGCTATAGCACAAATGTAACAAGGAACTCTGAGCAGTATGTTTACTAGATATGCTGGTTGCTCCTTTAAAAGCCTATAAACCGCTTGTAGAAGTCCTTAGAAAACCCCATAAACCTCTTGTAGAACTCCCCAGAGAAACTCCTACAGTAACCCTAAGGAACAGCATTGCCAATGCGATCCGACGCACCTCGACACTCTTGACCATCAAGAAGATCTTGGCGACGGAGGCCTTGATAACGGGAGCTTGTTCTACAAGAGGGTGTTCTAGGATCACCAGTCGCCTAGGAATGAAGGGGCTCCCTTCTTAGTATTGGGTCGTTAAAGACCGACAAGTGGGCGTTTGAGAATCACCAGTAGCCTAGGAAAAAAATTGGCTGCCTGTTTGGTCTTGAGTAATTCTATTAACCCCTAAACCCTAAACCCACGAGGAACCCAAGATTGCAACACGGGAAAAGGGCCCAATGGGAGACCTGGTTTTACAAGTGAGAGTTCTGCAACAGGGTGACTTTAGAGTTCAGGGGCTAGCAGGGTTCAAAAAAAGTCTATTACCCTCCAATCGATACGACTGCTTCTTCGTGCCGAAGGCAGGTGGAAAATTCACCAATACGAGTTCTTCTACAAGGGATCCCTTAATCCTACCTACCTTCATCCCACCTTTTGAGGTCTCGGAATGCAAGGCGGTCGGAGGACGGGACATCGGATACAGCAAAGTGCTGTAGGTCTGAGAGCACTCCCAAAATCGAGAAAACAGAATACGTGGTTATACATTTGGGAAAACATACACGCTGAAGACCGGAGACAAATGTCTGTATGCCCCGAAAGGACAGAGTTCCAAAGAGCTGGTTAGACACGAAAAGTGCACACTCGAGTCTGCCATGTTGAACCAGCTAAAGCTCCTGTCACACCCTGCAAGTACAAAACGCATAAGTCCTAAACCAAACCGCGAAGCCCGTAGCATCGCGTAGCGATTGGGACCGAAACCTACACCAAAGCCGCAGGCCAACGAAAACACAACTAATTGACTGCAACTGGCAACATTTCTGACTCAAAGTGTCAACCCCGAAGCACAACGCAGAAGCATTCTTTTCGTGGCAAACAAGAATACTTCTCTGTCTTGCTATTGTGCAGCCAACTGGTATCCGGTATGAGAATCCCGAAAGCCCCAAAGGCCCCAACGCCCTAAAACCATGGGGCGGTTTAGGGTTTACGTAAGAAGGGGCCCCCACCCTGTAATAGTGACTATAAGGATTATATTAGGGCCGTAGTATATTCCTATTATAACACTATTACAGGGTGGGGGCAGCTTCTAAGGTTTACGTAGGGTTTAGGGCATCATGGGGGGCGGCGCACCGCAGTGCCGCAAGCCGTCACTGGGCCCTCAAGGACTCGAAGTGACTGCAGAGCCTGGCGCGAATCTGACTGGCGGAAGTCTCACACTCCTAATATAGGTCTTACGAGGGATCTACAAGGGTTACTATAAGGAGTCTTTAGTAGGGTTGTAGAATACAGGAGCCGTTATAATAATTAGAATACCCCAAACTCAAAAACTGGACACTACTCGACGACTTCGCAGCCCGACAGCAATAGTGACGTTGAGAAGGAACCAATCCTGAAACCCCTAACACCATCCTGACATGAACGCATATAAGCCTGAACACTACAATACCACCCTCAAAGGTACCCCTATGGAAATCCTATGATAATTCCCTTGAAGGAGCCCCTACTGGGCGACATGGTCTTCGAATAGGGGACCCTGGAATCGTATCCTAAATAGTAGGATCCTTATTATAAGGACTCCAAAATTAGGTACCCCTAATTTCGACAACCCTAAACCCCTATTGATCCCTTTAAGGGAACCCTTATAGTACCCTTATGGTAACCCTTTTCAATGAATCCTTAAGGTACCCCCAATTTTCAAAAACTCCCCGTATCCAGCAACGGAAAAAAGGCTCGGCCTTGCCAGCTGGGAGCTCCTTGTGAGTGGGTTTAGGGCTTGGGGTTTGGGGTTTAAGGTTTAGGGATGTTTAGGGTTTGGGGTTTAGGGTTCGGGGTTTAGGGATGTCCAGGGTTTAAGAAATTTTAGGGGTTAGGGTGTCGGGTTGATGTTCGGGGTTTAGGGTTTAGGGACGTAACTTACCGGTGACGGGGGGATTCACCGGTTTCGGGTTCAGGTGTCGTGGCTCCCAGATGTTTGGTGCTGTGCTTGAGCCTGGACGTCGGTAGCCGGAGGGTGAAGTCCAGCCAATCTCTGCCCTAAGAGCCTATAAGCCCTGGATCCCTAGATGTGCGTCTATGCCATGTACACAGTCACAGCTGCCGAGGCTTTCTGGTTCCCGTCATGTAGGACTCACACCAAATACTGGTTAGGGAATATGCTGATTACTCCCTACCAACACAGAGCGAGCGCTGTATGAATGCTTTCAATGAAACCTCCTAAAACCCTAAACCCTCAGCACTCCAACTCCAAGAACCCGACCCTCAAACCTAACCCTAGACCGCTACCTCAGCCCCAAACCCTAAACCGCATAAACCTCACAACCCTAAACACTAATACCGCTTTCTACAGATCTCATGCATGGCTAAGAAACCCTAGAACGCCTAGAAAGCCTAAACCCAACAACCCTAAACCCAGAACCCCTCAAACCTTAAGCCCCTAAACTGCCCTAAATTTCCATCCCGAAACCCTAGACCCCTTAATCCCTAAGCCCCCACATTGCCCTAGATTTTTATATCCCTCAACCCCAAATCCAACGATCCGCGTGTCCTCCTCGCTGTTAAGGGGCGCCTGGAGGTCTTGAACCTCTCCAGTTGGTACGGTTAGACGTTTAGGGTTTAGGGTTTATTAAAGGGGTTTAAAGGGTATTAGGGTTCGGAGTTAAGGTTTAGGGTTTAGGGGGGTTTAGGGGTGTTTACTTGGAGGGTCGGGGGACTTAGTAAGTAGGTAGTAAGTAGACTTATAAGTACCCTAAAAGGGACCCTGATTGGGGTTATGGTACTTATAAGTCCCTAAAATAACCAGTTACTAAGTCCCCCGACCCTCCAAGTAGGGTTTAGGGGGCTAGGCAGCTTGTTCCCCAGACCCCCGGGAGTATCCAAAAAGTAGATCCCTTTTTGTGGGGGTTCCTATAAGGGTTCCTTTAAGGGGCCCTTTAAGGGATCTGTAGGGTTTTAGCCTTAGTAGTATAGGGCTCCAAATGAGGGGATCTACTTTCTAGATCCTCCCGGGGGTCTGGGTCCAGTTGGTACGTTTAGAAGCTTAGGGTTCAGGGTTTAAGGGGTTTAAGGGATATTAGGGTTTAGGGTTTAGGGGTGTTTAGGGTTTAAGGTTTAAGGGTTTATATAAGGGGTATGAGGGTTTAGGATTTAAGGTTTAGGGTTTAGGGGGGTTTGGGGTTTAGGGGGGTCAGGGTTTAGGGTCTAGGGGGGTTCAGGGTTAAGGATTTTAGAACTTTACCCTCAGGGTCCATGTACCCATCTATAGGGTTTCTTCAAGGGTTTCTTTGAAGCAAACAACAAGGGTTCTATAGGGTTTAAAGTATCAGGGTTCATGTACCCATGCAGTATATACTTGGGCCGTAACATACCTAATTTGAATGGGGACTACATGAAGGCCAATGTAAGTAGTCTAGGAGTGCAGGGACCCTTAGCGCTAGGGTTGACTTAGACCCTACCTTGAACTGGGGTGGGGGTCAAGGGTTTGGGGTCTCGGGTTTTCTTTTTGTTGTTTAGGGTTTTGGATTTCGTGTTTAGGGTTTCGGTTAAGCTAGACTAGACCCTATGTTCCCAGTCCTTCCAATATCCTTTTACTGAGGAATATACGAGAAATGATGGTAGGAATCCTGATATGAATTGAAGGAGATTTGCATTGTCTGGGTTCTAAACTTCTATAGTTATGACGATCGTGACAATGCAACACACCAATCGCCGCCAAATTCACAATCACTGTCGCAGGGTCATCCTAAACATCATCTTCGTCACTGTCATGAGGGGCAAGCACCCTTTTTCAGAGTCCCGAATGGAACCCCAAACCCTAAACCCTAAACACAGTCAGAAAGCAGCTGGGACGGTGCCGGCGCTAGCATCAGTCAAGAAACGAAACATCGTTCGTCATGCAAACCCTAAGGCCCGACAGGTCCATGTACTCCTATAGTACATACATAGGTCTCATTGTACTAATCAATATCGACCGAAAACGGCAGTAATGAAGGTAGAACCCACAACGACGGCCTGGCAAACACTAGCAACAACTGGCAGTGTGGTTTTGATAGCTGCGATCCTGCTGGCTACAGAACCGGTATCATGGACGCGAAAATCGCTGGGTCACCTGACGCATCCCGGAAGGCCTTCTAGCCCTGGCAAGCTCTCCTGGTCCTCCGCTGGCTCGCCCAGCAGCGCTAGCTCTTCTGCATCATCGAAACGGGTGTCATCATTCACAAGGTCCTGAAACACCCTCGGCAAAGGGGGCAATGGCATAGACCCTTCCTCCTCCATCAGATCGGAGATCCGGTGCTGCATCATGGCGCTCTCAGATGCTTTCTGCTACAACAGGCACTGGAAGCATACCAGTGATGCGAGAGCTTCAGAAGGGCCCAAGCAAATGTTTGGGCCAGAATCTCTCCCTCTCTCTCTCTCTCGCTCTCTCTCTCTGTCTATTTCTCTCTGTCTCTCCTGTCATCTTCCTCGTCATCACGGTCATAGGCAGCGTCGTCATCGTCGACGTAGCTGATCAAAACAGACACAAGCAGTGGCAACAGAGGCAGCGGCACCATCGGTGTTCCAGGAGTCAGAAATACCTACTTGCAACAACTGCGGCAGAACAAAATGAACAAACATGTCCCAAAACACCTTATACTCCCTGTAATACCCTAAACCCCAACCCCTATACCCTAAACCCTGATCTACATACCCTAATTAAACCCTAGTCCCCAAACCGAAACCCCGGGCCTTGACTCTTATGGTCCCCCTTGAAACAATCCGTGAAGGACTCCCGAAGCAATTAACCCTGCCGAAAAAGAACCCTCAAACCCTGAACTCTAAAACCCCGTAACCCCGAACAACGAAACCCTACCTTAGCCCTGAAGAACCTACCTTTTTAAGGACCTATATAAGGAAGTCATAATAGGGAACCCTAAAAAGGTAGGTTGTTCAGGGCTAAGGTATAGTTTAGGGCTTACCGGTTTGGTGTCGTACTATGAATGAAACCTTATAGGGTGCTTGTCAAAATTATGGTCCCTTTTCGGGTCCCCGTTATAATATGGCACCTATTATTTAGGGTACCTAAACAGGGACCCTAATTTTGACATCTACCTACAGTGGAAGCCCAAAAGTTGGAAACCCAATAGCCTCGATCCTTCAAAGCAATTTATAGGGAATCCCAGCACTATTTGGCCTTAATCCGGTTTCCAACTTTATGGGTTTACTGTAAACCCCTAAACCCCTAAACCCTAAACCCCCAAACCCTGAACCCCCAAACCCTAAACCCCCAAACCCTAAACCCTAAACCCTTAAACCCCTAAACCCCTAAACCCTAAAGCCCTAAACCCTAAAGCCCTAAACCCTATACCCTTGTGCCTGCCTTCTGAAGGGCCTCTGTCAGGGCATGAAGGCGCTGATCGGCATCCTTGGCCAGGGCCTTGAATGCAGTTGTTGAGGGTTTAGGGGCTCCTTTAAGGGTTCCTCTAAGGGTTATACTATAGGGATTATACTATAGGGATTATACTATAGGGATTATACTGTTGTGCGAGTTATACTATAAGGGTTTAGGGCTCTTTTTAGACTGGTCTGGTTCTTGGTAGGGGATGGGACGTGGATTATGGACACTGTTATGGGGATTATATAGGGACTACTATAGGGATCCATTCCATTCCCTACTAAGCACCAAGGAGTTGTTGAGGGTTTAGGGTGTCGGGTTTGGGGTTTAGGGTGTAGGAGTTTAGGGTTTAGGGCTTTAGGGTTTGGGGATTAGGGTGAAGGAGTTTAAGGGTTAGGGCTTTAGGGTTCAGGGGCTTAGAGGTTTTTGGGGTGTGTTAGGACTTATCGTTGAATGCAGTTCTCCTAGAGGATCCATATATGCTGCCATTGCTCCAGCTCGAGGATACACAGTTCTGACGAGTGTCTGGTATCGAACAGCTGACAAGGGCGGTTTGTGTACATGCTGATTGATGAAGGGTTTGTCTAGAGTGTTGCTTAAAGCATGCGTTCAGGTAGCTTCAACAAACAATTCAACCAAAAAACAACCAAACGAAAAACAAACAAACCAACAAACAAACAAGGGACTCTACTATAGAACCCTCGAGGTCTCTCATCAAATCATGGCGGTGACGAACCTAATTAAGGTACCCTGAACTCCAGACCCTACACTCCGCATCGCCGACCAAAGCCCACGACTCTAAAGGTAGCTTGCTACTGCAGGCATGAAGTGGGACAGGCCGAAGCTCAAGTCGATCCTGTACCACTTCAGGACGGCAGACTGGTTTCGGCAAGAAGCAGCCGGTCACAGGTACCAAGTGAAGCAAACGACAGGCCCAGTCATCGTCAGGCTGCTGGTGCAAGTGGCTGATATAGCCTTCGAGCCAGCCACCATGGGCATAGTACCCGACATGCTGGTACCTGCTGTTCGCAGACATGGGCGACAAAACCGCGGCAAAACCCCGCCCCAGTACCCAACGACTCCAGGTTCCACTCATTAAGGGGTATTGTCCAATGAACATCAGCAGCCCTGTGATGGCAAACGCGCTCGGATTTTGTCCCACGTCCAGCTCAGACCTTCTCGGGTAGCAATCATGGTCACCGACAAATGTGGCCTTTCTCAACGTAGTTGAAGATAGCCATCTCAACTCGCGATGTGTAAATGAGAACGGTTAAGAGTTTAGACGGCTAATTGGAAGAGTTTCAAAAGTATACGTTCGTGCACCCAGGTCCAGCTGCTTCAAACACACTGTGGACAAGGACGAGGCAACCACGCAATGGAATTCATCAGTTACGATATCCTTATACAGGTCCTCAAAAGGTTATGCGGGGTCCAGGTAAATCTTTAGCCATGAACTCCTACACACCAAGGCCTGGATTCGCCCCTGAGTCTATAGGGCATCAGAGGACACGATAAAGCTAGTTGGGATACAGGATCCCTGACACAATTGCAGGAGCACCAGAAGCGGATACTACTTCTACTGGTACAACAGCAACAACAATAACTACTTCCCATTAGGGCCCAAAAAAAGCACATAAGCAAACATTAGGATAGGGATATCCCATATAAACCCCCTTATAATGAAGCCCAATAAGGTAGGGATATCCCCATAAAATGCTTATGCTTATGTGCTTTTTGGGTCCCTAACCCATACCTCTACTACCACTTCTTCTTATTCAGACCTCTAAGCCCTCAATCCTAAACCGTACACCCTAAAGCGTATCGGCTTCATCCCACCTGTGGAGGCCCTCTGAAAATCTCGCCTTGAGAGCTAATCTTTCTCCACTCTGGCGCTTCGTATCCTGGCCCGAACTTCGAAGAGCAGGGGAAACTCCCAAACTGCACGGCTTATAGAACTTAGGGCTTTAATCTTGAGGAAGGTAGCTTAAGTTGCAGCGGGATCCTTCTTACGATGTTGGGTGGCTTAGTTTGCATTTTTTGGTGTTTGGGTTGAGAGCAAGAGGATTTCGGATCTCGGGTTCTGGGGTTTGGGATCCTAGGATTGCGCATCGTTGGGCTTTAGCATACAGGGTCGTACGGTTGATGATATAGATCCGGCATTACCATAATGACCCTAAACTATGGGAATTATGGTATATTCCTTATTGTGGGTCATGCAGGATTTATATCATCAACGGTAGGATTGCGCATCGTTGGGTTTTAGCAGACAGGGTCGTAGGATTCAAGATCTGTGGGATTTGGGGTTTCAGTGTGTTCTGGGGGCTGGGTTGTCTGGATTGAGACTGCCGGTTCGCGACTGCGGGTTGACCCGGAGAGTGCGAGTAGCTAGAAGCCAAGTGTGGCGCCATTGCTAGGATAATGTAGTGGTTAACAAAAAGGAGGAAGTGCAATGGAGACAAAGGTAAATCCTAACCCTAAGCGGGGCGAATGCTGGCTCGTAGGCAGAATATCCACATGAAAGGTCCGTTCAAAGAGTTGCCCAAACTTCGAGGCATTGATGCAGAGACCTTAATGGCAAGACTAGGGTTTTGGGCTATACTCTACCCTACTTGGAAGGGCAGGGGACTTAGTAAGTAGGTTATAAGTAGAGTTATAAGTACCCTAAATGGAGTTACCCCAATTATAACCCTACTTAAAACCTACTTACTAAGTTCCCTGCCCTTCCAAGTACTGGTATAAACATGCTGCGGAGCCCTGAGCCCTACAGACGAGCGTGGGCGATGATTGCGGGATCGCCCTGGATGCCCTGCTTGGAAGGGCAGGGGACGTAGTAAGTAGGTTATAAGTAGGGTTATAATTGGGATGACTTCATTTGGGGTACTTAGAACTCTACTTATAACCTACTTACTAAGTCCCCTGCCCTTCCAAGTGCTACAAGTCTCTGATACATCGAGTCACCGACATACGGTTGAAACTGCGCAGAGCCTCTAGCTACAAGTAGCACCAACTTCCAAATGACCCCCTGGCGCTCGGAAAATACTGCAGCCAGCATGAAAACATCAATTTTTTTTCAAATTTCAATTTTTTCTAAATTAAAATTTTAACACATCGAACTGTCTGATTGGTTCAGCCAAACGAAACTGACCTCTACATATTAAAAAACACTACGGGACTATGCAAATCCTAAACCGTGCCTGCCTGAAGCGCTTTCAGTTTGACGTCGAAATCAGCAATGCGTTCTTCCGGCGAGGCAAGCTCCTGGTAACCCTAAACCCTAAACCCTAAATCCTAAACCCTAAACCCTGGATAGGGTTGACAGGAGTCTTAGGGGCTAGGACGTGTTGGGTTTAAGGCTTGGGGCACACACGTTTTAGGATGCATCCGAAATCTCTGATTCCAAACCGTAACCTTCCAACTACAGCGACAGTCGTACTTAATACTAGTACTAGCTGGTGCTTAAGAAAGCACTTAAGGAAGAAAGCGAGGGCTCAAATCTTAGGACCATGCTGTATCCGCTTACGGATCTTTAATGCTTAGTCTCACTTGCACGTCCAGGCCCCTTCTTGTTGAGCTTATGGCTTACCCTAAGGCTCCATAGTGGTTCCTTTTTGGGGCTCATATTTAGAATCCTGTAAGGTAATCCCAAAAAGGAACTACTATGGAGCCTCTGGGTATGGGTGCAAAATATAGCAGCCAGCCTACCCATAACGCCACACGTGAAGACGCAAGAAAGCCAAAGTACCCTACCATGCACATACATCCTAAACGAAGCATTATCATGCAGTCTAGCTACTTTCACTCAGGCACTCGTTGTTTTGCTTTGTCTCACCTGCCGCGGCTCGTAACCCAGAGCTACTTGTCCATAATATGACAACAAAACAGAATATAATCTAAATACTTTGATATAGTGGAACTTCGGGAACTACAGTTTAATCTTCGGGCTTATACAGTCGAGATAGAGTACCCACAAAAAGTAAAGCTTACCTATGGTCCACGGCTAAGCTGACGAAAGGCTTGTGCATCGACTCTTTCATTTCGATTCAGAGCCAGCTGCGGAAGTGCAGCCCTGTACACTGGAGCTTATATGTGAAGCATGACGCCTTCCTCGCACGACGGCGAGGCTTGAAGCCCTTCAAACCGAGCCACGGTTCGAGTGGTGTACAGGCACAGTCTGTAGAGGTGCCACCAAGATTTTACTGTAGACAGGGCCAGTCGTCCGACCCTAAACCCCTAACCCCCTATACCCCTAAACTCTAAACCCCTAAACCCCTAAAAAGAGCCCTAAACCCCTAAACATCAAAATGGATTCAGCACCCGTAAAACCTAACCCCTAAACCCCTTAATCCCCTGAACCCCCAAAAAGCCCTTAACCCCTCAACGTCAAAATGGAATGAGGACCTTCAGTTTCCTTATATCCCATGTGAAACTCATAACCCAAGGATAACCTCTACTGGGTTCAGGGTTTAGGGGTTTAGAGTTTATGGGTTTAGGGGTTTAGGAGTTTAGGCCTTAGTATAACCTACCTGGAACTACCAAAACCAACTCTTTCATAGAGTCCCTACAGACAAGTAGGTTCTGGAAATTAAAGTAGGTACCTTCCGGTTCCTGATTTAGTTAAGGGTTTCGGGGGTTTAGGCCCTACTATATGGGTAGTTGTCAAAATTATGGTCAGTTTTTGAGTCCCTATTATGATACGGCACCTATTATTTAGGGTACCCAAAAAGGGACCATAATTTTTGACAACTACCCATATAACTTAAGGAAGGATATTCCTTTTCAGGGATTTTGGACTCTCCGGGGTCCGTGGGGGGGCTTCGGGGCTTTTGGCTTTAGGGAGTTTAGGGTTGAAGGATGCTTCGGGTTCAGGGTTTCTTTTTGGGAGCTTGGGGCTTCTAGGTTTCGGGTTTCTTTGAGGGTTTTGGGCTTGGGGCATCGAGCTTGGGGCTTCTAGGGTTTAGGGTTGATAGAGATTGACGTTTAGTGCGTGGGCTTATTTCGGCGGGGTATGGTTTGGAGGGTTTGGTGTTGTGCAAAGGCTGCCTCAGGGCTTATGAACGAATCGGCCAGCTGCAGTAGGACGGTGTCTGCCAATAGCTTGTTCATCACCATATGGATGCTACCATGATTTAAGGGTCATTCCTTCTTTAAAGGATATTGGAGTCTCTGGGCAGGGCCCCTGCCCTAAACCCTAAACCCCCTCAACCCCTAGCACCTTGGCCACGGCGGCGAGGACCAATCCGCCAGGCTGCTTTTTCCTCATTCAGTCTAAAGGGGATTTTAGGATTCGGGGTTCTAGGATTTACCTATAGTCTGCCGTAGTTGCAACCGAATTTGATAGTACAGTCTCCAGTGTAATTCTTTTCTGGGTAAACAAACTTTCAGTATAGGATCCGAACCATGAACTTGGCTCAACAAAACAAGGAACTACAGCGGAGACTGTAGGCAGGGCTTGCTTTTGGGTGGATTTCGACTTCTTTGGTTTTGAAATCGGCTTTGTCGTGTTTGTGGTTCAAAACCCTCTAGACCATACAGCAAAATTTCTGAAACTGTTGAGGCTTTGACGGCGATTAGTTGCAAATCCCCTTTATAGCCGTCATATCACTAGACCTTAGCATGGCCCAAAACAAAATATTCTAGCCATTGCAGTATACAAAGATATGCTAAGAGTCTAAGTATGAGTCGCTTTTGGGTTGGGCGATACGCAGGATATCTATCGCCACGGGAATGACCAGCCCTGCAGCAAACTGATTACTAAGTCCCCCGGTGCTGTCAGGCCGGGATGTGCTCCTTCGAATTGGGGCGGAAAAGGTTCCGACGCACCGTTTCGCCTGCACCACTTCCACGGTCAAGGTGGCGCGGCCTTGTCTGGTCATTGTCGCCGTCTCGGCTTTTCTTTTCCTGGTCCTCCGTCCCGTCGCTTGAGTTCTCTGAGCCCAAACCATGTTGGCAGATAGCAGTCAAGGCACCAGCAAAGGTGCTGTGTAGACCTTTCACATATTTCGGTTCTTCCTTTGAGCGTTTTCGTGCCCCAAAAACGTCACTGACTCCGGATCCAGAAAAGTGTCTGCAGGACCTTCTCTGCATAGGGACGAAGTCTGGTCATGCACTCTGTGCATCCTGTGCCGCCAAGACGGCATCAAGACACTCGTTCTCCTGCGCATACCTTGCGGGATTGCTAGAAGATGAAACCATGGCTTTGCTTAAAGCAAGGAAGGGGTCAAAGAATACATGCGCTGCATGACCAGAAGTGTCGCTGAATACATTGCGTAGATGAAAGCGTGTCAGGCGTGCCATTCGTCCGATGCAGATGACAACGAGTGAAGCCACCACCCATACACTCTAGGAGTACTTAAACAAATTATCATGAATGTCAAAATGCGTGGACAGTGATTAAAAACAACAGTAAGACACGACAACACCTAACAGTCCAAACCCTCGGACCCCCCTTCTCTGCCAGTTTTTGGGGGCGCCCCCCTCCCCCGCCCTCACCACCGAGCGAAGCGCGTGATTATAAACAACCCGTGTGTATTCAGAGCCCTGGTGTTTCTAAACACGGCGAATTGAAGCTCAACAAGCAACTTCAACAAACCAACACACCATGACAGGAATCGTTGACAAGACGAGGGAACCTCAACAAATTCAACAGACGATTCGTGAACAAAAGGTCAACTTGAGCAAGTAAGCATCGCGCGCCCGATCGAAAGATGTACGAAAGTCCACAAGCTCTTTATGCACAAGTGCAGGCCCCGGGATCGACCCTTCTGAATGAAATCTTAATCTTGGCCCGGAACAAGCAGGCTACAAAAGCAGCTGAAGTCTCGGGTGTGATATTTTTTACATAGCAAGGGTCCAGGCGTAAGACTCTCTGGTCTAATGTGAGGCCTGTTATAGGTTTGGGGGGTATATTATACGATGGCCCCTACATTACGTTTGGCCTTTGTGCCATTTCGGAAGACTGCCGGCATAGATCCCCGGGTGTGTTTCGGGAGGCCCAGTTAAGACTCCTCCTCCAAATCCTAAACCTCTAAACCCCATAAACCCCTAATTCCTAAACCCCTAAACCCCTAAACCCTAAACCCTATAAACCCTAAACCCTAACTCCTAAGCCTATATAAGCCAACAAGTCCCTACCCAAAGCCTGAAAAAAGCCCCTTGATCCAGAAATAAGCCATGGATGATAGAGGAAGCCTTGTTGTGAACTTGGGACATTCTCTTAAATCGACGGTTTGGGAGGACCTGGGTATACTATCCTGCCGCGCCCCTAACACCCTAAGCCCAGAAACCCCTTCCAAATACCAGGAATCATTACTGGTGCATGGTTGGGATAGGATTAAAAATGCAAATGTCTATTCCTTATTGGGTTTAAGTACCCATAGAAATGTAAAATGTTACCCAATTCGATACTTCCAGACCCTGCAGCCTTCCACCCTTACTGTAACCAAAGCCCAAGCCTAAACCCCGAAACCCTGGCCCTAAACCCTACTTACTTCCCAGACCTTCCAATATCCCCTGAATAAGGAATGTTCTTTAAATTTTGGTAGGAACCTAGTATGGTTTAATGTACATTACCGAAATGAGGCATTTTGGAAGGTCTGGATTCTTCAAGCCATGGGTCGTCTGGCAAAGGCGCTTCAGGGCAGCCAGCTGGTCCTGAACCTTCGGGAGCTTTAGCTTTAGGGGTTTAGGGGTTTGTAGGATTAAGTGTAGGGTTTAGGGCTTAGGGCCGTATAGGGTTTAGTTTAGGGTTTAGGGCTTGATGGGGTTGAGGGGTTTATAGGGTTTAGGGAGTGTTTTGGCTTTTCGGGATTCTGCTTCAGGACCTTCAGGACCCAGAGAGCCCAATGCCCCTTTACTACGAAATACACCCCAAATGGCCAGGGACTTCAACATATGACTGGTGCAAGTTTACATGAGGTACAGTCTCTAATGAAGGCTCGTGTGTCTCTTTGGAGAATGTGAGAGCCACACTCACGGACAGGCTCACATTTTGGCTTAGGGCTTTAGGGTTTGAAGGTTTGCAACTTGCGGTTGACGGACCTTCGCCCTAAACCCTTAACCCCAAGTCCTAAACCTGCCTATAGTCTCCATTGTAGTTCCTTTTGGGGGTTACCTTTTAGGATCCTTAATATAAAACTGGTTAAACCAAAAAAAGGAACTACAATGGAGACTATAGGTGGCTTGATTTCGGTGAAGTGCGTTGCATTGGAACAAGCAGGCGAGAGGACACCAGGGGTTTCAGGTTCACTATATGGGGGTGTCCGAAAATAGGGTTTAGGGTTTAGGGTTTAGGGTTTAGGGCCTAAATAGTAGGATCCGCCCCAAAAGAAGGTACCCCTAATTTTCGGAAACTCCCATATGGCTTCAAATACTTCTCATGGCTCGGTTCAAAGCTTAAGGCCTACAATAGGGCCTGTGCATGCTGCCACGAAAAACTAATTTCTGAAGCCTGCACTTGTTGAACCCTAAACTTCAAGAGCCCCCTAAGCATGCAGCCCCTTCTTCACGAACTTGTTCCTAGCCTAACCCTAAACCCTGAACCGGTGCAGGCATACGCACATCCCGCCGCCAGCGCACTCACTCAAAGTGCAGGGCAAAGCACCCAAGGCCAGACTGTCTCACTTCTGGTCCATCCACATAGGACCTCATCCAGGTGCAGCATCTCGTGCTGCGCCAAGAGAGGATCCACACCCCAGCCCTCATGGATCAGGCACGCCTGAGATATTCCGAATGGTCCCGGACCACAAGGGATCGAGGCTGCCGGCACAGCACACACCAGCAGCAAAGACAGCGGCGTCATTGCATCAGTCAGTGCACTTTGGATGGTTCTGAAGATTCCTGGGAGGCAAAAGCCCTTAGTATGGATTGCCCTGGAAAAAAGCTGACCAAACCGAAGCTAAGAGTGCTTCACGACAGTTCAGCTCAATGAGGCTTTCACAACCGTCAGCCCAGCTCTACACCGCGAGGTTGAGCACGGTTTAAAGCTGAGGGCTTAGGGCTTAGGGTTTCGGGGTTTAGGGCGTAGGGTTTAGGGCGTGCCCCGGGTTTAGGGCACAAAGAAATCGACAACTACGTTGAACACATAACTGCACCCCTCAACTCCGATAACCCTCTACGCTCCTAAATTCCAAAACACTGAATTAGCCTACCAATCCATGAGGCCCAAAGTGCGAATTCGAGCTGAGAGTCCCTTTCGCGTTCCCGATTTCAGCCCTCTAACAGCTTTAGGGTTCTCAGATGAAATACCCGTAGGCTCCATTGTAGTTCCCTTTTGGTGTTCACATTTAGAATCCCATAAGGTAATCTCAAAAAGGAAATACGATGGAGCCTACGGGTAGTACTCCACTGTGCCTATGTAGATGATTGAAAGCCAGAGTTGAACCCTTGATACCAGTAACGCTACCCCTCAAACGAGAAAGACTTATAAGTCCAATGCTTGCCTGTGCCGTATATTACTGTATACGAGAGAGGGGCCTTAATATTTAGAAGGGTTGTGGGGCCCCTTATACAATACTTATAATAAGGAACCCCCAGAATAGAATTGGTAATCATTTAGGCCCCGACAATACCCGATTACACTCATCACTGAAGCTTAGCTCCTTACACCCCCATCTCCATCCAACGCTCTTTACCTGCACACCCGCACCTTCTGCAATGCTTGATCCGCTGCAGCCTGCTGTTCCTGCATGTGTGCTCACAACTACACAAGAACAGTTGCAGACGCTTGCTGCGAGGGGTTTCATGGCCAAGAAAACGATGGTCAATGCCCATGCTACATACTGACAATTTGACATGACTATTTAAGGTTACAAACATAGCCTCGTCTTCTGTGCAGTAGACACCCCTAAACCCAAAGCCCCTGAACCCCTGAACCTATAGACCCTAGACCTGGGAACCCTAATACCCAAACCACAAGGTTCAGCTTGGTTCAGAAGTCCACAACTGCTGTAAAGTTACATTCCAGGTGCCGATGACATTCCAAGACTGCTTCTTGGGGCGTTGGGGAGACTTTGTCCCACAACCTTCAACCCTTGCATACCTACTATAACAAAGGAACGCTATCTAGGCTGGTACGCCTCTTCGAACCAAGGGTTTGGGTTTAGTTAGGCTCCAGGTCCTGTCTGGTGAAAGATCAAGCAGAAGCCCAAACCTGCAAATGCACACCAGACCCCCAAATCGGAGTCTCGGGTTTAGGGTTTATAAGGCCCCTAGGTTCCTGAGTAGCCCCTGAATGATAAGGGTGCCCTTCTTCCTAGCACTGCTGCTTTAAGAAGGAGACACATACATAAAAAGGGCAAAAGGGTACTACCCGGGAACCTAGGCCCAAAGCCCAACCTCCAAACTCAATGTAAATCCCTAGATCCGAAAAACTGAAACTGAGAAACTCCTAAACTCAACCTACACCCTCCCCCCGAAGGCTCCTGTATGCCTTGAACCCGAAAGCCCATGAAACCGAGATGCCCGATAAACCCTGTAGATGCTAAATCCCCTACAAAACCCTTGTAATCCTCTGAGTCCTCATCCTTACTATTCCCTTGACTTCAGAACTATACCCTTTTGGAACCATAATAGTAACTTTTCGAAATTGATATCCTCTTGGGTTTTCTATGAACAAAAAATCCTTAGGAGACTATAGGAACCCCAGAACTCCAAAACCCAAAACTTAAAACCCTAAACTCTAAGATCCCGAATCCCAACAGAACCCTTTTATCATCCCGTTAAAACCCTTCTGGCACCCTTTAAAGGAATCCTTAAACAGAACCCCTGAGACCCTGAACCCCAGAACTCTATTCCCCCCAAACCCTTAGCCTGAATCAACCCCTGAACCCTAAACCCTGAATCCCAAAACTCAAAACCCTTTGACTCTAGGAATCCCAGAACTCTATTCCTCGGTGGCATCGCCGGAGCTGACGGGAACTGCCGCTTCCTCGGCGGCGGCGAAGTCCTTCCCAGAGGGGCTCAGCAAGGTTTCAAGATGCCTACGGGCTTACGTGGCCTGTGGCTTGGGTTTGGGGCTTGGGGTTTGGGGTTTGGGGTTTAGGGTGTACCTATAGTGTCCATTGCAGTTTCTTTTTTGGTTACAAGAAGTTACGGTTAAGGGTCCTATACCATAAATTTGGCTAACCACAATAGAGGAACTACTGTGTAAGGTCGAAGTCCGAACAGGAGCAGGTGGGGAAGGCCTTTCCCCAGTGAATAGCGGCAACCGCGGTGTTGTGACTCCCAAACAAAGTCATAACAAATCTTGCTTTCCCCAAGTAAACGCTGCGCTGGAGACATGTTTTTCATGTGCGGCTAATGTGCAAAACGCTGGCGGGAAGTCATAACAATCCGGTCTTCCCCCATGTAACCGCGCCTCCAAAACGAATTGAAAGTATAGGAACGAACGTCTGATGCTGTCATGTGCTATCTACGGTGATTTGGCTAGACATTCCACAACATACTGTCGTTTTACCTAAACCCTAAACCCTAAACCCTGAACCCTAAACCCTGAACCCTAAACCCGGCTAATATCGGGCTTAGAGCTCTCGGTTTCATATTATCGGCTTCAGGGTGGTAGTTTAAGGGTTTAGTGGCTTCGGGCTTTATCAAACGGTCTTCGGGTGTTAAGGCTTTCGGGCTTTAGTGAAGGCTCTGCCCATCCATACTCCTGCTTTGGATTTCTGGATTGCGGGTTTGCGCAAGTAGAAAGATTTAAATTTAAGACGGTTTCACGCTCCAGTGCGGGCGGGGTTGGGGGACAGCAAGCAAAAACCTCTGCACGGACAAAGCCCAATCGTGCCACGTCGTTTTCAGCCGTGCGCTCAGAGTGTCTCCCGTGGCTGCATCAGCTATGCTTGGCCTTCTTCTTCGGCACAAACTCTGTGGATCGATGTTTACGCCGGGCATCAAGACAGGCGGCACGCTTTGGCTTGGAGTCGAGAATCCCCGGGGTAAGCACCTCCATTTCGCCATGGGGCTTGTGGAGCATGGATGGCAAGTGCCAAAGCTGCACGCATTTGTATCTGCATCACGCCGTCATCTAAAGGCACTCCCCATGCTGTGCAGGCTTGCCGAAGATCCAGCCGAGAGAGGCAAAGGATTTCCGTTTCCGAAAAAGCTTTCTTTGGCGGCATAGCTCGCTGCTGTGTCCCAACCCATTGGCAAAAGGCTTTTGTACACCCCTAAAATCACTTCAAAGTGCGATGTTCGGTTTCCGTGCGAAGTTCGGCTTCTTGAGGTGTCATATGTAAGTTGGAGGTTCTGGAGCTGCATCTTTCGAAGCTTCGGGCTCATACCACAGGGTCAACAACACACAAGTTGGGTTGAAATTGCTTTCATTCATGCCTTTCTACCGGCACTGAGTCAAACTGAACAAAAGAGAACACAGGCTCATGTAGGCCGCCCCTTGGAACTGCACGATGTTATGACTTCCCCTTGCAGCTTCCCCGCAATGTCTGCCGCGATCCAAAAGAAAGTGTTCTGACTTCGACACTGGACAGCACAGTGGAGATTGTCGGTGAGGATGCTTAGGGTGTAGGTCTTGGTGTTTGGGGTATGAGGGCATGTATGCATTGGGGCGTGAGGGTTTATGCTATACAGTTTCGGGTTTAGGACAAAGCTCTCTCGCTTTTGTGGCACACGAGACATTCGGCAGCTCCAGAAACTGAGGCATTCTGACCAGTAAGAAGGTGACAACACTTTTTACAACTGCAGAACCAAAGCCCTACAAACCCCGAAAGTATCACAGGAAGCTTATGAAACTTCAACCCAAAGCCAAAACCCCAAGCCCTAAACCCCTTCGGAAATCAATATAATCCCTGCTGCCTATGTGACACCTAAACCCTAAACCCCTTATGAAACCTATAAGCCCCAAAACCTAAAGCCTAAACCCTAAACCCCAAACCCCTAAACCCTAAATCCCTAAAGCCCGAAACTCCAAAACCCTAAACCCCAAACACCAAAACCCCTAAACCCCAAAGCCCCTAAAGCCTGTAAGAGAAGCAAGGAGTCAGGGCCTCCTCGAGGGGAGCCATCTTCTCCTGTATCTCTTTGAGGGCCCTCGGCGACAGAAAGCTCGGCCGGGTCGGCTCTGGGGGAGATTTAAGGTTAAGGGTTTGGGTTTAGGGTTTAGGGCTCTGGGGGAGATTTAGCTTTTAAAGGGAACTGAAAAAAGTTGGAATATGGATTAATGGTAGGATCCCCTATAGTTTACCTTAAAGGCGTTACGATAATGATATTCCAACTTTCTGGCTTCTACTGTAAGGCATTTTTGGGGGAGAGGTTGGGATTTAGGGTTTAGGGTTTAGGGTTTGTATAATGTGCAAGGTTAGGCCGAATTTTAGAACTACCCTTCGACTCAAAATCCTCTGCTGGAGATTTTCGGGCTAAGGGATTCTGAATGAGTAGTATAGAGCTCTTAGAAGATATTTTTTTAGAAGCCTGAAAACAACCCGTAGACTAGCCCTCAGCGACACGGGCTCCTGTCCCAGCTCGACAAGGCTGGTTAGGGTTTAGGGTTTAGGGTTTAGGGTTTAGGGTTTAGGGTTAGGGTTTACGATGCTTCGAGTTTGGTAGGTGCGGCATTGAACCGGGGCTGTTCCCTAGATTTCTCAACTTGCTACAGCTCCGATGCTTTAATTGAAAAGAAGAACTAAATTACCCCAAACCCTAAACCCCTAAACCCTAACCCCTAAACCCTAAACCCTAAACCCCTAAACCCCTAACCCCTAAACCCTAAACCCTATATTTAAAAGAAGAGTTGGGACTCCGCACTCTTGGGATTAGGCTGCCGTGCGAATCTTTGGACGGAGATATCAACTCGAAAGCGTCATGGTCTCTAAACGGCCCTAACCCCTGAAACCTATTGAATGCTGCATCTGCTGCTCTGATTTTGTAACGACTTCTGACATTCTGGACGAACGCTTGCTTGTCCAGCACTTTTTGGGGGGGTAACCTTTGGGACTATCGAAGGATTATTATTAAATTATAATAGTGTCTAAAGATGATTGACCAACCCGCCCTGATCAGACGGGACTGTTTGGGGCCCGGGTTGCAAAGTTGCCTGACTCTTCAATCCCACGCTCAAAAAATCCCAAAATAACCCTCGCGATTAGACGAGATTGTCCTAAGAAGCCACAAACTCCTGCTTTGTTAAAAACGCATGAGGAAAGTGTTGGGGGACGGAAAGTGTCGGAGGACTCGTTTTGGCTCAAGCTCAGGGGTTTGTACAGCGCCGATGCTGCGGCCAGTCGTCTTGGCCACAAGCCGTACTACCGTATGTATTACTAAGGTACCAGGTTTTACATCTTGATCGGGTTCCGGGTTTACGGGGTTATCTAACCTCACAGCTTAAAGCCCGATTATGAGTAAATTCCGTTTCAAGCAATAAAAACAAAACCCTACAAATCCCTTCGCTTTAGGCTAACGGTTTTGAGTTTAGGGTTTAGGGTCGGTAGGAGCGCATTACGTGTCAAGGCGCTGTTGCGCAGCCACTCGCTGGGCGAGCTCTTGACGCACGGATTTCAGGGGCTGCAGCTTGCTTTGAGCCTTAGTAAACAGGCTTGAACTGCACAAGTTGAGGGCTTAGGGGTTTCAGGAGATGTAAACCGTAATCCCTAACTCTTAAACACCTAAATCCCAAAACCCGAACCTCTAAATTTAGGGTTTAGGGTTTCGGGTGATAATCATGAAGAGTTTAGGAGATGAGGGCTTCAGGACTTTAGGGTCTAAGCAAGGCTTTCGGGTTGGGGGCTGTGTCCTTTCTGGACAATACTACTACATGCTGCTACGGTATACTCACTAGACTCTGCAAAGTTGCAAAACTGGACCAAGGATGATTGGTGCTGGAATTTCCCGAGCAAAGCAAGTAGTTCGCCTTTAGGCTATTCTATTTTGTCTCGATTAGAATCTCTTCTTCGGTTGTCCTTTTGAGATTTGAGGTTCGTGGCTGATCGGCCAAATAGTTTCGACATTCTGCTGTCTCTGCCGACACCGTCAAGTCTAGCAGTCTGTGACGCTTTCAGCCAGACTTGGGGGATCGGGGGACTCAGTAAGTAACGCAAAAAGTAGTTACCCCTAATTGGGGCTATATAAGTTATTACTACTTAACCCTAGATACAGCGTCCCTCGATCCTCTAATTAACGGCTCCTTTAAAAGGTGTACTGTGGTTACCACATGGAGGGAGGTAGTGGGGGTCTCAACTCGAAGCCGTAAAGTTGGAACATCATAGTTCGCATGCCCTTAAGTCAGTTGAGGTAAAGACAGTACAAGGGATCCTAGCACAGATCCTCCTAAACCCATGTACCAACTTTCTGCGTCTCGCTGTCCAGGACCCCGGAAAGATATGAGTCCTTGGGCAGCCTTGGTGTCATAGATGGAGCAGCCTTGTTAGAATGGTCTTTAGGCCCAATAGCTTTCAGCTATGAGTCCTTTCAGCCCAGAGCCCTGAAAGGGACCCAATAAGCCCTAAGGCTCAAAACGCCGAAGGCCTAAAGCCTTAAAACATGAGTCCTTGGAGCCTAAGGGTTCTATAGCCCTGAAAGGGTTTAGGGTTTAAAGCCTTAGATACCATAACAGGGAACTACAATACATAATTCGGTTATTATTGTGGTAACTTAAAATAAATCCCTTAACAAGAACCCAGTTCTGATGCTCCTGGTTGTGATAGCCCAGAGACTCCAATATCCTTTAATTGGGGAATATTCCTTAAATTATAGTAGAACTTACCCCTAATATGATTTAAGGAATACTCCTTAATTAAGGGATATTGGAGTCTCTGGGGGAGCCGTGAAATGGTCCCGCGGAGCCCTCCGGCGAAAAGGACTTGGACCTGGGATCCTGGCGGCTTGGAGCTTCTGCTGCACTTTCTGAAGCTCCTGTCGAAGATGGGCTTATAGGGTTTGGGGAGTTTAGATGAGTTTAGGGTTTAGGTTTCAGTGTTTTAGGAGTTTAGGGTTTAGGGGTTTAGAGCTCCTGTCGAAGATGAGCTTCTGGACTTTGAAGTAACCAGGGAGAAAACGTATACGTAGACTTTATTTCATGATGGTTCCTTGAATGAACAGATGCCCAAAAAAGTGTTCAAAGTCAACTTTCAAGTATGGTACTCCAAACCCAGGGCTTATAGGATTTGGTTGGGTTTTAGGGGTTCAGGGTTTGGGGAGTTTAGGATTTAGGTTTCAGGGTTTAAGGAGTTTAGGCTTAGGGAGTTTAGGGTTCAGGGCTTAGGGAGTTTAGAGTTGAGGGAGTTTGGGGTTTAGGGTTTAGGGATTTATGGGGACATCATAGTTTCGATGCTACGGCTTCATTCGTTTGCTGTTCTTAGAGAGAGATTCGTTAATTGAGGGTTCCGGGGGGGTTGTTGGATTTTAGCAGCTGATGTTTCGGGTCTTGGGGGGTGCGGATTTATGTATGCATGCACTTATGAATCTACAGGTGCACTAGTCTTCTTATTGTTTGTGACGCTGCATCTGCTTGTTCAACTTTAGCTAATACTCACATACACACATACATACGTATACGATATAGATGTATACAGGATAAAGATATGCACGATACACACACATATATGTATATATACATACGCATAAATATATACATTTATATGTATATTTAATTACACCCTATATAAGCACATGGAGCCTTCGGGGCTGTAACTCATGAGGCTCCATGCCAAGCCTCTCAGGACCTGGGGGTCTGGTCCTGGGCTTAATTTCAGGGCCTGAATAGATACTTACGCTATTGCCTTTTTTTGGTTGAGGGGGGCGGGGTCCTTATTCTAGATATAACCCCCGCAGAAGCTGTTCTAATGATTCAGGCCCCTATATTCGAAGCTTTTGTATAGCGCGTTGAACCGGAGACAAGGGCATGCTGAAATCTAAGTCGCACAGGGCTTGAGGAGTGTCACAGGTTTTGGGTTCAGTGGTTTTACCTGGACCCTGAAATGCAGGCCTTTTTGCTGGCTACATCAGTTTATCATTCGTGATGTGTAGCATCCCAGCCTGCAAGAGGTTGTCTATGCACCCCTTAGAACCGTAATCAACGAATATGTTTAACATTCCCTTGGGTTTTATATGAAGAAACATAATTCCTACGGAGACTAGAGAAGAGATTCTAGGCGTATGGTTTATGGTCCTGGGCAGAGTTGTCCCGAACTTTTGGGGACTCAAAGCGCCGGACCTGGTTCATCTTCGCCTGGGCTGAGACTTTAAACGGTTGATGATACAAACTCTGCATTACCTTACTGACCCCTGGGCCATGGGATGTACTCCATAGCCTATGCTTAATGCAAGGTTTGTATCATCATTAACCGTGTATACCTCACGTGTGCGGTATCCTCATGGGACAGCATAAACCGTAAACCCTACCTACTCTACTGTTGATGATATAAATCCAGCATTACCCATAATAAGGAATATACCATACGTCCCATAGTTTAGGGACCTTCAGGTAATGCAGGATTTCTATCATCACCCGTTCTGGGCTGCTACACTGAATAATTTTTTCATGCACATGCCACCGTGGAAGACAACTGCGTGCGCCAATGAATGTGATACATCGCTGTGCAAATTAATCCCCTACAAAACTGTAAACGAACAAGGAAAGACACAGGAAATGTGTGCGTATATGAATAAATAAATAAATAAATAAGTATATATATATATATACATATATACCTCTATATGTATGTATATATGCATACTTGTACCAAGAAGCACCAAACATGTAAACAAGCTCCGAGGCAAGCAAAAACACATGTTGAACAACAATAGTGTTTTAAGTCCATCATCCAGTAAGCAAATCCTAAGACTGATTATCCTGAACTGCAAGGAACAGTACTGGTGATAGTTCATGCTGCATGTATAGTGAATCAAACTGTTTACGGCTTCGGTGTTTTTTATGGTTTAGGCCCAGTCAGCTTGCTCTTTGAACGGAAAACCCTGCAATAGTCAACCCCATCCCAAAAAATAGCAATGAACACCTCATAAGCTACTACGACATCCGGTTCTAGCCCGGCGAAAGCTCTGGACCCCTAGAACCAGAAACCTCGCTCCGAAAGTAAACCTCAGAACCCTGAACTAAATTCTAATCCCAAAGACCTAGACCCCGAACCCGAACCCGGAACCAATTCGGATAACCAAGCGGCTTGAAGAATCACACTGGCCTGAAGACAGTTCGTCTCTCTATAGTGTACCCGGAAAGTTGAACATCAATTTGCCATGATTCGTGCCGGGATTCCCTATACTTTACCTTAAGGGCGCGAGGACAGTGATGTTCCAACTGTTTGGGTTCTACGGTATGGGAGGAGGGCTGCCGGCCTTGTAACCCCAAACCCTACACCTAAGCTCCCGCCTGCCTTATGGATTCGTATCTTGCGAGGACAAGAGATGCTTAGCGTTCAGGCCTCAGGATTTAGAGCTTAGGGTGCTGAAACAGCACAGAAAACAAGGTTGAGGGTTCAGGGTGTGGGGGGGGGCCTAAACTCAAAACGAACCAAAATTTCATAAAACTGCGAATCACATGTGGCTCCCGAAAGAAAGAGCTTGAGACAACAGGGGGCCCCGGCATAGACCCGACACAATGGGATCCTCATTACTCCGCAATACCGCACCGTTAATTCCAAGAGCAACCCTCTCTATTTGCCTGTCTGTCTCTCTGTCCATCTGTGTCACAGAAAGAAAAAGTCAGTAGAACCTGCAAAGCGCGTGTAGAGACCAACTCAGCCCGCAAGTATGTTCTGACCCTCCGCCCCGAAGCTAAACCTTAGACCATAAACCCTGAACTCCTACCAGGACCCCCGAATGGCCCAATAACAGAGACCTTATGGTCCTTAATAGTGGGAATTTGGGGTATAACAGAGGGTAGTTGGGGGGTCTAGGTAAAGCCTATACCTGAACTTTGGTTCCGCAAAGGCCTCAGAGGCCGCTTTCTCTGCTTCTTTCACGGCAGCTTCTGTCTCTTCCACACTCGCGGATACCTAAGGGGCGTCGCGTTTTTGGTTTTAGCCGACAACTCTTAATTAGGACTTTTGGTTTTCTCCGAAATCTCGTAGGACGGATATCTTGAAGTCTTAGGGTTGAGTTTTTTTTGAACTCCTTTTTGATGACTGCAAACCAGGTCTGCTTGGTTGAGGGTTTACGGTTTAGGGATCAAGAGGATCTTCGGCTGGGGCCCTTGGGCTACAGAGCCCTAAACCGCAAACCCTACTTGGAAGGGCAGGGGACTTAGTAAGTAGGTTATAAGTAGAGTTACAAGTACCCTAAATGGAGTTACCCCAATTATAACCCTACTTCTAACCTACTTACTAAGTCCCTAAACCCTAAACCCCATAGATCCCCTTTAAGGAACCCTATAGATCCCCTTAAGGAGCCCTTTAAAGAGCCCTTACTAAGTCCCCCAAAGCCCCTCCAAGTAGACCCTAAACCCTAAACCCTATAGACCCCTTTAAGGAACCCTATAGATCCCTTTAAGGAGCCCTTTAAAGAGCCCTTCCTAAGTCCCCCAAAGCCCCTCCAAGTAGACCAGTCGTCAAGGATTGCATGGTGCGATAGGGCCTTAATAAGCGAAGCAATGCTTCGGACGGCTTATAAACAGAAGCCCTCTGAGAAAGATTGCTCTGGTGATTTAACCCTAAACCCTAAAACCCTAAACCCTAAAACCCTAAAACCCCAAACCCCAAACCCTAAACCCTAAAACCCTAAACCCTAAACCCCAAACCCCAAACCCTTCAGGCACTTTCGCTAAGGGACTTCAAGTCCTGCTGCGCAGGGCTGCTGATGGTGCTTAGGCTGCCGGGTTAGGGATTCTACCGTTTGGGTTTAAGATAGTAGGTTTAGGTCTTCTGGGTTTTACTGGGTTCTTGTTAAGGAACTTCATCAAAGATGCCACAATGGGAATCTATGGTAAAGAATGTGGCGTCTGTCTTATGGCAACATGAATAAACTCCCTTAGCAAGAGCACAATTTAGGGTTGTAGGGGTTAAGGTGTTTAGGATTATTTTGGATCATCTGGTGGAAGGCTTGTGCTGCTTGTAGAAGGAGTTGATTGAGCTTTGGGGGGGGGGGAGTGGGAGGTTTTACTGAACAACGACATGGGCGTGCCAAGATTCCCCTAAACTGCAAATCCGTAACTCTAAACCTCTTAGCGGCCCTTCGAACCCGAACAAAACAGAATTCTTAACACTCCCCATAGCTTCTACTATAGGGTTTAGGGTTTAGGGTTTCTACTATATGAAAAATCCTATAAGAGCAATAAAGCCTCTTGTGGCTCACAGCTGAAAGCCCAGACCCTGCCTGATTGTCACCATCGCTTGACGCTGCAATGGCCTCGTGCGTGGCAATCGCCTGGCTTGCAAGAGGGCATCCAAACAAGGGCTGAGCCTAGTGTTGGGGTTAGGGTTTGGGGTTCAGGGGTTTGGGAGTTTAAGGGTGTAGGGTGTAGAGTCTAGGGTGGGTTTCTAGGGTTTCCGGGGTTCGCTGTTCTGGTAAACCCCCAAACTTGAGAGTAGGTACATGGAAGTAAACGCTTCCCACAACGAAAAGGGAACTTTTAATGGGATGCCTCCAGGCACCGGTGTTGCTTCCATGGTAGCTTAACAAAGTCAGCGTGAAGCCGTCACTCTCCGGGGCAGATGCTGGTGTTGAAGGCACCTTGCTGTCTCGCTGGCCTCTAACCCTGAAGCCCAAGACTCAAACCTTCAACTGGAAGGCATGGCTCATACGAATACTATAGGGGCCTTGATGATTACAATAGGTCTTGGGGTATATTATACTACAAATCCAATAGGGACCCCCGAAAACGCAATTGCTGTTCAATTTTTTAGACCCCTGTATTACCAGCCGTGCTTCATGTGCGCCACTCGCAAAGTCAAGGGGCTTGGTGCGCACACTGTCGCGGTGGCTGCGGCTATGAACACCCAAATCGGGACCAGCCACCAAAAGAAACCGCTTAGTTCCTACTTTCGAATTCCCATACACCTCCAAGTGCTCAGACCCTAAACACATACACCCTGAAGCCTACAGCCCAAACCCCGAATCCAAAGCCCAAACCCTATCAGGACCTGTTCCTACGATCTTCTCATGCTATGCAGGTACTGAAGACCATTGAGGTCACCCTAAAACCACATGCCAGTCCGAACTTAGTCGTCGTTTGTTTCTTCTATGGACGACCTAGGGCTTCCGGGAAAAGTCGGTTTGACAGCTGAGGGTGTCAGAGCGTGGGCGACGGGTCCGAGGTATTGCAGGTTAAGGTGCTCTTACCTTATCCCGAACCCGAAACCCTTAACTCACTCACTCACTCTCTTCCCTCTCAGTCACGGAGCCATAAACCCAAAGCCCTAAACCCTATCCCTAAAATCGAGAATGCCATGCCGGCCTTTTCAATAGCCTCCTCGGCGGCAGTGCACTTCTGGCTAACATCTGGCATCATGTCCTCACGGCCGCGGTAGCCAGGGATTGCTCAACGAGGACTGATCTAAGGCGTGGGGTTCAGGCCAAGTACACCCGAAACCCCTGACCTCTTCAAGCGAAACCTTACACTCTTGGACCATAAACCCCGAACTAACCCTAAACCCTAAACCCTAAACCCTAAACCCCGAACTGAAACTCCTGTACCTAAACCCCCAAGCCCTGAACTCCTAAGCCCCGAAATCTTGAGCCTGCAACCCTCGCACCCCCAAGCCCCTCAACAGATTCATTACGCCCTAAATCAGTAAACCTATAAAACCCGTTACAGAACCCTTGAAAGCAACCCTTCTAATACGGGGATCTTAGTAATTAGACTAGAGGTTGGATGCTACTTGCAGTATAAGTATACATGGGTTGAATAATGCTACCATTGGTTACAACACCGATATAGAATCCTGAATCCTTAAAGACCCCTTGACGGCCAAAATTGCAACCCTACCTGGAGGATCATGGGGCTTAGTACGTATGGTTATAGGCATACCAATTGGGGTTATAGTGATGATAGGCATAATGCAGGAACCTGATTAAGCAACCCCGGCCCCAGAACCCCCAAATAGTCGGATCCAAAGAAGGAGCCCTAATAAAGGCCCAAGGTTTCTTAATCAGGCTCCTACATTCGGTAACCTAACAATAATAACCCTAGTTACCAAGTCAGATGATCCTTTAACTTACCTTTGGTTAGTAGGGAATGGAAGAATGGTAGTAATAGTAGTTATAATTGTACCCCATTCTTCCATTCCCTACTAACCAAAGGTAAGTTAAGTAGACCCTGGACTTATCCTCCAGGCGAGCACTGATCATGCAAAACTTGAATGCCGACGTGCTTGCGAAACCTTATTGCCTGCGCTTGCTTTTAACTTGAGAATTCCTGATATAGGGGTCTTAATAATTGGACTAGGGCTCCTTTAAAGGGGTCTATAAGGGTAACTATCAAGGGGTCTAGAAGGGCACTATAATATCGGGGCCTTACTAATTGGAATAGGGTTTTGGGGTACATTATACTAGAAGTGTAATAAGGAAACCCCCCAAAATAGTATTCGTAATTATTTAGGCCCCTATATTACATGCTTGGGTCCCCTCGTGTAGGAGCCTGCAAGGGAAGCTTGGCCGCGACGCCCCGGCAAGCCTCACCCTCCACCATGGACAACAGCTCGGGGCCATCCCTGGCACAGCTGCCCTGTCCAGTCTCCATAGAAAGCTGAGGCACCAGTGCGCTGCAGGAAGCCATGGCGGGGAGAGCAAGTGAAATGTCGGGTGGCGAAAACGAAAACAAGAAGAAGTCACTATACAGCCCATAAGACCGGTAAAGACACCCTACTAATTCATAACACCCCTTGCAGTAAAATCTAACCCTCATGGTGCCTTTAAGAAACCCCTGCAAGAACGCCTCCAAAGGCCTAAACTCTACAAAATCCAAACCCCTGTAAAGCCCTAAACCCCACAGCCTAATTGTACTCACTCCTCATAAACCCCCTAAGCCCTAAACACACCCCACACCCCTAAACCCTACACCCCCTACACCCCTAAACCCTAAAGCCCAACCCTAAAGCACTCTGCGCGTCAGTCCTCGAAGGCCTTCGTTTCTCGGAGCTCCGCCTCAGCCATCTTCGCCTGTGACTCCGCCTCTTTGGGGGAAAAGAAGGAGGTTAGGGTCCGACACCAGGGTTCACGGTTTAGGGTTTAGGGTTTTAAGGTTTAGGTTCGAAGCTGCCCCTACCCTGTAATAGTGACTATAAGGATTATATTAGGGCCCTATTTTATTCCTATTATACCACTATTACAGGGTGGGGTCCCCTTCTAAGGTTTAGGTTTTAGGGTTGATGGTTTTAGGGTTGAAGTTCAACGGTTGAAGGTTTTAGGGCTGAGGGTTTGAGAGATATAAACCCTCAATCTTAAACCCAATAGCAGTTAAGGGCTGAGGGTTTGGGGCTTGGGGCGTAGAGCACGCAGGGCTTTAGCGGGCTTTTCAAGGCTGCTCTAGGGTTATATTACCCTAAGGCTCCCATGTACCCATGGAGTATATACTTAGGCCTAAAAGTACCTACATAGGGATCCGGTTAAGGCTTACGTATCTACTGCAAGGGTACATGGAGCCTTTGGGTTACAGATTGTGTAAAGTGTAAAGGCTTGGGTATCGGGTCCAGGGTTCGGGCTCTGTGAGTTTAGAAACCCTTAACGCGTCTTGCTGAACCCTGAACCCTATATCCTAGACCGGAAGTTACTAGTTTTATAGATGTGTATACAGTTGTCGCACTTTTATAGATGTGTTAGAAGTGCGTTAGCAGTTTGGTTTGTATGCTGAGGGTTTAGGGGTTCCGATTTCTTACTACATACCGTCAGGCCTAAACTGCTTGACGAATCGGGCTTAGGTTCCAGAGGCTCGGACGGTCCACAACAGCCGGACATATTACTCAGATTTTCATATGATACTCGAAAGCCCTACACCCTATTTCAGCATAAGATGTCGGGTTTTCTATGAAGTCGTTGCCCAGGAGCATGAGCATAGGGTTTAGGGTTTAGGAGGTTCGTAACACGGAGCCCTAGGGAATTGTGTTGGCGATGCAGGCACAGCGCGTAGCAATTTCTGAAGGCTCTCAGAGTGCGATTTCTTGCCATCGAACCTCAAGGCCTCTAAACCCCAAACCTTAAGTGCTATGGCCCCCAAACCCCAAAACTCCAATGCCCCTAAACCCTAAAATCATAAGGCCACTAAACCCTAAGGCCCCCGAACGCTATGGCCCTAAACCGGTCTTGTTGACAGCTCAATCTCCTCCAACATCCCTTAAGTAAGGAATACTCCTTATGAACTAAGTATATCCTTAATCAAGGCATATTGGAGTCCCTGGGAATGCGCCTATACCCGGGGAGCCTTTAGAAAGGCGCTTGAAGCCCATTTGCAGAGTTACAAATCGCTGAACCCCTGAACTAACAAGGCCCTACACCTCACCCTAAATCCTAAACCCAACATTCTACAACCCTGAATATTAAAAACCTAAGGTCTTAAGTCTTAAAGGCATAAATCCTAAACCCTAAACTCAGAGTTGACTTGTCATTCGTTGTAAGACCCCCTCCCAGGGGTATACCTTAGAAGGGGCCCCCACCCTGTAACAGTGACCATAAGGATTATATAGGATTATATTAGGGCCCTAGTATATTCCTATTATACCACTATTACAGGGTGGGGGCAGCTTCTAAGGTATACCGAAAGCTTTGGGTTTGGGCTTTCAGGTTTAGGGCTCCAGAACATAAAAACTCCCGTGCAAAAGCCTGACAAGCCGGACACCTAAACCCTAACAACCCTACACTCCCAAAGGCTCCATGTAACCTTATAGTAGATACTTAAGCCTTAAAGGGGTCCCTATATAGGTACTTTAGGGCCTAAGTATCTACTATAAGGGTACATGGAGCCTTAGGGACTATACCATCCTTAGAACCATAATAAAACGAATATGCATTTAATATCTGTAGGGTTTTATTTCATATGGACAAAAATAAAAATGGTTCCTGAGGAGACTATAGTAAACCTAAAGCCGGAGAACCCGAAGGGGTTGAGGCTCTCTTTTTGGGGGTTCGATAAGTCTATACTTCTACTAATCAAGGCTTACATTAACATCAAGGTTCTATTGGTCTCTTTTCCTAAAACCAGGACACTCACACCCTAAATCCGCACCCGAAAGAGCTGAGGACTCAATCATGCGAAAGCCCAAGCCCTAAACCCTAAACCCCGGAACCCTAAACTCTATACCCTCAACCGAGCTCTGCCTGTACGCGGGACTGGCGGAACTTGTTTGTAAGCTGCTGGGCCTGCTGCTGTGTCATCCTGGCCAAGCTGCTCGGCAGAACCCTACAATCTAGAACCTACGGGTTCCTTACAGGGTTCCTTGAAAGGATCTATAAGGGTTGTTTAAGTATTTAGGGAAATACCTAGTCTCCATTATAGCTCCTTTTTTGGTTCACCAAATTTTTTGTATAGGATCGTAACCATAAGAATTTGTTAGCCAGAAAAAGAAGTACAATGGAGACCAGAGGTATACTTACAAAGACAGCTTAGTGATTGCGGCATGGTATTTGTTTGGGATGTAGATCGTTGCGTTTCGGATGTTTGTAGTTGTTTGCGGAGCAGATTGAAGTTTACCGGAAGCCTCGCTGAAGATATCACAAATCCTTATATGCTCGAGTCTGGCCCATATAGCCCAGAGAACTGGCGAGCATGGAGGCTCAAGAGGCACATTGGCATCTGTATATGGCATGGCCTCACTTGGAAGGGCTTTGGGGGACTTAGTAAGGGCTCTTTAAAGGGCTCCTTAAAGGGATCTATAGGGTTCCTTAAAAGGGATCTATGGGGTTTAGGGTTTAGGGACTTAGTAAGTAGGTTATAAGTAGGGTTATAATTGGGGTAACTCCATTTAGGGTACTTATAACTCTACTTATAACCTACTTACTAAGTCCCCTGCCCTTCCAAGCAGGGTTAGGTTCTTGCGCCCTTCTGAATCCAGCGCCGAACCGGTGCCTTGCAGTGTTTGTGGTCCTAAAGGCTGGCTCTTCTGCCCCAAGAGTGCAGAATTTGGTGGACACAACTCATTCATAAGCCAGGACCATCATAAACACCTCCCCCTTAAAACGGGCTATGAATCCGAGTATTGTGGCTTGAATAAGGGTGACAATTTACCGGGATCCGAAGATCAGGGCCTTTACAGACAGGGTAACCGGCGGTCAACATCACGAAAGGGGCGCCACTAACCCCGAATCCCTCAACCCGGCGCGTCTGGCGATTGTCATATGGCTTTCGTCCAAGCTTGCGAGGCGGCTGATAAAAGAAAACTGAACTCTTAACCCCAAAACACCTGACCCCTTAACCCTCCATCCCTCCAACATCAAGGCCAGAAGCAACCAACTCTAAACCCTAAACCCTCGACCTTGCGCCCTCAAACCTAAACCCTATACTTATGAGATTATTAGGGCCACACAAGGGGGTTTCCAAAATAATTATTTTTGCACATTTATTGCATATTTTTTGTGCGTCGCGTTTGCGTATTTTTTGCATGTGTTTTTTCGTTTGCAAATATTTTGCATATTTTTTGTGTTTTTTTTGCATGTGTAATTTTGGGTGTTTAAATGCAAAACAGCCGCAAAAATATGCAATACACACTGCGTTTTGCATATTTTTTGCGTTTTTTTTGCATGTGTAATTTTGGGTGTTTAAACGCAGGTGTTGCAAGGCTGCTGCCAGGGCCCAGGGCCCAGGCACGCCAAAAATATGCAAAAAATGTGCAAAACACACTGTGTTTTGCATATTTTAGGGGTGCCGGGCCCACCGGCTGGGCCAGGGCACGGCCCGTAAAATATGCAAAACACAGTGTGTTTTGCACATTTTTTGCGTATTTTTGGCGTGCCGGGCCCACCGGCTGGGCCAGGCACGGCCCGTAAAATATGCAAAACACAGTGTGTTTTGCACATTTTTTGCGTATTTTTGGCGTGCCGGGCAGGTCCTGCCAAGGCCCCAGCACCCAAAGGCCCCAAGGCCCAAAGGCACCAAGGTTCAGAACCGTGTGATGCAAAAAAATGCAAAAAATATGCAAAAAATATGCAATAAATTTGCAAAAGATTTGCAACACAAAAAAAACATGCAAAATATATGCAAACCCGACGTGCAAAAAATATGCAATCAATTTGCAAAATATCCGCAAAATAATTATTTTCAGTTTCATAGGCTGTAGCCTGCTAATAATCTCATAACCCTATACCCTGAGGCCCCAAAGTAGTTCCTTTTAGGGATTACCTTATAGGATTCTATATATGAACCCCAAAAAGGAACCCTAAACCCTTGACCTTGCGCCCTAAAACCTAAACCCTACAGGCCATACTTGGAAGGGCTTTGGGGGACTTAGTAAGGGCTCTTTAAAGGGCTCCTTAAAGGGATCTATAGGGTTCCTTGAAAGGGATCTATGGGGTTTAGGGTGTAGGGACTTAGTAAGTAGGCTATAAGTAGGGTTATAACTGGGGTAACTCCATTTAGGGTACTTATAACTCTACTTCTAACCTACTTACTAAGTCCCCTGCCCTTCCAAGTGGGATACAAAAACTGAAGAATGAAGGCTCGCCCCGACGCTTCCGTGGTTTCTTCAGGATTCCAGGATAGAGTGCTTGGTCTCTGTTCTAAGTTCTCGGCCTTAGAGGTTTGGCGTCTAGTAATGGTTGAAGATGTAAGGTTGAGAGGATCTTATGGCTTCTGCGGGTTCTACTCCCTGGCCTCAGCTGGTTCGCCAGCTGGCTGAAGTTGCGCGCGATGTCCCCAGGATGTCCTTTCTGCGCGTCCTGGAGCTTGCGCTGCACCTGCGATGCCAAAGTTCAGAGTTTAGGTTTTAGGGTTTAGGGTTTACGGGGATATCCGAAAGTGGAGGCAACATAGGCCCCACGCCCTAACACTGAGGTTCAAGCCTCTAGACAACATGCAACCTACTTACATGTATGTATGTATGCATGCATGTATGTATACATCCATCGTTTTGTGCATCCACAGCTGCGAAATGATAGGCATGTCTCCGCGAACACATCTCTCTGTCGTATGCTTCCTGTCTGTCTCCCTCCCTCACTCACTCACTCTCGCTGTCCCCCTCTTCTCGCATATATCTACAGCTAGAGGGAAGCAGAGAGATGCCTATGTGTATATATGTATGTGCGTACAGAGATATGGATACGTATATACATACAGAGATATGCATATGTATATACAGACATGTACACATACTTATACATACATATACATATTTGCATACATATATATATATATATATATATATATAAGTAATGTATACTGCACAGGTGCACATTCGCCCGTAAGTCTGCTCTTTCGCTTGTCAAGCATGGCAGAGGCAGGTAGGGGAGAGCATGTCAGGTCGACAAGGCGAGTGACCAAGTGTTGGTGCTTCACATTTGGAGAAGACGAAGTTTCCGGAGGGTTTAGACATGAAGAAGCGTGCCACGGTTTAGGAATAGACATTTTGAAGGTTTAGGGTTTAGGTTACTTATACATGTACCAGGTCTATGCGTATGCGACGCAGATTAGTAGGTGAACAATCACAACGTCGAAATTACCGTACATGTTTCAGGTCCCTGTACATATGATATCTATGTATTCATTTATATGCTCATAGACATTTACAAAAACACATACATGCATGAAGTAAACCATGACAACCAACGCATGACTGAGTACATTAATGCAGAAGCTTGCAAGAGAACCAAACGAAGGAACATGCGGAGACGATCAAGGTCCGGGCTCCGTGGGTCGATCGCTTGAAACCCAGATCATGCCACGGCATCCAGACAGACCCTACAATACCCGAAACCCCAACCACCCCAAGCCCCACAACCCCAAACCCCTGACTAAACCCTAAACTCTAAACCTCAAAGCCCCGAAGCCCCACAACTAAACCCGAAACCCTAAACCCCTAAACCCTAAACCCCCCAAACCCCGAACGTGCCGAGAACATGCTAACGGCCTCCATCATGGCGTTGCTATGCGGCTGCAACAGCTGCTCCGCCTTTTCGGGCCCTTTAATAAGGCTTACTTGAGAGGGTTTAGGCTTTCGGGTTTTAGGATTTAGGGTTTAAGGTTGCGGATTTAGGGTTTAGGGTTGAGGATTTAGGGTTAAGGGTTGAGGATTTAGGGTTTAAGGGCCCTTTAAGGGTGGGTGCCTTTGAGGCTTTAAGGCTCCTTTACGGGGGGTCCTTTAAGGGTTTGCGGGCCCTTTAAGGGGTTTCGGGTTTAGGGTTTACTTCAAGAGCTTTTTGTGAAGGTTCCTTCTTTGGGCCGGCTTAAAGGGTGCTTATATGGGTCGGGAGTTTTTCGGATTTAGGGTTTAGGGATTCGGGATTAGGAATTAGGGGTTTAGGGGTTAGGGATTCATAGGGTTTAGGGCTGAGGAGTTTAAGGCTTTAGTATAAACGGTTTTTGCAGGCGTCGCAAGGACGTCTATAGGTCATGTAAAGGGTTTCCGATTTCTTTGCGAGCGTTCTCATGTGTTATGGGTTTGCATACGGTGTTTCGAAATCTAAGCCCTAGACCCTCGCATGCTGACTACTATAGGGGCCTAAAGAATTAGCAATACTGATTTGGTGGTTCCTTCTATGGTTATAGTATAATGGGCCCCGAAACCCTATTCTTTTTATTAAGGCCCCTTTTAGTACACTGCCAGCGGCAACCTGTGCAGGTTTGTACTCGTAGCCCTTGTGCCGAAACCCCAAAATCTCACAGGGCTTGGGAAGGCTTGGGAAGTGCGGGGTTTAATATTCAGGCTTCCAATCCTAAGCCTAGACCCAAGAGTAACCTAGGAATAAAAAGGGTGCCCTTTTTGGTTTAAAGGGGCTTATAAGGGAACCTGAACCCTTAAAAAGGGAATAAGGGCCTACTCTAGGTCCTAGAAGCCCTCAACCCCGCAGAGCCCCAAGCTTCATAAAACTAAACCCCAACCCCAAACCCTAAGGTAAAAGCCAGAAAGTTGGAATATGATTATCCTAACCCTTCTATGGTAAATTATAGGGGATCCTACCATGAAACCATATTCCAACTTTCTGGAGTTTCCTATAAAGCGCTAAATCTTACATCGTTGAAAGAGCCCTTGAAGGAATCCCTCAAGGAGCCCAGAAAGGCAGCTCCTCTTGCCCTAAACCCTAAACTCTAAACGAAAACCCTAAACGCCCTAAACCCTAAACTTACACCCTAAACTTATAAGCTCTAAGTCCCAAACCCTACCTAAACCCTAAACCCTAAACTTAAACCCTAAACCTAAGCTCTAAGTCCCAAACCCTGGTCTGCGCCTGCAGCAGGCTCTGCATGTTGGACTGGTTGTTTCCCAAGGCCGATGCCTGGCGATTCAGGGTTCACTAGGAGGGGCAGGGGACTTAGTAAGTAGGTTATAAGTAGGGTTTTAATTGGGATAACTCCATTTAGGGTGCTTATAACCCTACTTATCACCTACTTACTAAGTCCCCTAAACCCTAAACCCCATAGATCCCTTTTAAGGAACCCTATAGATCCCTCTATAAGGAGCCCTTTAAAGAGCCCTTACTAAGTCCCCCAAAGCCCTTCCAAGCAGGGTTTGAGGTTTAGGGATGCCCCCTGAACTTGGGGTCTCAGAGACTGGGGGCTTGAGGTTTAGGGGTTTAGGGGTTAAGGAGTTCAGGGGCTTAAGCTTACCTTTGGTTAGTAGGGAATGGAGGAATGGGGTACAATTATAACTACTATTACTACCATTCTTCCATTCCCTACTAACCAAAGGTAAGTAAGGGTTTGGGATGGTTTGAGGTTTAAGATTTAGGGGTTTAGGGGTTTAAGGTTTGGGGGCTTAGGGTTTGGGATGGTCTGAGGCTTCGAGATAGGGATGAGGGCATGCTTTGTGGTTTAGTTTATATCAAAACTATGGTCCCCTTTTGGGTACCCTAAGTATTCGGTGCCGTACTGTAATAAGGACCCAAAAAGGGACCATAACTTTGACAACCACCCATATGGGGCTACGGGCCCGGCGGCTCCGGTTCATGAAGACGTCGACAACACATCGTGCAAAACACCTGCTCGCATGGCCTGCGGTTTTCATGGGAGGCCAAAAGGGGGGGGGGTTAAGATTCTTGGGGTAGGGAGTCCTTAACATGAACCAAATTATGGGAGTCCTTAACATGAACCCAATTATGGGAGTCCTTAACATGAACCAAATTATGGGAGTCCTTAACATGAACCCAATTATGGGAGTCCTTAACATGAACCCAATTATGGGAGTCCTTAACATGAGCCCTATTATGGGAACCTTAGTCCCTACTAAACCCCCCCATAGGCTAAAATCCCTTTTGGCATCCTATGAGGTTTGAAAGTCAGTACAAAGGGTCACGGTCGACTGCGGCTAGGGCTTGTGGGTGTCTACTCCTATCGAACTGATCGAACGTTAGCCGACAAGCCAAAATCCAACACCCAACCAGCCCAGTCCAACAGCTGCCATCGCACTCGTAGTATGAAGGTGCTCCATCTGCCTCCGCAACACTTGTTGCGGAACACCTCTATATACGGGCCTCACGGAGGGTTCGTTGGTGCCAGGGCAACCACTCTTCGTTGGGTCCCCTCTTCCTGCCGATGATCTCCCGAATGTAGTGGTACTGAAGGCTGTTGGCGGCCCGGTAGTCCGAAATCGGCCACGTCTCGGATGAGCGTAATAGAGGAGCGCAAGCGATCATCTAGTTTGGCCTCCTTGCAGGTCAAGATGGGCTTGTTGGCGTGAAATCCCCGCCGAGCGCGGTGTTGCATTTCACACACCAACGCTGCCTGCTGGTTGACAAACGTGATGGGCGACCCCAACACCGGCATCACAGACTCCGGCGTTTCTGCTGGCACGGGCTTCTCCCCGATGGTGAATCCCTCGGCCCGTTCGTGGCGGCAAAGCACCATGGTCTTTTTTCGGGTTGATTTCCAGGCCACGCTCCGAACATGGACATTCCTTGACCCGATGACAGACAAACCTGAGCCAACAAACCTTATTGCCTCAAACTCCAATCCACTAAACCCTAAAAAGCCTTAAACACCCTCGAACCCTATAGTACCCTTATAGTAACCTTTATGGAACCCTCATAGTAACCCTTTAAAGGAACCCTTGAAAACCCAGACTCCCAAACTCTAAACCCCAAAACCCTTAACCCCAAAACCCTAAACCCCTAAACCCTAAACCCCTAAACCCCAAAACCCTGAACCCCTAAACCCTAAATCCCTAAACCCTAACTCCCTAAACCCTTCTGAACCCTACCCAGGCCTGGGCCACAGCCTGCTTGGCCTCGGCGTCGACTTTCGCCACCTCGGCAGAGATCGCCTTGAGCTTCGTCTCGGCTTCCTGCAAACATGGTCTAGGGTTTAGGGCTTCGGGTTTAGGGTTCAGGGCTTAGGGTTTAGGGATACGGATGAAACCCTACAAGCCGGTTTAGCAGCTGGGGCGGATGTCCACACGAGAAGGGTTTACTTACCTTGGGTTAGTAGGGAATGGAGGAATGGGGTACAAGTATATCTACTATTACTACCATTCTTCCATTCCCCACTAACCAAAGGTAAGTCTAGGTAGTTGCGTGTCCTGTTCCCCTTAGGCTTAAAGGTTTCTTGTGTTGTTAGTGTCTTGTCTGTGGCTGTGGGTGGTTTAAAAGGGGTCGGATTTGCAGCTTCAAGCTGGGTTTAGATGTATTCCTTCGGGGGGCGGAGTTGGAGTGGATTTTGGAGTGCGGAGTGCGTTGGTTGAATGAGTCTTAAACGGGTCCGAGATGGGTTTCAGTATAGATCCTTGGGCGCGCTGTTGTTGTTGTTGTTGCTGCTGCTGTTGCTGTTGCTGTTGTTGCTGCTGTAGTTGTTGCCGTTGCCGTTGCCGTTGCCGTTGCCGTTGCAGTTGCAGTTGCAGTTGCAGTTGCTGTTGCTGTTGCTGTTGCTGTTGCTGTTGCTGTTGCTGTTGCTGTTGCTGTTGTTGTTGTTGCTGCTGCTGTTGCTGCTGCTGTCGTTGTTGCTGTTGCTGATCTACTGTTGTTGCTTTTGCTGCCGTTGTTGCTGTTGCTGTTGTTTGTTGTTGTCGTTGTTGCTTCTGGTTGCTGGTTGTTGGTTGTTGCCTGTTGGTCGTTGGATGTTGGTTGTTGCTGGTGGTTAGTTGTTGGTTGTCAGTTACCGGTTGTCGGTTGTGGGTTATGGGTCGGGGTCGTTGGTCGTTGGTTGTTGGTTGCTTATTGATTGTCTCGTTCTTGTTTGTTAGTTGTACTGGTACCAGTACTAGTACTACCCATAACCCCGCACTCTAAACCCTATGACCCTTGCGTAAGGAACAACCCTATGGGGTCTTGCGCCGGCTCCGAGTGCTGTCCTCGCGGTGCATCTGCTGCTTCGGGCCCAATACGAGAGTAGGGCGGACCTGATGCAGTAGGTTCTTGTGTGGGGTTCAGGGTTTAGGGTTCCTGCCTGTACAGGGCTACTATAAGGGTTCCTTTAAGGGATCTATAAGGGTTACTATAAGGGTACTAGAGGGTTCTAGGGTTTAAGGTTTAGGGGTTCCGGTGTTGAGTCTTTATGGTTCCGGGCTTTTTGTGGGGTTGTGTGTGGCTGTATAGGGATCAATTCAGGGATTGGGTCTTCCGGTTCAGCAAGGTATGATTGGCTGGGCTTAGGGAGACTTGGAGAATCATGGGATGTGGGCAGGGGGCGGGCTATTGCCCCCCTAGAACCACGATTAAAAACAAACTAGCTTTAATGTTCTCTCGGATTTTATATGAGCAAAACTAAAACAACAATTCCGAAGGAGACTATAGAGATAGGGAAAGCCTCCGGAGGCTCCTCTGGTCTTTGGGAAGGGAAGAACACTGCTTACTCAAACGACCATGGGACTTAGTCACTAAGGATATTATTAGGGTAACTATACTATACTTACATCACGATCCTTCAAGCAGGGGCCGCCAAGTGTGCTTTCAGGATCCAGGACACCGGTGAAGCGGACTCGCAAGTGATATGGACATGCGCCATGGTCTCCCCAGAGACAACACTACAGTATCCCATGATTGAAAACATTCCTTTGTATAATATCAGGGATCCTACGGCAATTTACGCTATATTCCTTTGTTGAGGGATGTTGTCTCTAGGTTTTAGGAGCGTGCATACGGACATCATGAGAAAGGAGCACACCAGGTAGGTTTTCAGTGTTCAGGTATACCATATGCGGGCTTCCATATTGGCTTCGTAGACAAGCCCAGGTCTTTCGGAATTGTGGCATCGACTCCCGTTATATAGGGATTATATAGGGACTATACTACCCACAAAAGGTTAAAGGTTGCCTACTCTACGAATAGGTTTCGTAGTGTTCAGGGGCGTAGGGTTGAGGGAGGGTTTAGGGTTTGGGGATGGATGAGTTTCGGGGTTTGGGGATGGATCCCCCTGATTATAGTCTCGATATACTTATGCGTTAGTGGATCCTCCAGACCTTTTTGCAATCCTTAAACCTTTCCATCTGTTTCCGCCTCCTTTCCAATCTTTTCCATCGCCTTTACACTCCCGCCACCCGTTTCATGGTGGCGCCATGCTCGCCGGCCATTGTAGCCACCACCCCTTCCTGTCACGACACCTTCTGGTCAGCCACGGACTGGTCAGCCCGGATCCCTCCCGTTTCTGGCTGGCACTTCTGGTAGTCTAGGATACCCAGTAACCTAAGAATAAAAAGGCCTCTCTTTTTGGTATTGGGTAACTTTATAAGGAACCTAGGACTACAAAAAGGGAATAAGGGTACTACTGGGCATCCTAGTAGTTGAGCAATTCCGTAAGTGCAGATAGGGGTGCTTAATGGGTGCCTGTTCGCTTCCCGAAACTCAAAGCAACAACAACACAAACAACACACACTAAGTCAGTCTCCAATGTGGTTGCAGAACTCCTCTCTAGGAACAGCATTGTCAAAGAACCCTTGCAGAGTCCTTTTTTTTGAACAGTCTTTTTAACCAAGAAGAAACTAGCCTCTAAACCCTTCTCACCCCTAATGAAATCCTCAGAGGAACCCCTGAAAGAATAAACCCTAAGCCCCAAGCCAAACCCTAAACCCTATAACCCCTAAACCCTAAAAGCGGTTGAGAGGGACCTGCCCGTCCCAAGGGATCTTCCACCCCGAGGTCGGCGGAATCAGGCTCTTGTCCGAGTTGTGGGACCAGACCTTTCAGGGAGGGTGTAGGGTTTCGGGCTCAGAGTTGGGAGCTTTCGGTTTAGAGTTTAGGAGCTTGGCGGTTTGAGGTTTAGAGTTTAGCGCTTGTCCGAGTTGTAGGACCATACCTCCAAAACCTATGAGGTTCAGAGTTTAAGGGCTTTGGCGATCTAGGGGTTTAGGACTCAAGGGTCGCAGTGGTGGGATCAGAACTCTTAGGAAAGCTTTAGGGATCTTATGAGGATACCTTACAGATTACTGATGAGCCTCTTTACAATAAGAAGTACGCATTTTCCTGAAAGTTGTAATAAGGAGACTCCAAAACAAACGGATATTACTAAGGTACCTAGCAAACGGTTTCTAGGACGGTCTCTATAATGGTAAATGACCAGACCTCTTTGTGTTCTAGACAGGTACCTCTATTTGAAGGATCACGGGAGTAAGTAGCGGCGTTAACATTTGGATAACTATACTTATAACAACTTATAACACCGATTAAGATACCTATAACCATGCTGACTGAGTCCCATGATCCTGCAAGTAAGGATTCAACTTCCGAGGGCCGAAGCGTTTTCAACGGTCTACGGGTTTTGCTCTCCTGTCAGGGTTGTGGGACCGGAACTGGTTAGGAGGTACTAGGATACCCAGTAACCTAAGAATAAAAAGGCCTCTCTTTTTGGTATTGGGTAACTTTATAAGGAACCTAGGACTACAAAAACGGAATAAGGGTACTACTGGGCATCCTAGCTGGTTAGGAGGTAGGAGTCTTCCAGGATCTAGGGTTTCACAAGGATCTCTATCGTGCCGGTAGCTCTGGGACCACACTTGGTGCGGCGAAGGGCTTAGCTTGAGGGCTTATGGTTCATACCCTAAACCCTCAACCCCAAGACCAGAAACCCCTAAACCCCTAAACCCTAAGACCTTGAACTAAACCCTTAACCCGCTGTGAGTGAGAAGGTCTGGCCGCCAAAGTGCGGCTCGACAACCCTTGCAGGCCGCAACCCAACTCACTAAACCCCTCTTCCGCTCAACCCTGAAGGAAACACGAGCTGTTGAAGAAGGTCCCAGCAGTCAGCAGCATCCGGTTCGCGTGTTCATGAACATAAGGTTTAGGGTTTAGGGTTTAGGGTTTAGGGCTTAGGGTTTAGGGTTTAGGGTTCGCGTGTTCATAAACATAAGCCTTAACCCAAGCCCTGGGCCCTGAACTCTGCGCCGCTCTGAAAAGATGTCGGACTTGGTCTTGGAGGTCGAGAGGTCTAAACCAGGACTCAAGACGCAAAGGCCTGAACATGAAACCTTGCACCCGAAGGACCCAAGGACAGGAGTTGAAGACCCTCTGTTCCGACACTGCAAGATTACAGAAGCCGCGGTGGGCCTGCGTGCCACCCAGCTTATTGCCGAACCACCATCCTCCCAGCAGCTGAGTTACTTGAGCATTTGTTGGGTGTATAGCCACACGACGCTCCAAGACCCTGGACCTTTCAGCAATGAGGTATACTACGATCGGTTAGGTTAACAGGCTTTAGACTTGTAACATAGGGTTTTGGGCTTTGGGTATAGCGTAGCGCTGTTTATCCTAAGCCTGTAAGTCAAAGGGTAATTATACTTAGGATGGTTGAAATGGCGAGCATCGGTAAGCATGCGCCTGGAGCTTGCTGAGCGCCATACGTGCAACTCTACGGAAACTCTGCCACTACATCACCAGTTGGAATTCAGGGCTTCTGGCCAGTCAAGTCTAGTGGGTCAAGTTGACTGTTGGAGCAGACAGACTTGAGGAAAAGGGGCCCGATCAAGACCCCGAGCCCGAAACCCTGAACCCTAAAATAAAACCCCTAACACCCTAAACTCTTACATAAAGCCAAAAACTCTAAAGCTCTACACCCTGAGCCCTAGACCCCTAAAGCCCTAAACCCCAAACACTAGAAGCCCAACTCCGAGATCTTCACAGATCTCGTCCTTCGAAGCTGGGTCCATCCCGGGAGTCCCAGTAGTAGAGGTAGACCTCCGCCAGAGTTTGGATTCCTTTTGGAGTTCCTTTCAGGGTCCTTGCAGGGGATCTACAGGGCTCCTTTAAGGGTTTTGGGGGTTCAGGGTTTATCCCAGCCAAGCGCAATTTTGGGACTTCTTGAATTCTTGGCCTGTTGTGAATTCTTTCTGGGCTTGAGAAAACCTTTGTAGTGTCTTGCAGGCTCTTTCCAGAACGGCTTTTCGGGCCGTCCGGCACATGACTTAAGCTTACACAAGACGGAATATGTGTTCTTGCACGTTCCTATTGGGAGAAAGGTACAGTCCGGTGTCTGGAAGATCTCCGGCTCTGGTATAAGGTCCTTAACCATGAGAATAGGGTTTTGGGGCCCACTATACGGTAATTGTACTAAGGAACCACCAAAATGCTATTGGTAATTATGAAGACCCCTATAGTAGGGTGCTTAGTAATGAGGGGCATGCTTTCGTCTGCTTAGATGAGCCAAGGAACCCCAAGGATCAGAACTTCTATACAAGGTTCAGGGCTTCCAGCCAAAACCCACCTTTAGAACCGTAACAAAAAAGGGGAGTTGTGTTTGCTTCATGCTCTCTTGGGTTTTAGAGGACCAAAAAGTAAGCATGATTCTTAAAAAGACTATAGCGGCAGGCTAGTAGGCTTCGAGACTAGGATACCCAGTAACCTAAGAATAAAAAGGCCTCTCTTTTTTGGTATTGGGTAACTTTATAAGGAACCTAGGACTACAAAAAGGGAATAAGGGTACTACTGGGCATCCTAGCCCCTAATTTTCGGAACCCCTAAACCCTTTATAGAACCCTTATAGATCCCTTTAAGGAACCCTTATAGATCCCTTTAAAAAGGGAATAAGGGTACTACTGGGCATCCTAGGAGATAGCACGGACAAAGAGGGGAAGGGCACTACGGGCACCTGAGACCAAGGCAGGCTTCGGGTTCAGAGTCGGTTTAGGGTTTAGGATTTAGGGTTTAGGGTTTAGGATTTAGGGTTTAGGGTTTAGGGTTTAGGGTTTAGGATTTAGGGTTTAGGGTTTAGGGTTCAGGGTTCAGCAGCTCTGGTCGAGCAGTATCTAGTCAAGTTCGCTAGTAAGAACTTGGAAGAATACCCACCCACCCAAAGAATCCCAAAACATAAGAGTTAGAAAGTTTTTTTCGTTACCTTTAAACGACATCAAACCTCAAACCCTACGCCTCGATTTCCAGGCATACTTATGTTTCTATTGCTGCAGTACAGAAAGAAGCATGACACATTTCAGGCCGGAAATGTGTCATCTTTTCCGCCTTACAGAAAGAAGCATGACACATTTCAGGTCGGAAATGTGTCATCTTTTCCGCCTTACAGAAAGAAGCATGACACACTAAAGCCCAAACCCTAGGCCCTAAACCCTAAAGCCCAAACCCTAGGCCCTAAACCCTAAAGCCCAAAAGGCCCTAAACCCTAAAGCCCAAACCCTAGGCCCTAAACCCTAAAGGCCAAACCCTAGGCCCTAAACCCTAAAGCCCAAACCCTAGGCCCTAAACCCTAAAACCTAGAAAATACAAGGTGAACATTTGGGGGGTCCATACGAAAACCTAGCTGAACCACCGGGGGGTCCATACGAAAACCTAGCTGAACCACCGGGGGGTCCATACGAAAACCTAGCTGAACCACCGGGGGGTCCATACGAAAACCTAGCTGAACCACCGGGGGTCCATACGAAAACCTAGCTGAACCACCGGGGGGTCCATACGAAAACCTAGCTGAACCACCGGGGGGTCCATACGAAAACCTAGCTGAACCACCGGGGGTCCATACGAAAACCTAGCTGAACCACCGGGGGGTCCATACGAAAACCTAGCTGAACCACCGGGGGTCCATACGAAAACCTAGCTGAACCACCGGGGGGTCCATACGAAAACCTAGCTGAACCACCGGGGGGTCCATACGAAAACCTAGCTGAACCACCGGGGGGTCCATACGAAAACCTAGCTGAACCACCGGGGGGTCCATACGAAAACCTAGCTGAACCACCGGGGGTCCATACGAAAACCTAGCTGAACCACCGGGGGGTCCATACGAAAACCTAGCTGAACCACCGGGGGGTCCATACGAAAACCTAGCTGAACCACCGGGGGGTCCATACGAAAACCTAGCTGAACCACCGGGGGGTCCATACGAAAACCTAGCTGAACCACCGGGGGTCCATACGAAAACCTAGCTGAACCACCGGGGGGTCCATACGAAAACCTAGCTGAACCACCGGGGGGTCCATACGAAAACCTAGCTGAACCACCGGGGGGTCCATACGAAAACCTAGCTGAACCACCGGGGGTCCATACGAAAACCTAGCTGAACCACCGGGGGGTCCATACGAAAACCTAGCTGAACCACCGGGGGGTCCATACGAAAACCTAGCTGAACCACCGGGGGTCCATACGAAAACCTAGCTGAACCACCGGGGGGTCCATACGAAAACCTAGCTGAACCACCGGGGGTCCATACGAAAACCTAGCTGAACCACCGGGGGGTCCATACGAAAACCTAGCTGAACCACCGGGGGGTCCATACGAAAACCTAGCTGAACCACCGGGGGTCCATACGAAAACCTAGCTGAACCACCGGGGGGTCCATACGAAAACCTAGCTGAACCACCGGGGGGTCCATACGAAAACCTAGCTGAACCACCGGGGGTCCATACGAAAACCTAGCTGAACCACCGGGGGGTCCATACGAAAACCTAGCTGAACCACCGGGGGGTCCATACGAAAACCTAGCTGAACCACCGGGGGTCCATACGAAAACCTAGCTGAACCACCGGGGGGTCCATACGAAAACCTAGCTGAACCACCGGGGGGTCCATACGAAAACCTAGCTGAACCACCGGGGGTCCATACGAAAACCTAGCTGAACCACCGGGGGGTCCATACGAAAACCTAGCTGAACCACCGGGGGGTCCATACGAAAACCTAGCTGAACCACCGGGGGTCCATACGAAAACCTAGCTGAACCACCGGGGGGTCCATACGAAAACCTAGCTGAACCACCGGGGGGTCCATACGAAAACCTAGCTGAACCACCGGGGGTCCATACGAAAACCTAGCTGAACCACCGGGGGGTCCATACGAAAACCTAGCTGAACCACCGGGGGGTCCATACGAAAACCTAGCTGAACCACCGGGGGTCCATACGAAAACCTAGCTGAACCACCGGGGGGTCCATACGAAAACCTAGCTGAACCACCGGGGGGTCCATCCTAGCTGAACCACCGGGGGAAAACCTAGCTGAACCACCGGGGGGTCCATACGAAAACCTAGCTGAACCACCGGGGGGTCCATCCATAAAACCTAGCTGAAACCACCGGGGGGTCCATACGAAAACCTAGCTGAACCACCGGGGGTCCATACGAAAACCTAGCTGAACCACCACCGGGGGTCCATACGAAAACCTAGCTGAACCACCGGGGGGTCCATACGAAAACCTAGCTGAACCACCGGGGGGTCCATACGAAAACCTAGCTGAACCACCGGGGGGTCCATACGAAAACCTAGCTGAACCACCGGGGGTCCATACGAAAACCTAGCTGAACCACCGGGGGGTCCATACGAAAACCTAGCTGAACCACCGGGGGGTCCATACGAAAACCTAGCTGAACCACCGGGGGTCCATACGAAAACCTAGCTGAACCACCGGGGGGTCCATACGAAAACCTAGCTGAACCACCGGGGGGGGGGTCCATACGAAAACCTAGCTGAACCACCGGGGGGTCCATACGAAAACCTAGCTGAACCACCGGGGGGTCCATACGAAAACCTAGCTGAACCACCGGGGGTCCATACGAAAACCTAGCTGAACCACCGGGGGGTCCATACGAAAACCTAGCTGAACCACCGGGGGGTCCATACGAAAACCTAGCTGAAAACCTAGCTGAACCACCGGGGGTCCATACGAAAACCTAGCTGAACCACCGGGGGGTCCATACGAAAACCTAGCTGAACCACCGGGGGGTCCATACGAAAACCTAGCTGAACCACCGGGGGGTCCATACGAAAACCTAGCTGAACCACCGGGGGGTCCATACGAAAACCTGGCTGAACCACCGGGGGGTCCCGAACGAAAACATGGCTCAACATTTAAATACTCATTTGAAAGAGAGGGTTTAGGATTTAGGGTTTAGGGTTTAGGGTTCCAATACCCCTTAATTTCAGAATATTTACCCCTAAGGGTTCCTGATAAAGGGATCTATAAGGGCTCTATAAAGGAATTCAGGATGCCTTTAACTCATATTAGGAGTCCTACTAAAACTTTCCTTAATTGAGGGATATTGGAGTCTCTGAGAAGCATCAAAAGTGCATTCAGTGCAGCGCACGAGCACCCTGCACCACCCACATCCAACCTTCCAAAGCTGACACCCTGCCATCCCTAACTCAAACCTGGACCTACACCCCAAGCCCTGAATGCAAGGTACGGAGCACAGCACCGACAAACTTCAAGCCTCCACGAAGTCTCCTGTCCTGGCTACTAGCGTGTCGGGATTTAGGGTGATTGCTCTAGTATTCATCCAAACCCTCTGCCAAACTCCGCGGACAGGCCTGAGCCCATCGTAGAAGCCTCCAAACCTAATCCAACATTTATAATACACTGTATGAAGATTTCTAAACCCATAAAGACACCTTGACAAAATCCTCGAAAACACCATATCAAGCCTATTAAACCACCTTACGCAAACCTACTAAACCTTAGAGCCCCTGAAACTCTGACAGACGCTGACACCTCCAAAAAGAGTGGTACTACTCATTAAACATTTAGGGTTTGGGGTTCAGTCGTTGTCGCTTGATTTTGCTTATCGTTTTACAGGCCAAACCACAGAGGGGGCATCCTAGATCAAACTACTGAAACTTCTTTGTGTGTTCTGATTGTCCACCCTAGTATGGAATCTATCAAAACTCTACAGAGAAGTAGGTTGTGCCAGGTTCAGGTAGCCGTACAAAAAATGGATCACAAAAGACTCCGAAAGCCAGACCTGGACGAAACGTTAAGTTATGCTCTGTCACATAGACTGTCTTTCCCTAAGGGTTTGGGGTGTTGGGATTCAAGGTTTAGGGCTTCTTTCGAGTTTAGGTATTGGGGGTTTTGCTCAAAGGCAAGCCTGTTGAAAAACAGCCCGAAACACGAGACGCTAGACGTTGAACACTAAACTCCAAACAGCTAAATTTGGAGCAGGCCCGCACGACATACTCTCGTCTGCTAAGTTTAAAAGCGTTTGACTAAGGAACCGAGCCTTCATGTAATCTCTATAATAAAGACCCAGAATACCTCAAATAATATGCGCGTTAATGGTTGGAGGAGGGGTTAGAAGGGGGTACTATCAACCATTATTCTCACCCCTTTTGTCCGAGAAACAAAACTGGACAGGCCCTAAACCCCAAACACTATGTCAGAGTCCTGAAAAACAAAACTGAACGTGCCAGTGACACCCGCCCTTGTTCGGCAGCTTCTGAAAAAACTTTCTTCCATGATTGGCCCCTTTCTCGACGTAGTCGCCCACCAGGGTCCTGTTGGTGCTGTAGGCTTGCAGGTGTTGGGTTCAAGGCCGTTAAAGCCCCAGACTGCAAAACCCCACAAAAACCCTGGTTCTGGTGGGCAGATTGTACTACATCTTGATTTTTAATTAAGGGGCCCTGAGGAATTTGATGAATTCAATTGCTAATCATTCACGCCTCTAGATTCGACTTCTAACACCGATGCCTCAACACCCCACCCTGAACCGAAAGCTGAGTCTCAGACTTCGATCTGTAGCAGTCATAAGCTGGTCTAGGTGCACTACAGCAGAACCAGAAGGGCTGAGGACCCCTTAGTTCTAAGAAACGGAGCACTTTTTAACTTATGGCCGGGTTATCTGTTCAGGGTTTACCGTCTTCCTGGGTTGGGCATCCTCCGGCAAAGGGATGGATGAGGCTATCACGGCACCCTACACCCCAACCCCCAAACTCGACCCAAGTATTCAGCTTCCAAGCTGGAGAAGCCGAGGCCCTAAACCCAAACATCTCCAAAACCCTATCACCCTATTTCCCTCAGGTTTAAGAACCTACATAGAACCCTAAACAGAAAGGTTGTATAGGGTTAAAGCTTTAACCCTATTCCCCCAGTTCGGCTGCCATAGATCCTTCAACCCTAAACCGTATTCCATAAGTTCGGCGCCCTAAATCCCCAAAAACCCAAAAACCCAAACCCGTAAATCATATAATACTATAATACTAGAATACTAGAATACTAAAATACTATAATACGATAATGCTATAACCCTATTTCCCCCAATTCCGGGGGGCCTTATCCCCTAAAACCCCAAACCCCTAAACCCCAAACCCCTAAATCCTATAATACCATAATACCTCAACCGTATTCCTCCGGTTCCGCAGGATTAGTATACTACTAGAATACTAAAATACTAAAATACCATAATACTATAACCCTATAACCCTATTTGGGGGGGGCCTGATGACGACCTCGCCCTGGTCGTTGCCCTTTGAGATGACCGTGTAGTTGGAGGCCCCAGGTAAGGCAGAGGCTCCCTGAAGTGGGCGTTTATAGGGTTTAGGGTTTAAGGCTTTTTTTAGGGTTTAAGGTTTTCTTTTTAGGGTTTAAGGTTAAGGGTTTAGGGTTTAGGTTCAGAGGCTCCCTGAAGTAGGCTCTCATCGGAACTTAGAGAGAGGACTTAAGGGCTTAGGGCTTCATCAGGTTTTATATGAACTGAAGGCGTTTATAGGGTTTTACATGAACTTCCTAAGCGTGTGGTCTTTCTTCCATAAGGTTCAGAGGCTCCCTGAAGAAGGCTTTGATCGGAATTTTAGGGTTTGGGGGCTTTGGGGTTTAGGGGCTAAGAGGTTTAGGGTTTAGGGTTTGATCGGGTTCTACTGTTGATGGACAAAATCCTGCATGACCCTAAGGACTCTAAACTATGGGAACTATGGTATAATGAGTAATGCAGGATTTTGTCCATCAGCAGTATAGGAACTTCCAAGTCGGTGTTATAGGGCTTGAAGCCCTAAACCCCTGCACCCTAAACCCCTTACTTGGAGGGGCAGGGGACTTAGTAAGTAGGTCATAAGTAGGGTTATAATTGGGGTAACTCCATTTAGGGTACTTATAACTCTACTGATAACCTACTTACTAAGTCCCCTGCCCTTCCAAGTAAACCCCTGCACCCTAAACCCCTTAGAGGACGTTGCAGGCAGGTTGGCCCTTTGAAGATAGCCCTCAGCACAATCGGTGCCGTGAGCCTTCGGCACCGTTGAAAAAAAACGGAATCAGGGAGGGGTTTAGGGTTTAGGGTTTAGCGTTTAGGGTAAACCTATCCTATTTGCTTTAAGGTCTGATTTGCAAAATTTGGTCGGAGGTTGTTTGCATGTAGGGGTCGGGCGTTTCCGTCGTTCTCTCAGTCAAAGCATGTCTAGACTCGTTGTTGAAGTTCAACCCCCGTCACTTCGAGCCTTTCCGAGCTGCCCTTAACATATCACCCTGGACCCTAACACATCATAACCAACGACGAGGTTTAGAGTGCCGGGCTTAGGAACTAGAATCTCTAACATCGGGTTTAGGGCTTTAGTGTTGAGGGCTGCGGGCTTGTGTTGTGAACCCTGCCCTGCCACACTTCCAGAGACTCCAATATCCCTTAATCAACCAATATTCCTTGAATCATATTAGGGATCCTAGTATAATTTATGGCTACATTCCTTAATTCCCTGATAGAACCCATGATAGATCCCTTTAAGGAACCCTTCAAAGAACCCTTAGTCAGGCATATTACTTACTTGAGGGATATTGGTTAGAAGCTGGCCCCACCCTGTAATAGTGGTATAATAGGAATATATGAATATATATATATATATATATATCTTAATATAGGAATATAATCGGGCCCTAATATAATTCTTATAGTCACTATTACAGGGTGGGGGCAGCTTCTAAGATACGGGAGTTTCCGAAAATTAAGGGTACCTTATTTTGGGGGTCCTGATAATAAGGATCCTACTATTCGGGGTACTATATTCGGGTCCCCTATTTTCGGAAACTCCTATATTGGTTTCTCTGGGCTTCGGAGATCAGGCCTGTGCGCTCGCCGACCTGGCAGTTGTTGGGGCCACAGGTAACTGCTTGGAAGGGCAGGGGACTTAGTAAGGGCTCTTAAAGGGCTCCTTAAAGGGATCTATAGGGTTCCTTAAAGGGGTCTATGGGGTTTAGGGTTTAGGGTCTACTTGGAAGGGTAGGGGACTTAGTAAGTAGGTTATAAGTAGAGTTATAATTACCCTAAATGGAGTTACCCCAATGATAACCCTACTTATAACCTACTTACTAAGTCCCCTGCCCCTCCAAGTAAGGGGTTTAGGTTGGGTACGGCCCCCATACAGTAACAGTCTAGAATAGGGCTACTATTAAGGTCGTGATATATCTGTATTATGAATATTAACCAACTGTTAGTGAGTGGGGGCAGTACCTAAGGTTTAGGGTTTAAGTGTTTACCTGAAGTTACCACAATAAAAAAACCACACCATTTTCTATAGATCCCTATTATGGTAGCTTACATTAAATCCCTGAACAAAAATCCCAGGCAAAGACTCAGGGTTTGGGATTTCGGCTCTACCTTAACCTGCCAGAACTCCCTTGTTTGTAGGGTTCCGAGAAATCCACAGAAGATTAGGTTATGGTAGTTTAAAGTAGGTTGTATAACCTGATAAGGACTGATATTTCAGGCTTTGCGGTTCAAAGACCATAGTACATGCGAGCTTGGGGATTGGCAATCAGGGTTTGAGATGACATACCAGTAAAGCCGATCAAAAGGCCCGAAACACCCCTACCCTTGCCTGAGCCGAAAGAGCGACACCAAGTACGCAAGCAGAAAATACCTGAAATAAAATTCTTCAAGAAGCCCCTCGGCCACAAATCACCGGGTACAGTTTGAAGCTTAACTAGGGCCGGAGGAGTTGAAGATGCCTTGTCACGGTTTTCCTATGTCAAGTTTCCAACAAAGTCTGGAGGACGCGCCGTGTGCGTTGAAGAGATACATGCCTGCATAATCCGAACCTGTAGGCCTACAACTTCTGAAATAGTCGGTTATGACCCCAATATTTTACGGCATAACCCTTAAAACGACCGGGTTTTCGGATCCCAGGAAATCCCTGAAATCTCAAGGCAGCCAAATGGCTCTGAGACCCCGTAGCCGGTATAAGGTTTAGGGATTAGGGTTCAGTGTTTAGGGATTAGGGCTCGGAACTCTAACTGAGGGGCTGAATATCCTGGACCAAGCAATGGCAATGCTCGGCCTTTGAAGTAAAGCTCTAAGGACTCATAATGTGCGGATTTTGGGCTCGAGGACCTGCTATACAAGGCTGTTGGGCTATGCTGAGCATTACCTATAGTCTCCATTGTAGTTCCTTTTTTTGGTTTAACCAGTTTTATATTCAGGATCCTAAAAGGTAACCCCAAAAAGGAACTACAATGGAGACTGCAGGTAGGGTTGAAGTGTAGTAGGATTATATAGGTTTCACAAGGTTAAAGGATGTTAATTAAAGGCTACCGACTCAGCTGGTGAATACATTGCCCCGCACCTTCGACTGAGGGCTTTGGCCCCACCGTTTTCTCGTGAAGCGGCGTAGCAATGACAGCTTCGCAAGCCAACGCTGCAAAACTCCAGTGCTAGAGAGGGGGTCCGGTGAAACGTTGCGAGAGCCAAGTCCTACCTTCGTAGGTTAAACCCTACCTGGACCCTAAGGGACATACGGTTTTAGGATTCCTTCTTATGACTTCCTTCTATGGGTCCTTAAACAGGTAAGTTATTGGGGTTAAGGTAAACCTCAATCCTAAAGGGAACTCCAGAAAGTTGGAATATGGTTTCAGGGCAGGATACCCTATAATTTACCATAAAGGGTTTAGGATAATCATATTCCAACTTTCTGGCTTTTACTTTAAACGAAAAACTCTTCACCCACAACAACCCTGAACCCTGCCATGACCTCGCAAGCATCCTGGTGAGATCCCCGCCCAAAGTATCCTGAAATCAGAGAGCCCGTCTATGGTCCTTGAATCGCGGGCATGTAAGGTCTAAAGTGGTTTAATAGAGCGTGGTTGGGGGGTCCAGGTAGCCAAGATGATTCCTCAAGTTCTCACGAAGGGCGTGTTGCCGCAGGCGATGAAGCCGAGGCTGAAGAGCAGAAGGCCCATGTTCAAGAAGGTGCCTGCTGCTGAACTCACCTGAACCTCCATGGTGGTCGTGGTTGTGGAGGTGGTGGTTGTGCTGGGGCACATGCTGGCGTTTGCACCTTGCATGGCCACCTTGTAGGAACCAGTGCAGGAATCTAGAGATGGCTGCGCCACACAAACGTTGGGATCAAGGCTGCAAGATAGGCCACTGTAGTAGCACATCACAAGTGCGTCCCCCTGGCACACATACTTAAAGCTGCGGGCTCCCGCCATGCTGTCAGTGGTCGCGCAGACCTCGAGGGGATAAACTGATATGTTCTCTGGAGTTGTCTCGCAGTCTTTATCCGTGTAGTAGGCGAAGGAAATTGAGTAAGCTGTCACCAAAGTCACCTTGGAGGTAGTCTTGTCCACCTCATTTCCACAATGGTCAACCCAGTTGATCGCCATGTCTTGCGGGTCTGTGCAGTTGGGATTTCCGTGCGACTCGATTTCTACAGTCACGGCGTGAGGGCGGGGCACAATGGCAATGGACTTGGAATCATCACATCTGCCAACCTGCCCAATGACAGAGCTTTCCGTCCTGAAGGGCGGAGAGAACAAGCCTGAACTTGGTGTTTCTACTTCTTCTGCTTTACACCCCAAAGTTCAGAGTTTCTACTAGTAATTCGCGAAAACGAAAAGAACTCTAAACTATCCTCAAGCCTAGAACCAATACATAAATCCCTAACAGCTTCCAGTTTGGGCGCTGCCCACAGTGGCCTGGTATCGCTTGTGCAGTCGCTGCTGTTGAACGAGTCCCTGATCACCCATTCAAACTGCGCGGCAGTCAATGCAGGTATGGCCAGAAAAAGCCCCAACCCCTGGCCCTTTGCCAGCATGTTCTCCGGCAGTGCACAGGAAGAGCGACATAAACTCTGAACAATCTCGGGCCCAAAGCTTTGTCGGGGGCTCAAGGTTTAGGGATGTTGAGGGGATGAGGTGCAGGGTTTAGGGTTATGGGGTAGGAAAGGCCAATACTCATTGAATTCTAAGGAGTATACGCTAGATCTTAATATTACGTTCCTCCTGACTTTAGGAGGGGTCTTGAGCTGTCTGTCTCTCTGGGTATCTAAGCTGGTTTACACGCTTCTTCAGTTGCTGAATTCATGAGCACTTTAAACTTGCAGTCTGGTAGGAAATAAGATTATCCCAACATGTGTAAAGTGTACCCATTCTGAAAACCCCTACACTGCACCCATTAAACCTCAGTAAACCCAAAACCCTCACCCCTAACCCCTAAACCCTAACCCTACCACAAAGACACGCAGAAACGAACACTCAGTTACTGAGGTCGCGACGGCTGGGAGCTGCCAGCAGCCTGCCATGCACTGACCCTGAAACCAAACCGGAAGCTCCGCACCAAGAAACCCGCTAGTCAAGCTTCTTTTAAAGGGGTTTCCAGGGTGCGTTTAAGAAGTTCAATAATCAAGGTTCTATAAAATATATAGGGCCTTAACAATTAGAATAGGGTTTTGGTTTATATCGTACTATAACTAGAATAAGGAACCCTCAACATAGTATAGGTACTTGTCAAGGCCTCTCTATGAGCTCGAAAGGGTATAGGGATCTAGTTGCAGATCTTCGAGGTTGGTCCAGGTCGTTTAGACTTCGCGCGCTGGGTGTTGGGAATCAGGTTTACGACCATTGCTTTGGGGACAAGGGAACAAAGGGTGTGGTCTGCAAACAACCAGTCATCCGATACTGCTGCAAATTCATAGTGATGATAAGAATCCGGTTGTTCGAAGGCTTTTTAGAGGGACGGAGTATATAACGGCTTTGCAAAGAGAATGGTGAAGAAGCGGTCTATAATACGGCAGTTTAACAGCTTCAGTTTGCAAAGAGGTTTGGGTAACTTGATTGGACTGTTTTGGGGCGGGGTGTAGTATAGCCCACCTGGTTCATATATGCTTGGGCTGCTTGTGGAATTAGGAATTAGGCCTCAAAAACCATTCTCATCATGGTTTTGCGAACCTACTTCCATAACAGTAGTGTGTATATGGACTCTCTTGAAACTATCATAAGATTGAGAATTATCGCGGAGTCTTGTTGCTAATTGTTCCGACCCCTGTACTAGCTCTTTACTCTCGGCCTTTGCTGAGAACATTCTGAATTCAATGTGCGAGGTTTTCTGGATTCGGGGCTTGGGGTGCAGGGTTTTGGAACCTAAAGGGTTCTAGAGTTCTTTTTTTTTGAAGGCCCTTTCCCTCACTGCTACAGTCGGAATACCTATCTGTTTTAGAGTTCTAGAGCGCAGGATTTCTACATGACTTTCGGGTTGTGGGAAAGGAGTCTAGAGTCGTGAAGCCCGAACTGCAAGAAAAGCTCGCCTGCTGCGCCTGCTGCTGCTGTTGCTGGAGCAATTGCTGTTGTAGCAGCTGCTGTTGGTTCATGTGTTGCTGGTTCATCTGTGGCTGTTGCTGGCCCATGGCCTGTCCCATGGACCCTCCAGTCTGCTGCTGGAGCTGCATTTGCCTGCAAAGCAAGCCCAGAGACTCCAATATCCCTTAAATAAGGAATATTCCCGAAGTTATAGTAGGATCCCTAGTATGATGGGCATAGTCCTTAAATTATGCCCAATATGAAGGAATGTTCCTTAAATGTTACTTAGTATGATTTAAGGAATATTCTTAATTAAGGGATATTGGAGTCTCTGGGAGGGCAAACTTTCAGGCGCAGCCGCATACTTCCTGCTGGAATCTGCTAGCCCCACGGTTTGCTAACACCGAGAATACCAACAACTGCATGGATAGTTCTCTAAACTAGGGTCGCTCGTTTAGGGTCCTTGTTATCAGAGAGTCGTACTATTCTTGGGAGCATAAAAGTAGCCCTACTAGAGAATTACCTGTACGCTGATAGCAACACCGTCGCCATCGAGACCCGCAACAACAGCTCGTATTTCAATATCAACAAACAAGAAGAGCAATCGCTTGAAGTCTAGGATGACAAGATGACGAGGAAGAGGGTGCCAGGTGCTACCCATCCAGAACTGCCTACTCCACCGAACGTGCATCTTGCAGTCTTGCCAGCATACGATCCCATCTGCAAAACACCGTGTACGGAAGTCGTCTGTGAACAGTTGCCCCAATGTAGCTGTGCGACAACAGCGTCCCTACAGTTACTATACCCCTTAGAACCATGGTAAAAACAATGTTTATTATGGTCTCTGGGGCTTTATGTGAACAAGAATACAAAACAACTCAGAAGGAGACTATAGTCTATAGACGACCATGGTGCATTGTGAAGACAGGTTTTTGGCACGAGGCAGCAGAAGGCATATGCCCTAAGGTCATTGTCAAAGAGGGTCTCGCACTTGGACAGCAGTACAGGCTGTACGGCTCTGTTCTTCGGTAGGTCGTAAAGGTAGCGATTTAGGGTTTCGGGTTTAGGGTTTAGGTCCTCCCAAGCCAACAGGAACTATACTACCGGGAAATGGGAAAAACACCAGGCTTCGCAGCACAGTGACCCACAATGAAAGTCTACGCACCAAGTTAGCCGAGCGGCAACTGCTGCTGCTGAAGCTGCTGCTGTTGCAGCTGCTGCTGCTGCATGGGCGTCAGCTGCTGTTGCGCCTGCTGTTGAGGGAACCTGGAGGAACGAATGGAAGGAACACTCTCAAAGCAACCCTCAGATCTGTATGGGCTCTGAACCGGGGACCCTTAGCCCTAAACCCTCGACCCTAGAAACTATACACCCCAAGCCCATACAGCCACAAGAAGTCCTATTATCCCAAACCCTAAACCCATGCTAGAACCTCTCGACCCGAGACCACGTACCATACACCCTCATAGGTCTAAGGGTAGGGGTATTAGGGTTTAGGGTTTAGGGGAGGATAGGGGTATTAGGGTTTAGGGTTGTGAGATCACTGGTCATGAGCAGGGTGCTGAGCTAAGGGATGCGGATCGACAGCTTGGGTGCTGAAGCTCTCTACGATAAGAAGTAGTGAGGCGTGATGAGGCGTGCATGTTGCAAGCAACAGGTCCCGTAAACTCTCTTTCCTAGACCCTCTACAACAGTAAGCCCTGAACCATATACTGGAACTAAGGCTAAACCCAGAAGCCCTCCACACGAAAGCCTAAAGAAACCCTCTCCCCAAATTCGAAAACCTCCCACCCCAACACCCCTCAACCCCCAAGCCCATACCCTCGTCCTGTGCCCTAAAGCCCTAAACCCTAAACTTCAGTCCGTTTCCTCAAACCCCTCGAACCCTTCAAGGAATCTTTAAAGAACCTCTTGAAGAAAGCTCCCAACCCCCACCCTCAACATATCAGCTCCTCCCAACCGCTCACTGCAACGTAGGGGTGTGAACATTTAGGGTATAGGACTCCTGTAAGTACTGTGCAGGATCGCAAAAGCTTATTCCGGGATCTATATGAGCTTGGCCGGAAACATTCGAATAGGGTTCTGAGGTATAATCTTGTTGCATGGCTATAGCAGGAGCCTAGGGGAATATTATTGCCAAATGTTCAGACCCCCAACTTATAGGCTTTATTGGGGACTGTACACGGTAAGGCATATACCACCGCCGTTCTTTTAGTGACTAAACTTTTAGAGGGTGGTGGTGGTATTCATTCCTGCAATGATCATTATTTCATCGTTGTGGCGGACGTACTGCTGTCATCGTACAGCGACTCTCGCAAGAGATGATTAATGATACTAGTTATTCCGCTCCTTGTTTTGAATTCTGGAGATGTCGAGAAGTGTCTCTGCAAGTTGATGCTTCTAATTACTCATGATTCCGCCGGAAAAGGTAGCACTTGAGGATTAGTCCTTGGAACTTCACAATATGCTTCTAGTGATTCTCGTGCCGAGGGTGATCCCCCGGAAAAGGGGGCACTTGAGGCTTTGGCCTTGGAACTTCACACGTGTGTGGCTTGGCGTTTGTTTTGGGTTGAGGGTGTTGAGGCTCTAGCTTAGTCCACTGCCCTGAACCGTGGCTCAATACCAGAACCATGGGCCGGCCATCTCAACTCCCCAAACATGTAGGGCTACCTACTATGTAAATACTTTTGACCCCAGGCCTTAAACCGCACACCCCTGCGCAAGCCCTAAACCCGAAGCACAGAATGAGCTGTTGAAGGAACCCTTGAAGGAATACACGTGAAATCCCCGCATCATTTTCTGGGCTTTGAGGTAACCAAGGAGAAAAGTTACAAACTTTTCTTTCATAATGGCTCCTTTAAGGAACAGGTGCCAAAATACAGCATTCAAGTATGGTACCCCAAACCCAGAGACTCCAATATCCCTTAATTAAGGAATATTCCTGAAATCATATTAGGGGCCCTACTATAGTTTAAGGAATAATCCTATTGGAGTCTCTGCGAACCCAGGTTTTGTGTCGTCCCAGCTGCTGGCCCTGGTTTTGCCCCATCTGTTGCTGCAGCTGCTGCCTCGGCTTGCACAAAGGTAGTTCTCTAAACTAGATCCCTTTTAGGATACATCTGGGTTCTGTAGTAAGGTTCCCGTCTAATGGTACTATAGGGTTCTGTGAAACCTGCATTGAAAGGGCCGTAAAGGGGGTTAAAGGGGTCCGGGGTCTTGTTGGGTCTTTGAAGGTCTTGTAAGTTTTTGTCTTGAAAACCCCTTGAACAGGTTCAGCGACTGACGGGTCGCTTCTTTCCAGTTTAAAGGGGGGGCTTCAAGGGGGCTTAAAGGGGGGCTTAAGGGGGGCTTTGGTAGGCAGACAGGTACGTGGGCAGGTATGTTGGTTGGTAGGTAGGAAAGCAGGCAGGCAGGAGGTAGGTAGGTAGGTAGGTAGGTAGGTACGTGCGTAAGGGCGCAGGGAGTTGGAGTGGGACTTGGGGAAGGTAAGTTGGCGGCAGGTCAGGCAGGTAGGCAGTTGGGCAGACATGTAGCCAAGAACACACCAGTCTACAGAGACATTGGCAAGCGGGATGTCACAGAAAAGCATGGGCAAGCACAGACACCAGAATAGCCTGTTGCAGCATGCCGTAAGACACGACGTACACATGGCATAACGGAACCAACTTAAAGCATCAGCTACTGACCGAAGCCAGAACAGTTCATAGTTCAGCAATTGCTACTTGGATGCATGGCTGCTGTACATGTGTAAAGTAGAAGTCGGAACACTGGAACGCTGGCATGACAGAGGTAGACGTAGCACAACATCTCCCTGATTGTTGGTTCCGACAGGCGTTCCTCTTTGCACGGATGTTGGACCCTAGTTTATGTGCGAAATATGCCAACTATACATGCGTGCATCCATGCTGGTGTCTATGATATCTATACGATCTATACCTATATCTACATATCTACGTCTACATCCATAGTCCATAGTCTACAGTCTACGGTCTATACCTATATAAACAAGTAAACACACACACATATATATATATATATATAGATAGATCCGAATGTATATACACGTTAACATGCTTTATTCAGACACAAACGGACATTGGACATGTATAGGAACAGCGCCAAGTACGCCAAAGGGCTGCAGAAGCTGCTGCTGATTCATCTGCGGCTGCATGGCCTGCTGCTGCATGAGCTGTTGCTGCCTCAGAACAGGGTTTACTTGAAGGGGCAGGGGACATAGTAAGTAGGTTATAAGTAGAGTTATAAGTACCCTAAATGGAGTTACCCCAATTATAACCCGACTTATAACCTACTTACTAGGTCCCCTGCCCCTCCAAGTAGGAATTAGGGCTTCAAAAACTAAACCTTCTGCCTCAGTAGTTCAGGGTCCTTTAGGGATCTTATAGGGCTCTACAGTAGGATTCCCTCTAAAGGTTCCGTTAAGGGCATTACAGGGTTCTACAATAGGGTTCCCCCTAAAGGTTCCTGTAAGGGTATTATGGGATTCCAGAATAGGGTTCCCTTTAAAGGTCCCTTTAAGGGGCATTATAGGGTTCGCCTCAGTACAGGGGATCCCAGATCTTACAAAATCGCGTTTGTCAGGAATATATCCCTTCAATTATGCCCAGCAGCCACAAAATGCTTGGGGATACAACATTAGCCTAAATGATATTCGGGACCCTGCTAGAATGTAAGGTATATTCCTTCATTTACATTCATTGGCAGGTCTGGGATTACTGTCGCAAGCTGCAAGGCTCTAACCCAGGGCATTGTTAGTTAGAAGAGGTCTTTGGGTATCATTTGAGTGGTTGTCAAAATTATTGTCCCTCTTTGAGTCCTGAATATAATACGGCACCTAATGTTTAGGGTACCCCAAAAGGGACCCGAATTGTGACAACTACCCGTACCCATTTATTCAACGACCCCTGGAATACGATAGGAAAGCACTTAGCCTGCGCTGGGCCCAGATTCCCTGAACCCTAAAACGCCCTGAACTGAAAGACTCGACAGCCTCCTATTGCGGCACCGATATCGAACATTCCGAGACACATTCTCCGAGCACATACACGCCACAGCCTGTTCGAGAAGGTCCTGCTAACTTGGGTAGCCTGAAATCTGAAAAGCCGTGGCAGAAGGTCTCAATGAAGCAAGTGTGGGCTGAGGGTGGGAATTCAGAGTAGGAGAGCCGAGCCAGTGGCTGCAGCTGCTGTTGCTGCATCATCTGCTGCTGCTGCATGAGCCTGCACCAGTCAGCAGGGCAAACGTTAACCCGTGGGACTAGATAGGGATTGTAGTAGCGTGAAAAGGTAACCGACTCCACAGCTACCCTAAACTCTATGCGCCAAACCATGTCGATTTCAAGAATCCAAAATTGAGGGACTGAGGGAGTGAGGGCGACAGAGTGGGAGAGGGAGAGGCAGAGAGGAAGAGTGTGAGAGAGGGAGTGAAACTTTGTAGTGCTCCTGTTCATGTTTGAACGAGCAGGGGAAGTCACAAATATCCCACATCGATACCTATAGATTATAGTACCACCGAAAAGGGGGGCTCGGCAGACTCAACCCAACTCCCCTCTAATACACCCTAAATAATTACCCAGGGTTTAGGGTTTAGGGTTTATTAAATACCGACTATATTCAACGATTAAGGACCATGAGGGGCTCTGCTACAAAGCCATTTGGGGGTCCTGGTTCTTTATAAGCCCCTTTCTTCCTGAGCCTTGATAAACCCTAAACCCTAAACCCCAAGCCCTATAACCTAAACCCTAAGCCCTAAACCTGAAAAAAACTCTAAACCCTAAACCCTATAAGCCCTAAACCGCCTTAATATGAGGATCCCGATCCTTCCCTAACGTCGGACACGTTGGTCCGCGGGTCTTCTTTGCGAATCCTCAATCCTGCGATCCTAAACCCGAAGGGTTTAGGGCTTCAGGGATTTGGGGGTTTAGGGTTTAGAGGTTTGCGTGCTTAGAGGTTTAGGGGTATAGAGTTTAGGAGTTTAGGGTGTAGTGAGCAGCACTAAACCCGTGAACCCCAAGCCTAATGACCCGATAGACCCCAAACCTACCCCATGAACCTCGAAACCCTAAAACCCGAGCCCCAAAACTCCAACCCAAACTGAAGGAACCTAAACCACACCTTCTCAAACGCTAGACCTTCAAAGAATAATCGAACCTTTAAAGAACCACCTAAAAGTACCCCGTAAAGGAATCTTTGAAGTTAGGGCACTGCTGCTGCTGCAGCAGTTGCTGCTGCGGCATGCCAAAGCCCATCTGCGCCATGGTAAGGCGCCCTGCATGGTCAGAAAACACAAGAAACCCTAAACCCTAAGCACTCATAAGTAATTCAGGGCTTTTAGGATTTAGGGCGCATGTACCGGCATCCTTTGCACGGGACCCTTTGAGTTTTCTACAAGGGTCGAGAGAGGATACCGGAAGGGTTTAGGCTTCGTGCCGTGCCAGTTTGTCTCAAAATATACAACCGGAAGTATGGACACTTTTGCCAGGCCCTCATGCCAAGTCCCATGAAATTGAAGGCGAATTGCAATCAAGGATTATGGGGCTTTTTGGGGCATGCAGTATTGGTAATTATTAAGTCCCCTGTAGTAGGTCTAGGGCTTCAGGTCTTTTGGAGGTTCTGTGGAGAGTGCTTGGAGCTGAAGTCTTGGGATTTCGCGCTTAGGGCGGGGGGTTCCCGACTTCCCAATTCATTACATGGGGAATAATTGCCCAAACCATAATTGACAGTAATTCCTACTATGGAAACCGTACACTCTAGTATGTAGGTTCTTAGGACCCCGTGGTTTTAAGAGATCGGATTTCAATCCTTAGCGTTCCCCGACTTCCTACTGGCACGCGAGTTTCTTTGGTTCGACAAACGGACCTACTACGAATTCACTAATTGATACCACTATAGAGAGTCTTGAATAGTTAGGAGTAGAACCCAATCCCTGCACACTTTACTGTCCGCATATATATATATATATATGTATATATGTATATATGTATATAGATATGGATATATATATATATATATATACAAATGCATACATATATGCATGCGTATATATATATATATATATATATATACACATACATATACATATGACTCAACTACTCTATTCCAATTGTTCAGGCAATTGTATTATACGTATGTGTTCATGCACATACATAATCATACATATGTACATATGTACATGTTTCTCTATCTGTAAATTTAAAGACTGAGCATCCCAGGATGAAGAAGCCCTGCTGAATGGGACCGAGCCTGCCCCAGTGGGCGGGCCGGAGCGCAGCAGAGACGCACCCTAACGGAAGGGGGAAAAAACGCCTACGCTGCGGCCGGAAGACAAGCTGAGGGTTTAAGGAATAGGGTTTGGGGGCTTAGTATGCGCATTAAAGGGTTCTGCAAAGTGCTCCTTAAGGGCTCAGGTGTAAGATTTGGGTTTTATGTACGGGTGCTTTTAGGGGTTTCAGAGGCTGAAGGGCTGTAGTTACAAAGTCGGCTTTGAGAATTCGTAGAGCGTTTTGGGCATTTTTGGCTTCCTTTTGGAGGTTTGTGACGCTCTGATTCGGGATTCGTGACCCTTAGACCTCAACCCTGAACACGAATGTTCTTATGGCTTATGCTGCAATGCGTTTGAGGGTTTCCGAAGCTTACCTGTTGTTTCCCCAACAAATACCAGGGCTGTAACCATTTGAAAAAATACAAGATTCGGGGTAGGTTACAGTAGAATTACCATCAGGGAACCCAGAGGAATATATTCAGCTAGCACATGCAAGTCAGGCTTCAATACGGGGTTCTGGTTTCAACCATGACGCCCGCAGCCGGTCTTTTGCGCAGGCTTTTGCGTGCCATATGCCATAAGCTCCACCATCGCCGCATGACGCGTCGTACACTGCACTAGTCCACTTTCACACCTGGGGGAGTTCGTATTACTTGCCCAGTATAGGGTTTAGGGTTTAGGGTTCAGGCTGGCGAAGCTGAACGTACACTTTGCGACTGTATAGGGATTTTGGTACCAGCAAAAAGGTAAAAGCTTGCCGACTCTGCTACAGTCTTATTAAAAGGATTAATTCTTCACCAAGAAAGAACTCCATGGCGGTCTTCATCAGCTGGTAGGTATCACCGAGAGTTTAGGCTTCAGGGTTTAAGGTTTAGGAGTCGAAAGATTCGAAAGAGGTGGATGCAGGGGTGCCCACATGCGCCTGTCCGAATCACGGGCTGCTCCTCGCCCAAAAAACCCTCTATAAAACACCCAAACCCTCAACATTAAGCCATACATCAGAAAACCTCAAGGCTGGGGGACGGCGAAAAAAGCAACGACAGTCTAGTCTGCCCAAAAAAAGTAATAACGATCGGCCTTTGTCATTATGCTGTTGTAGAGTGTGCGACAGCTTCTAAAGTATGTGTGTTGTGCGGGCTCAGGTCGCGGCTCAGGTAGGAATGGTGGAAAGTGCTCCGGTCTGTTGTGGCATTCTGCCCGACAACATCAACGAAAGCCTCAGAAGCCTCCACTGCTAGAACCTCGGATAAGCTGTTCGTTGATGAGTTTGACCAATCCGAGCCTTCAAGCCTGTTCCTTCGACCACACTCCCTATCTACACATGTTCACACGCCGCCGCGCAGGTGGCAGAGTGAACACAACTGGCATCATCGCCTCCAGTCGAAACCGGTCGGGCTGTCATGTGCTGCACAGGTCCTAGACGTAGCTCCCTAAACCGTAAACTCCGTAAACTTACACCATGTAACATGTAAGTGGCCAAAAAGAAGCTCAGGACACGCAACTTTGCAATGCAGCAAACTCCATTAAGTCAAAGACCTAAGTCTGGACCTTAGGAACCCCCAAGTCGAGTGATGCTTCTCTACATGGAGGACCGGATGGCTTGCTGAATGGAAGCCTTGCTTCAGGAATAGATGTCAAGTCTCCTGATCCTTTGCAGAGCACTCGGGAATGAATAATCATAAAACACAAGTATAACAGCGTCCACACTCTATTCTACCTGTTGGCTCATACCCTACCCCTTTCTTAGGATACCACGTTTTATGGTTACGATCTGTTGTATAGAAACGTAGATCTACTATTTGCTTAAGAACCCCCCAAAAATAAAAAAATATAATCCCTATATTATCCCTATAAGGAATATAATTTGTATTTTTGGGTGGTTCTTAAGCAAATAGTAGAGATACCCCCCCCAAAAAAATGGTACAACATGAGCCTGCAGGTTCCTTCTCAGGCCCCTGTAATCATCAGGCGTCAGCTTGAGTACTGGGGGGCTCAGGGGGCATGACCGGGGCTGGTGGAGAGTCCAGAGCTCGCACAAGGAATATTCATGATTTAGGAGGAAATCTACTGCAGTAGAAGCGATAGAGAACCATCGAACCGAAATGAAATGACCCTAAAACCAAAACGGCAAAGCTGATAATGGCAGCAAATCCAGCAACTCTCCTCAGGCCCCCCCAAGAAGCTCAAACTCTCGATGTTCAAACTCTCTACGAAAGACCAACTATTCAAGGTCAGAAATTTCAAAACTCCCCTGTTGGCTATCTAAGACACTGTGAAGGAGTATATTGCCATTAGGAACGTCAGCACGTTGCCAGCAGAGCATGTGCAAGCCTTTTTGGCACCGTGTGTCACTTTGGCGCTGGAGAGCCCGCAATCGGACACTAAGGGGTGTGGGTCTAGGGTGGCAAGGGCGATCATTCCTCATTTACCGGAATATACTCATGCATCACACGTCTTGTCTGGATAGGGCTCTGCTCAGCTGCCATTCGGCACAGCTATGCCGCCCTGCTGCACTGGCTGAAGCTCCGGGCTGTTTCTGAAACTCTAAGTTCTTGAGTAGACCCTTTATGATAAGGGCACCATTACTCCTAATCTTCAGTCTTAATACAGGGTACCCTAAAACAAAAGGGGCAACAGGGTACTACTCAGGAACCTAGACTATGGTTTAGGGCTTCGGAGTTTACTCTTGGGCTGCCTCTGTCCATGATTACCGAACCAAGAGCACGGGTAGCTGCAGTAGGAGTAACGCCATTACAAAATACTGTTACTAGTGGGTCTGTGCAGCGCCTTTAGTCATGCTACTATGTGCTGCTGCTCCTCCTCCTCGTCCTTCTCCTCGTCGGCTATACTGTACTTCTGCTACTACTACTCCTTCTACTACTACTACTACTACTACTACTACTACTACTACTACTACTACTACTACTACTGCTGCTACTACTACTACTACTACTACTACTACTTCTACTACAGCTACTGCTGCTGCTACTACTACTACTCCTACTACTACTCCTACTAGTACTCCTACTACTCCTACTACTACTACTACTACTACTACTAATACTACTACTACTACTACTACTACTACTACTACCACTACTACTATGACTACTACTACCACTACCACTACCACTACCACTACCACTACCACTACCACTACCACTACCACTACCACTACCACTACCACTACCACTACCACTACCACTACCACTATCACTACCACTACCACTACCACTACCACTACGACTACGACTACGACTACGACTACGACTACTACTACTACTACTACTACTACTACTACTACTACTACTACTACTACTACTACTGCTTCTGCTGCTACTACTACTGCTGCTGCTGCTACTACGACTACTGCTACTACAGCTACTACTGCTGCTACTGCGACTGTGTCCCATGTCCCTTCCGCTCGTTGTATTTTTCTTGCGTACGAGAAGTAGCAGAAAATCGAGTTCACAGGCAACGGCTCGTACTTCGCATCATCAAGTGTACAATGCAAGCTCACGGCTGTGTATGCATGAAGAATCAACCACTTAGCAATCGTTTGAAACTAACACATGTAATGCCACTATGTGGAACTCCTCGTAGTCAAAAGCTGGCTGCTCCGTGTGTACGGTTTAGGGCTTACCTTAACCCCAAATAACCTACCTTTTTTAGGGACTTATAAACAGAAATCATATTAGGGAGCTCTAAAAAGGGTAGGTTCCTTAGGGTCCAGGTAGGGTGTAGCAAGACTAGTCATGACGACGACGGCCGGTTGCAGCAGGTGCTCAGGCTTCTGGCTTCTTCGCAGCTGCCTTCTCCGCCGGCCTGGGCAGCATGGGTTGTCGTCAAAGCTGACAGTAGAAGTAGCAGTGCAAGGAGAGGTACCATCATCGTCGTTCTAGCATTCGCAGCATCACTGCCGCTGCTGCTGCTGCTGCTGAAGTTGTTGTCGCTGTTGCTGCTGCTGTTGTCATCGATGATGACGATGACGGTGTT